CCCCCCCCCCCATCACGAGGCAATGTAAGAGGCAATTCATTGTGGGCCATGACCGACAGTGCAAAGGTCTTCTCCGTGCCCGTGCGTACAAAGCCTGTACGTGATCGACGTTTGTATTCTCTTGCTTCGTTCTTCTCTCCATAGAGGGCCACCCGGTGTGCCGAGGTATGGTCCCCAAAGGAGGAGGAGGGGAGGGGGAAGATTGTGGACATCCTGTACAGCCATAGCCAGACCAGGTCGCTCAGAGATTGGAATTTTTTTTTTCCCTTTTCTTTTCAAGAGTTGAGGTCGGACAGGGAAGAGAGGAGGAGGGGTCGATCCTAAGTGCATAAGCCAGATGGTTAGGTGAAAGTTGTGCATTCAGAAGTCCTCTGTCAAGCTGCACCGTAAGATATGCATACCTGCAGGTATCTTGGCGTGACAATGGGAACAAGTGATGACAACAAGAACAACCCGGCTGTAGCCGCAACATGGCTTTTTTTCCGCCCTTCTCTTCTCTTGTTGCTTTTGATGGCAGTTGAAAGGAGACCGAAACGGCGCGGGTGCCTGCGCCCCGTTTCCGCCCAGCCAAGACCCAACATCACACGCGATGTTACGGCCTGCCCCTCTGGTTTGGTTCTGTGCGCAGTGGTGAGCTTGTGATGCACAAAAGTGGGAATGGCCGTATAGAGAAGGAGGAGCAGTGTGGTAGTGGTGATGATGGTGGTAGTGGCAGTAGTGGCAGTAGTAATCGTAGCAGTGTGGCGTTGTGAGGAAGAGAGAGAAGGTGGGGTGGGGTGGACGGCGGGATGGTCGATAGCTTGACAGCGCCTACAGCGCCTCGACTAGTAGGCGCCCCTCAGGTCCTTTGCGATAAGACATTTCTCTCTCCCACACGCCCACTCCCACTCCAACACAACAAAAGTAGTCAGGCGGATGCAGTACTGCAAGATGCACGCTCAGGCCCCTCTCTGTCCAACTTTCAGATGGACTAGACCTGCACAAGCCTGCAGGACTTGTCTAAAAGCATGCCACGCCTGGTACTGTGGCAATCCACCCCAACTCCCAACTTGCCCCAGTCCATCTCCCCCCCCCCCCCCTCCCTTGGCGTCTGGCCGTCCTGCAGGTCCGTGTCTGTGGAGGGGCACCTGATTCGTGCTTCATGCGCGGCGCCTCGTCTTGCATGCACACACGGCGGTCTGTAGAAGAGTGGGTTCTTGGTGTCCCGTCAGACGAGGGTCGAGACAACCAACCCGCCTTTTGTGGTGGGTGTGTGTGTGTGTGTGTGTGTGTGTGTGTGTGTATGCTAGCGCGCAGAACGACGGGCGGTGAACAGGTGAAATGGGACGAAGCAAAGGCGAAGAGGCGAAGAGATGGGAAGAAAAGAGAATGAAACGCTTGGCGTGAACGTCAAGGGGGGTTTTTTCTTCTTCTCTCTTGTCTCTCTTTCTTCCCTCGATCAATCTAAGGAGCAGAGAGAAAGCGGAGCCTGGTCCCGCTCGCCATACAAGGTTCGCCCAACACCAAATCCCTTCTCCATCTACCACGGAGCTCGTGAGTTGACCGTGGCAGCCTCCCACAGATTGAGGGCATAACCCAGACTGCCCCCCCTTTCAACTATGGCGTTTGAGGTCCTTTGTGTAAATCTCTCACACATACAAGACAGAGTGATCCCATAACAAGTAATTACAAGAGTCTGCAATACAAATTATGATTCTTTCCCACGCAGCTCGAAACCGGAGCCGAGACTTTCCGGTGGAGCCTACTTGACCTCAAGGCTCAAGTCCCGAGCGGCTCTTCCCGTGCCGTGTCCGACTTCCGGAGCCACCAAAAAGTCGTGGACCCTGTTGATCGTCCTGCAAAATGTTTGGGAACAAAACGGCCGGGCAATAGTCTCCGACAGAGGAGAAAAGAGGAGAAGAAAGAAGAGAAGGAAAGAAAGAAAAAAAAGGAGTTCATCGTAGAGCTTGACAGACGGCTTCCCAAAGGACGCAGCCGCAAGGGGGTCTCGTGTGGTTTTGTTCTCTCCGTTCTTCAGACGACAGGAGGACGAGACGCATCTCATGTCATTTGAGTCTGGAAAGGCAATTTGCCTCCCCTCTCTCGAATATCGTGTTGTTGACGCCTCATCTGGCTGCTCTTGTCTCAAGTATATCCCAAGACTGTTATAGTACACAGCAACAGCTATTGTTCGACTGGTGGGTGTCTGCGACACGACCCTGCCATGAGAGGACATATTGAAGTTTGGGGGTCATAGAAGATTGGGGGCGGTGAGCAGCAGCAGCAGCATCTACAGATGAACAGAGAACCTGGCCCTGCCTGGCCCTGGAAAGTTGACATCAGCGCATGGATGCATAGTGAAAGCCCTGTTATGCCCTTTCTTCCCCACCACGCCCTGTCCTGACCGATCAACTCGTAAAAAAAAAAATTTAAAAAAAACCAGACCAAAAACGACAAAAACAAAGTGCAGGGCTTGGCGATGCTCTGCGGGCGGAGAGAGAGATTAAGCATACGACGATAGGGAGAGGGGTACACTGCTAGCATGATCCAGGCTCTTGGGTACGCCTCCCGTCCGTCTTTTGGTCTGATCCTGTGCTCGAGCCGGTGTGTGGCCTAGCCCCCCGCCCCCCCTCCGCATCAGGACAAACATCCGGGCGGGATGGCAGCACAGACGTCCCGGCGAAAAACAACCCTCCCCTCAAGGATGCCGGGGACGGACAAAAAAAGGTGAGCAGGCTTTTTTTGCCAGGGGAAAACCACCCCCCTTCCTCATCGGCGACGGTTTCACCTACCTGGCCATATGTGCTGTGGGGTGGCTTGATTGGCCGGCCGGTCCTCAGGCCCCGGATCGTCCTGGGCAAGCCCTGTAGTTGGGAATTGCGGGCCATTGTATCATTTCTCTCTTTCTCTCTCTCCTTGCGCTCGAATCGTGTGGCCTGCGTCGCTGCAATTCCGCGGTGTCAGGGGGGCCCGCACAGAATCATAGCACACTGCGAGTCCAGCACTGTGGATTCCAGGTGGCCATGACCTCGGCCAAAAGATTGTTCTTTTATTGTTATTATTATCATTGATTATTTCTTTCTGTCTCTGACTGGCCTTCTTGAGGGAAGAAAAGTACCTCCGAGTCATAACCCATCAACCCCCTTCTGGGGGTTGTGGTCTTGGCGTAGGGCGGGGCTCGTAGTACCCTCTCGACAAGTACTGTACTTGCAAACCTTGGGCGATCGCTCCATTCAGAGAAAGTCAAAAAGGCAAAGGAAATGAAATAACCCCTGCGATCTTGCCAGAAATAGACCATAATTCTCCGCGTCTTTCGTTGAGGCTTGCAGGACGGGGTAGCCAATGGACAAATGGATGTGTTTCGTTCAGTGGCCTTCGCCGGTATCTATCGAACAGACAGCCCCCCTTGACTGTGACGTGAATGTATTGGCCAGCGAGGCAACCCGCCAAAAATGTCATTACGAACCCTCTAAAGCTCAGTTCAGCAACCGGAACTTCCGGAACTTCCGGGCGATCCGGGCCCGTTCTCAGTACTTTTCTGGACAAGACCTCCTACCAGACCAGGTCGGTTAGCCACCTGTTAGCCTTGCGAGCTACTACGGCAATCTCTCCGTCTTACTTCTCTAGCTCGTTTCTTTTCGTCATAACCTCGCAAGCCACACCTGCTTCCGTCTCTGACCCTCGTCTTTTTCTCAGCTCAGTACTTTGCTGTTGGGAATGCAGTGGTCCTTTCCTTGCATAACAAGCGTCACTGAGAAACAAAGAGAAACTTTGATTTGCAGCGCACAGGGTGTAGAGCCTGGCGCGAACACATGGTCTGTGTAGTTCCACTTGGCTGGCCCCCGATGGTTTGACCAAAATGGTAGTTCTCACGTTCTCGGTTTGGAGGCGCTGGGGCTGTGTGTGCAGGGCACGCTCCTGATTTTGTCGTCTTGCGTTTCTCCTCGGATCTATGGAAAGAGAAAGTCTGGAACATGCCGTCCACCTCCCTCATCCCGCTCAGCCGTTTTCTGCACTGCAATTTGCATTGGCGGCAGTAGGCAGTGTTAAGGTTCCTCGGATCAGCGCCGCTGCTGGAAACTTCCGATACCACAGACGATGGCGGCTCCGACGATCGTCGCTCCATGTGGCCGAGCCTCTGGGCATGGCCCTTTAGCGCACAGCCTCCTCCACGTGCCGACCTCTTTTCTTTCCTCCTTTGGTAGTCGTGCAGTCGATCATCACTGTCGCGAGCATCAATATCGTGATGATGAAGGCGCTCTCGTCCGCCATACGAAAAGGATGGACACGCGCGTGATCTTGTTGTTGATGTCGATCTCAACATACTCTCCACCAAGCCTAGCCGCTATACACCGCACGGCTTCAGACTCTTATGCGCTTCATCAAGATTCCCCATTTAGCATCTTGCTCGCCCCAGATCTAAGGCTTATATTGGCGGTTAGCGCTGGGCTGGTTGTCTCACGCAGTGGGCCACCAAACGATGCTATTGTAGTGCCAGATGCCAGCACTTTTGCTTCTCCTCGGCAGTGGGGATCGTATTTGCAGCGTGATCTCTCAACACAAACAAGGATACATCCTGTCCCGGTACTGACACGGGCCGCCGCAAGCGCGAGCAAGCCATTGCATTTCCATCTCTGCCGATCTAGACCATTTGATGCACATGCTAGAGACCACTGCGGCCGCAGGCGAGGAACACAGAATCCATGAAAGAGAGAGATAGAGAGAGAGCCTGTTTATGCAGCTGGCATTTGACGATCCAATCGCTGAATCGGACCTCCTGCATACATGAGTTCCCATGCAGCTGATAGGTGAAATGTGTAGGGCTGTAGCCCACGAACGGAATTCGGCACGTTTGTGGCAGCCATAGGAACTCTAAATTTCATGTCTCTGGACGCGTTTGTACAAAGTACAGTAGTGATGTCCACGGATCTGCCGCAGTGCCGGGCGGTAAGGGTCGGTGGAGCAGTTTTTGGAGGCAGTGGAGTTCCCACTGCTGGGTCTGACTCGCAAGCCGCCAGCAGCCAGAGAATCGCAAATCCAATTCTGTGTCCCAGAAAATGATCGAGGACTCCTTCAGTATCTGATCGGAGTAGACCACATGTTCAAATGTCGAATCTTGACTCTCATCGGGACCACCAGCGTTCAGACGCTGCGAGACCCCAGACACAATCTGGTCTACCATGCCTGAGCACGAACCATCGTCCAAACTCTCCCGAGTCGAGAGAGGGCGTAATCGCCAGTTCTTTGTAAGTTGACCTGGGTTTAGCGTCTAAACAACCATAAGACAAAAAGTGCAAAGTCCGATATTTGGAAACGCCGTGTGGCGAGATGGGATGTTTGAGTTAGTAGAGGCATTAGTAGGATACATACCTCGGGAATTGTGACTATTTGTCAAAAGCCCGGTGCGGTGTAGATGCGTGGCCCGCACCGCTCTTTGAACGCTGCAGAGCTTCCACGTGGTATCCCGGCAGCGCGATTGAGCTCGCGATGATTCTGGCGCCGAGCCAGCAGCAACCACGAGATGCTGCACAGCACGCTTGTACAATATTACATAATGTGGACATGGCTATTGCCACTAGTACATAGCAAGGCCCGCCTAGACATCGAGGGCGCAAGGGCCGAATTCCGCGCCTCCTCGTGGGTCTTGCTCCGGCGCCGAGGAAATTGGTAGTAACCGGAGCCGAAGGTAGCGTATCCGGACGTGAGAGAAAAATTGGTCCTAGGGCGGCAGAACTCGAATGGGAACGGAGCATGCCGGCTTGGGACAACACCCTTACTATGTAGTACTAGGAGCGTCAAGATTTCTAGACACCATGATTTTCCTCCACACATGCAGGGGGAGGGGAAGGGGGGGAAGGCCAACCAGCGAGACACAGTGGCTGGTAATACCACACCAACACAGCCACGTGCGACCAGACCTTGACAGGCCCCAGAAAAATCTCACCTCTCAGACAGAGAGGCGCTTTTGTAGACCCACTCCGTGAACGGTGACCACAAACTTCATGCGTTGACCTGCCTCAGCGAAGCCGTGACGAAACAAACACGCCAGCAATAATTTGATGGTGGACAAAGCGTCGAGGTTGGCAGCCTGCGTCACAAAACTCAGTAGGCGTTGCGGACGCGTAGGCGATCATCGGCTGCTGGTATCAATCCCTAGCGAGGTATCCATGATGATCATGTGGAGAACTTTATTCTCCGTATTCCGATTTCTCCCCGCGGTTTCGTGACTAGGGGTGCTGATGCGACGCTGACTAGGTCCGAAAAGGGTGCTATACACCGGCTGCATGTCTGCTGAGAGGGGACAAGGGCTAGCCAGGTGGGAATGGAATGAAACTCATTTGAGGGTCGGCGCAAATGGGTGGGAGGGCTTTCTACTATACCAGGACGGGTTTCTTTTCTCCAAAAAGATCACATTCCGTGCGCTACCACAGTACAGCATCTCCAGTCCCAGTTTTCATAGGCCCTCGTGCGGTACTATTATGTAGCTTGTTAGCCCCCTCGTGAAGCCAAACAACATCTTGAAATTACTTGCCCGCATACTATATACCATAGTACTTTGAATAAAGAGGATCCGTCTGGTATTAATGGACCGCAGTCACAGATATGATGATGCTAGGAGGTAGAGGAAAGGACAGGGTGCAACAAGGAAAAGAAGACGACTTACGGCATACTGTGTACCTATATCAAGGACCAACGATCACAGCCAGGGACTCGAATTGGGTCCTCGCGAAGCGAGCAGCCTCATGCCGCAGACCCTTGGCTACTACTAAGGACTCGACTGGGGTCCTCCGGCGCAGACTCCCCTATCGCATCCAGTGACGAAGGAGATCCAGCAGTGGGACAAACAGCGCCACCTGTCCCGGGTGGGCTCACGCAAGGACTGTGCCTGGTCAAGATCGCGTACAGCCAAGAGGCAGCGAACCCTGCCCCTGATTGTCCGACGAGGGGCAGACTGTTGTCAATCAGTTGGGCCCGGGGGTCTTTCCCCTCGCCTCGATAACCTCCTAGACAAGCGGCGACAACAAACAATAGCTCGTGATGTGAATATGAGTAGGGATCCAGGACGATGCGAGACTGATCCAATTTGGCTTGGCCCCACCTGCGGGGAGGAGGGTGCTGGTAAAACGTCGATTGCGAGCACCTTAAGACTGCAGGGAGAGAGCCAAGCACGTTGATGGGGGATGCGTCGGACAAATGCCACGCACGTGTGGCTGGGTTCCACAGCATGCAAGCAGGAGAATTTTCGCAGATTATGCCGATGTCGTTGCTGGGAGCCCCTTTTCGCAAAGCCCTTGCCGCAAGACTGCTGACAGTGTTCTGCAGCCGGGATGACAGCATAATCAGTGGAGGGGCCATGTGCCAAATCTCGGCTCTTGTCTTTGACAAACACCAACCAATCTGGCCGGCAGCGCTTTCCAGCAGCGGCGAACAACAGAAGCCAACCAGCACAGGTCTCACTTCAGCCATTTTCGAAGAAGGGCGTTGAAGTCCAAGTCAAGTGATTGTTTATGACCCCACCCAAGGCATGCGCATGAATGCAGTGCAGGCTCCACGTTAACTGCTGTGTACCGTATTCGCGTCTCCAGTGGGCACGAAAGGCCTGGCTGCTGCTGGCAAGTGGAGAGATCCTCTTTTTTTGCCCTCTTTTTGATTCTTTTCCCCTCTTCTTCCCCCCTTCGCTTCTTCTTGTCTCCCCGTTTCCCCCGAGAAATGGAGTGCACCACGGCATTTGAGCCAGCCCTCACGCAGCTTGCACGAGATAGTGATGATCTTGCCGTCTAAAGCTAAGTCGATTGGATTGATACACCCCGGAGATCATCAGCCGCGTTGGCTCCGGAAATGTGGAGATCTCGGCTCAGTAGGGCATGAACCGTTTCTGTCTCTCTCTCTCTCTTCTTTTTTTCGTTTTCCTTTTCCTCATCCGGATAGCAGTAAGATTGCCATGATAGACGCCCCAGAACAGTTGCTTTTATGAATCGAGTTCGTTCCTATCAGATTCCTGTAAAGCTTTTTTTTTTTTTTTTTTGCGCGTCACCGTTAGCCCACAAGACTAGCAACACGGCATCTCGTTTCAGACGCGCGGCTCTTGTGAATGCAAGTACGTTGCCAGGCCCCGTACTCCGCTGATCGTAATATGGTGATGAATAGCCATGGATTCGGCAGCTGGATGCGAAAAGGAAACCAGATCTTCCTGCGGTTGTGTTGACTTGATCGAGGAGATGATATGTCGGTACGTAGGTATTCGGCGTCTCAATCGTTATCACCTTGATCGTGATGCGGATAACTCTTGGCAGGGGCTGTCGCCGGTTGCATTGGGGCCGGAACGCTCTCATCCCCCTCTCGATGAATGCAATGACGCGATAGCGATTCAAGGTTTAGGTCAGTACAAGCTTTCTAGGAGACCAACCCAACTGCGGAGCGATCTGCCCTCGCAAGCCTACAGTACGTCGTTTTTCCTCTCTTGTTTCGTTTCGGGTGGGAGTTGGAAATTCTGGAACCCTCTGGAGCCCAACCGGCTGCAATCAACCCTGATGCGGTCCGGAAGCTTGAACCTGGCCATGTATGCACCCGTTTGCATCTACACAGATGGCTGCAAGTGGTGATTCTTCCTGCTGCTGAATGTCGCTTCTCATGTCCTCTCCTTCCCTCGTAAAGGAGACTCGGGAGACTCAGGAGACGGGAACCGCTTCACTAGTAGCCACATCTGGTTACATGCTTCTGTTCCTGTTGCTGTGCTATATGATAACGCCAGTCGATGATGTAGCAGGAGATTGTGGTGTTTGACAGCGGTGGCTTGTTCTGCAGTATGACCGGGGGAGGCTTCCGGGTGGTGAGGGGTCAGCCTTGAACCTAATTTCCGGCCGGCGTCCTGCTGAAGCCGCAGACATGATTGGCCAGAACCTTGAAGCTTGACGTCGGGGTCCATAACGGTTTTGCGGTTGTGCATATGAGGCCTAGGGTACGCTTCTCTAATGCACCATGATCATGTAGACCGCACCGTAGCAGACAGGCATGCAAATGGTCAAGACCTGCGCTGTCTCTCTCAAGAGTCAACAACGGTGGTCGGGTGGTCGGTGGCCTGGGCTGGGGCGACTGTGTCGAAACAGGACCCATCGGTGGGGGGGGGGGGGCTGTCCTCGAAGGCGTCGTCGTAGTTGAAACTCGTGACCATGTACCGTTCTCCACCCAAGGTATTTTCTTCTTGTTTTCTTTCTTGTTGTTTTCCCTTCCCTTGGATTACGAACTTTCTGTACAAAATAGACAGCCCTGGCCAACCGGTGTGAGAGGACTTGCAGCAAGGATCGATGACGGGACGGTGTTGTATCAGCCTGACGGGGCCCCAGGTCCTGTGGTAGTGACGATCAACACATGCGATTCCCATAGCGGCATCAGCCTTGTGAGATATGACATGGGCAAATATTGTACATACAGTGGGTAATCGGAGTGGATTCTCCCCAGAAACCTTGCTCTTGATCGATTTCCAACCACCAAATCCCCTCTCCCTCCTCCCTTTCCCCATCTAATCGCACCTTGCGAGGGTTGTATGATGGCACTTTGGTAGCGTCTAGAGCAGCTGCACCCATGAGCGTGTGCGGTGTAAGTTCTACCACTGCAATGATGCAATCCTTCTCCCTTCAGGGCCTGGCCTGTACTCTGCATTGCACCATGCGTGTGACGAACCTGCATCGGAACATTTTTGTCGGAGCTACTCCATGCACGTCGAGACCTAGGCCCTCCGTAGTACTGTAAGTTGAGCCTGGGGGGGAAGGGGGGGCTGTCCCATAGTACCACAGTAGGTCGTCTACCTGGCCTGGCCAAGCATGGTAAGCCTGGCTGATGCGCTGGGCCCTGCTCTGTGCTCCCTCCACCCCCGTCTCTCTTTCCCAGGGTCTACCGGGGACGACCCAACCACGCCAGCTACTAGCACACTCAATCGGCTAATAGTGAAGCAGTTAGTCAGTTTGAGTAGCGAGCAGGCAGGTTTATGACTCGACCAACTATTCGGATGAGGTCCTCGGCAGTCAGGGAACCGGTTGAGGAGGAGACGGCGAGGTTGTGCGAGTCTGTGGCCCAGTCAAACAATGCTACTATGGTATGTGGGGTCATAAACACCCGCGATAGGTATGTTGTGTCGACCTTTCGTCCGTCGTGCCGTTGACTCTGAGGGAAGTGTGAGGGAGCAAAAGAAGCGGGCGGGGGGAGGAAGAAAAAAAGAGGGGATCTGTGGAGGGGTCAGGGGAGGCATCAGTGGTGGAGAGGAGAGGTAGGATTCTACTGGTTTGGGTTTTGCCCTGGCTGGTCTTGTCTTGGCAAGTGCACGAGACCTCTGCAACCTGCGCGACCTTGCCTTAGAGCAGCAGGCCAAGCACTAATCTCGTCGCTCAAGGTAAGGGAAGGAGGCGCCAGAATCGGCTTTCCTGCTCTTTCCCCCCCCCCCCCCCTAACGCCTACGCCAGCATCAGGTAAGGCGTGATGGTAAAATCAGGTCCAACAGGCCCGGCAAGCCACAGCAGGTGCCCCGGCACAGAGAGGGGAACCTGAGGCTGGGCTGCAAGCACTGTAGAGAGTGATAGCACCTGGCGCTTCTGCACTGCGCTTCTGCACTGCGACCATGACCTGCATTCACCCATCTAATAGGCCTTGCTATGACTTATTTCTCAGGCCACTTTCATCAATCACACATCCAGCCAACCTTCAACCAAACTCAATTTCTAGTCATGTTACCTTGCTGCGTATTCCGCGGATTCGAATCCTCGCTGCCGTTCTCCTCCTGTGCTACCATAGTCGTCCAGCACAATTGACCCCCAGCAGAGTAAGGCGCGCAATCGGTCAAGTTGGGCCTCCATGGGTCTTTTGTGTCTCCTTGACTTTACGGTTCGTGGTGGCCCGCTGTTGGCGATCCTCGAGAGCATTCCCCATGGCGCCAGCTCCATTTCTGCCCCTTTCTTGTGCTGCTGTTCCCGACCATTTTTCCCTCTTTGCATCCCGGAACCGACTCCCTATATGCACAACCATCCACGTATAGTGATAACAAATATGGCGACGACGATGCCGCCCTCCAGGCCTCAGGAGACTTGCGGGGACTCTCTGCCTTTGAACCACACCGATTACCCCTCAACAGCTTATTTCCGGAAGGCTATCCTGTCCCACAACTTTCTTTTCCTACCCTTGGATCTTGTGTCTTTCGCCGGTCTGACCTGACCAACCCGGACGATCCTGTGGGTTCACCGACTGGTGTGCCCATGTCTATAGTCCAGAGCTTGTATCGAGATTTCCCCCTCAGCGCCTCAACCAGGTGCTGGCCCCAGCAGCAGCCAGGTCAGCAGCGAGCCCCCCGCGGGAATTGTAGTATCTAATAGCGGCCCAGCAGCACAGCGCCCCCTACATAATAACCATAATAACTATATAAACAACAACAACAACAACAACAACAACAACACCAGGACAAGGCGTCTGCGGCTCAATGTGGATTACTTATGGCGGCTCCGGATATGAAGCGCGTCGTGTCACTATAAGGGGAGGAATAGGCAAGGGGATGATGGCTCGACATTTGCAATGCGAGTCAGGCCGTGTGTCTTTCGTACCGACACCAGTGCTCTCCACAAATATAACCCCAAATTTGGAGAAACCGTCGACCGTATGGCAGACTGACCCCCATCTCCAACCTGTATGCCGGCTATCAGGTACAGAGAGACGAAGGTAGGGTACGGTAGTGATACTGGGTAGTTTCGTCAGGGTTTCGCCAGCAGCAAGAAGACCAGCTGGTGATCCGTAACCGGGCTTGGGAATGATAAAGTCCTCAGGGGTACTGGTGGAGTGTTCGTGGAATTAAATAAGCGAGGGTATATCCCGGCAAAGAGAAAAGCAGCATACTCCCTGCAATGCCCCTGGATCTGTCACTTGTCAGCATCCATGACCGATAGATACCTGGGGCTCAAGTACCTCGTCAGTCTTGACCACCCCTGCCTGCTTAGACGGTCGGATGTGGGGTTTCGAAGGGCAGCCAGAGCTGGCTAGATCATTTCAGGTAGTAATTATCAGCAAGTACCACAGTACTATGTATCATAGTACATAATAGTAGTGAGTCCGCCGTACCGACTAGCCCCTCTGCACTCCTTCGACTGCTGTGTCTACTTACTTCAAGGTACGATGTCGTGACTACCATCGATCTCTCACCAGACTGTCTCCACCTCGAGTATATTATATTGATTCCGAGGGTAACTTGCATAATGGCTCTGAAGAAGGAGAAGATTACACTTAAAAAGAACTTAATGGGCAGGTACTAACAGGTATCCTGGTATTTGGTGTGTACCTGCCCTCAAGATAGCGCCACTCAAGTGGCTGTGTCCAGGGTGCAAGGTACACGATATCTACATTCGCAGGGAAATACACCAGAAAGATGGGAATTTACAAAAAACAATATCCACAATCTCGCACCGCTAAACTAAGAAGGGAAATAAAGACACTCCAAAAAACAAATATTGCGTCTCAGACTACACACACACACAAACACACGCACATATGCACGCATACCCACACCCCAACGAATACGCTTTTTGCCTCTGCAGCAAGCCCTTGAGGCGCTCTGTGCCCACGTCTCGCAGGCCACCTTCGAAGCCCCTGGGAACGAGGAAGGCACGACACAGGCCTCAGTACTTCGGTACTTGCCCTAGTCTGACCTTGAGTACATGGTCCCCTGGTAATATCTCCCGCTTGTATCTTTTTCGACTTAGTACCCAAGCCAGGATTTAAGCTCTAGAGAAGCATTGTGGATTATAGAGACCATGGCAGATGTCCTCAGGGCAGGTCCCTCCTCGAAGCTAGCAGTCAGGAATCCACCGCCGCCGGCCCTTGGGCATCTGCTCCGTCTGCTCCAGATGAAGGCCGGCGCATATAATGTTCGTTCTCGCGCCTCATCTCATAAAGTTTCCCCCTCGGCGTGGTATGGTTTTCCATCGTCACCTCTCGCATCCTCTTTCACCCTCCGTCACCCTCCGTCCTCTTCAAGACCCGACAAGGCGACACTCAACATTATCTTCTCAAGAGGAACACGGCCAGAGACCACACATTATCCTTGCCAGATACCATTATTTTCAAGGTTGGTCAACCCCCATCCTCTCTTCTCTTGCGCTGTCTCTCCCGGCTGCGTGTACATCACCTATCACCTGCGCTCTCTGCCCTAGCCCTTGTATTTCTTCAAGTCCATTCCTCACCCTTCTCTTCCCTCTCCTCCTCCTCTTCCTCCTCCTCCTCCTCCTCTTCCTTCTCCTTCTCCTCCTTTTCTCAGGGCCCTTTCTCCCACAGAGAAACTTTCGGTCTCCCTGACCTAGTCGTGCTTGACGATACGAGGCTCACACTTGCCGACAGCTCAATTTTTCATCTTTACCCTTCAATATTTGTTCTGTGACACAAACGCAGACACATACGCATACTTTCGTTCAACTCGAGTCCCAACCGGTACCAAGTCGCTCGCCCGGGACCAGGAAGCTCACGATTCGTACTTTGCTCGCTATCAGTCGCCTGCACCTGTGTGTCTCGGTCAGGTCGCCGCAAACACCCCCTGGAGGGTCCAAGAAGCAGCTTTCCTGCATCTCTCTCAAACGCACAGTCACGCAGCCTCTGTTTCGACCATTCTCTGAGCTCCTACCAGAACTTTCAGCGTCATTCGCTTTTTCACCCTTATCCACCCTTATTCACCCTTATTCACCCTTTCCTTACTTGATCTCTTGTGCCCAAAAAGGGACCCCCTGAGACCATGGAACTTATTGAGGTCATGGAGGCTGATAACCAACCCCGGCCCTTTCCGTGCGAGTGGGATGCTTGTGGGAAGAGTTTCAACCGGAAATCCGACCTGCAGCGCCATTATCGCATACACACCAACGAACGCCCATACATCTGCAGCTGGCAAGGATGTGACAAGAAGTTCATCCAGAGAAGCGCATTAACTGTTCACATCCGGACACATACAGGCGAGAAGCCGCACGCGTGTCAGCACCCAGACTGCGACAAGCGCTTCTCAGACGTACGTACACCATCCATCGGTTGCGCACGCTGAGAGAGAACCCAACCAACTAACAGGTCTATAGTCCTCTAGCCTGGCTCGTCACCGTCGAATCCACACCGGAAAGCGGCCCTACACATGTTCACACCACAACTGCGCCAAGACATTCTGCAGGAAAACGACAATGATCAAGCACCAGCGTCGATCGCACCAGCCTGGCGGCGGTCCCATCGATGACGGCCTATATGATTCGGACGACGAAGAGTCGCCTACTACACCCCGCCCGCCTCCTTACCATTTCCCCCAGCCTCAGCAGGCAATGTTGCAGCAAAATGGGCTGGCCATGCGCCCGCTGGGCTCCAACTTCTACGTCCCCAACCTGCAGACCATGCGTCACAACAGTGTGCCCTCAAACGTTCCGGCCGACTACCATGCCCACAGCATGCAGCAGCAGCAGCAGAGCCAGGAGATGATGCGCCGCCTGTCGTGTCAAGGCCAACTCTCGCAGGGCCAACTCTACATCTCTGACGGCCCTGGCATCTCCACCATGCAGACCCAGCTCCAGATGCCCCGGAGCAATTCCTATGATGGTCTGCAACATAGCCCTGGATCCTTCTCGTCGGAATCTGTGCGCAGTCCAATCGACGAGGGCTACACCTTTGCACCAACGGCTCAGCATGCAACGCACGCCCTGCACGGCGCCACGCAGCCGCAACACAACATGGCCTCTTTCCCGTCGGTGACAAGCCAGCAGCTGATGCCGACTCAGCACCTGATGTCGATGCCGATGCAAGGTCAAAACTCCCATCAAGGCCATCAGCAGCTGCAGGTTCCGGTGACCCATGAGATCTATCACCCCCAGCACCCAACTTCTGGGCCCCCCGTCTCGGCTTTCGAGCACAGCAGCATTCCGGCGTTCCAAACACATCTGTCGATACACCCGATGCCCATCCAGCAATATCATCTGCCCGATCTGAACGGCTTCAAACTGGAGCCCACAATGCAGCTACCGGGCCAGCGTGTGGCTGAGCTACACTAAACGGCAACCGCCCGTCGCGATGTTTCAACGGAACTGTCATGGTTCCATGACGACCGACGAACTCCCATATTTCTTTTCATTCTCAGCACACAAATTATCTTTCTAGGCCGACTTCACTGTCGGACACCCTGGGATCTGTGTGTCTCCATTCACATTATTGTTTTGACACCATTGCTTCACACCCCTGCGGGTACCGGAGTCAGCCCTTTACCGGTCTGGGCAGGCGTGTGACAGCTAATCAGGTCATGCTCGATCGAGCAATGACAGGCACTGACGGCGTTCTTCTTGATTCGCGCATAGACAATAATGTCTCTTCCTGACCTCGCCGCTCACACTGCGGCAGACTGGACTGTGTTACTATACCTATCCCTCAGCATGCGAACGGAGCAGTGGGTCAGCAAAGGCGCAAAGGGTGTAATTAAGGCAAGGGAGGCAAGCTGCTGTCAAAAAAAACAACTATTCACGGCACGGAGTATTTTTTCTTCTTTTGTTTTTTGTGATGACGGCAATTGTGCGACAGGCCTGACAAAAAGGTACGCATGCGTGCGCCCCAAGACACCGGAACTCAACAGTTCACAGTTTTGTTGCGATATGACATTTGCATTGGTTCAAGTTCGAGTTTGGGTGGTCACCTGTTTCTTTTGTCAATGGGAGGAGAGGTTGGAGGGGTTTGATTGAACATCCATCCAGTCGTAATGGAAATGGGGGACTGTATCATGGAGTTTGTTGTCTGTCAAGGGAACTTGGGGGGGGGGGGCATATCTGTTGTGGTCCTTGTTATATTATGTCTTACTTACAGTTGTACTTCATTTTTCTTCCTCCCTTCTCGGATGATTGCCCATAATTTCTTTTTACTATCTGGTTCTCATTTCACTTTTTACAGCTCTTAAAGTCGTGGCCCAGATCGCGAGATTCGGAGGCGCGCGAATAAGGGTCATTTGGCCCAGGAGAGGATGGACTCGTTCGTGTGGGTACGAAGGAGGAAGGTATGGCTTCAAGGGGGTGATCAAGGAATATTGGTCGTGGAGCACCAATGTCGTGGCGAAGCAGTGGAAGAGGATCCTGTACGATTAGTCCGTTGTAATCGAGTTATGAATGATACGTACCTCAACCAAGTAATCTTTCTTCAGAATTAGGAGTCGGATTGTCTACTATACTCTTGGATAATAGTTGCAGGATATTGACACCATCTCACCGACGGGGTTCCGCGGTGAGGAACTGGGAGGGGGCGGATTCAAGGGTCAGGTTACCCGGCGAGGGGCGCATAGCTTGTAGCGATGCAACGTGCCATTTATGATCGTGACCCACTCGCCTTATAACTTCCTTTGGTTGGATCAGGTACAGGAATATGAGGTCGGCGTGGTGACCGTGCGGGCGTTGTAGTTACGTCGGGTAGTTGTGAAGGGTTTTAATTAGCTCGCGACTATGAAAGGTAGGAAGAGAGAGAGAGAGAGAGAGAGAGAGAGAAGCAAGAAAGAAAGAATAGGGGGAAACAATCCAGAACCATCTCCCAGTCAAGACTGAAGGGGGCCCTCTCTCTTGCTTATATACCTTCAACAAAAATAAGAGTAAAATCAGAAAGACAGCTAGCAAGCAATCTCGTGATGTCATGGAGGCATTCGATCGGTGTCTTTTTGACACGATTCTTCCATTGGCGACTTTTGGGTCGACGTCGTTTATTTCTGTTGGGTCACATGAAGCTGTACGGGTGTGGAAAGGAGACTATATCAGGCACGGACTTTGGACGGCGGAGAGTCTGGGGCTCAGCGGTGTTGTGACTAGAATGCACCAGGAGCTGGTGTATCTAGGTCAATCTTAGCGGCGAGATAGGCTCATAGCAGGTGGTCTAAGGATCTGAATGGGAGAAAAGTGTGTTTAGACTTTGCCTGGTATTCATGTTGGTTCGCAGTCCGAGCTGATAATATTCTATTCGCGTCTGCAGGGAGGAGATGAGGCTCTGCGTGGAACTACCAAAGCAGCTTCAGCGAGGTAAAAACCACAGCATCTGGTTCAGTATTTAAGATGAAACTATCCTTATATGTTTATATATTTTCTTCTTCTTTTGATGCTGGACGTGATGCGCAACATGCCATCACAATGAGCTCGTTGAGCGCGCATGCTAGATCGCCAAGAGCGCCTCAGATCCGATACATTACACTTTCGGGGAGGACCAATTGCCAACTAGACCAAGGGGTGTTGCTCATCAAGGCAGCAGAAGTATGTGTTAGTCACCTCACATATGAAGGACATACAGTCATTGACTGCGAGATGGAGATTCGGGAAGTAGAAAGTAGAGTGCCTCTTTCGAAGTTCTAACCCTCCACTCATCTCACCCGCCAGTCTCTCTCGTCTTGACTGCCAAACATGCAAACCGTCGCACACGGTCCCCCAGTTCAGAGTATTGTCCGAAAATACCGTACAAGATTACTCCTATTGGTCATATGATTCTTTGTTTGTTGGTCACTACATTGGAAAAGGGCCAACCCAAGCCCATACAAATTCGGGAGCATGCATACGCCAGAGAGCCAATCAGAATTGCCCCCGAACTAGTCGACTGCTGTGAGCTCTCATGTGATTCGCAGGCAACAGGCGTTATCCCACAGACTGACTTAGTAATTGCCCCTGACTTGCTCGATGTAGCAGTGAAGTCTTGCATTTGCACTTTGTAATATGCTGTGATGAAGAGCTGAAGAATACTGCTGTGTGCAAGTAAAAGATTCCCCTGGAAGGGATCCTGGAAGGGGTCGATGACGAGCAGTGAAAGTGGGCAGGGGAACTGGAGTGGTAAGGGTGGTTTAAAGCGGGCCAATATCGGCTAAACTGGATGCCGGAGCCGGAGAAAGGGCCAGTGCCGATTGGTCAGCAGGTCTGACGACATGTCGCCATTGGGCAAGTGGCGCTGAGTCCATGGACTGTTCTCGTCAGTTGTCTTGACTCGTTGGGGAAGATCAGGCAAGGCAAGTGGTGAAGTGGTTTGGACATTGCCCTCACGTGGAAATCGATCCCAATGTGCATTCATTCCTTGTTGTCAACTCAGAAGAAGCACTCATCAACATCTTTCCAGCACTTCAGCCACTGTCCCAAACTGGGAGGTGGTCGCAACTTGATCGACTTTCCTATCTCAATCCGCAGTACCCGTGAACAAGTAACATCACCACTGCTCAACCAGCTCGTTAACAGACACCCCACACCACTCTCCTTCCCCAACCTCTACCACTCTTCTTTCAGCTGTTCCATCTCGTCGAGAATATCCCTGAAACACTGTATCGAAAGAAGCACAGCTAGATTGTCTTGCGCAATCTGCGCTGCTGAAGGGCGCAATGGCCTTTCAAACTGCTTTGCTGCCTGCAAGTCTTCCAACCCCTCCTTTCGCACACTCCTCCTCTGTGCACAATGGCCCTCATACTAACCCTTCTCTCCTTTGTTCTACTATAGGATCTCGTGGTGGCGACAGCAGAGACATGGCCTACGATCGCGAATATTCTATTGGTACCATGGAAGGGCTCCGTGTCAGCACCCCGCGAGGCACCCGCCGCCCGACCCCGCCAAGCGCAAACACCAGCATCCCCACGTCTGATCACGGTAGGATCTCTACTTCTCGCGTGTCGCGTACATTCGAACAAGCGACTAACGTTTTGGCAATTTCCAGGCCGAACCCAGCTCGACCCTACCAGACTTCCTTCGCGACGCGCTGCCGAGCCTTCAAGCTGACCTTCCAACCATCTCCCAGCAGCTGACATCCTCTGACCTCCGATCGACCATCATCCAGCTGCCCTCCTTCGCCCTCGCTGCAGCGGCTAACCCTCTCATCCAGCGCTCGGCTTTCCGTCTTGCCGCGCACGGTCCCGCTGGCCCTGCCCGCCGCCTTTTCTCGACAACATCTCCTCTGGGAGCACAACGCGGAGCTGTGACAGCGCAGACTGCATTGGGTCTCCGTAGCGCCGGTCTTCACTCGTCGCCTTTCCCGCAGCGATCCTCTTGGACTCCAGTCAGTCGTGCCATCGGTCTCTCGCCTTACATTCGTCTCCTGCAGACCCGCAATCTCAGCAATGGTGGAATATCTCGCAACATGCTTGCCAACCTCGAGGCTGCCGCCAACCGGAATCCCAACAGCGCCACCGCCCAGAATGCTTTCTATCAGGTTCTTCTCAAGGCCAACATGCCCGCCATTGTCATTGAGCGATACCAGTCTGGTCGATATGCCAAGAACCAGGCCGTCGAGGAGGCATATGCAAAGTCCTTGTCCATGTTGACTGGCAATAAACTAGGAGACTCCAGCGCCCTTACGGGCCAGACGGGCGGTCTCAGCAACGAACAGGTTCAGGCTATCGGTCAGGCTGTCGCAGCTCAACACAAGGGAGGCAACATTGCGATCTCAGCTCCCCAGGGCTCAGGTGTCGCCAAGGATGGCCGTATTCATGTCCTCGTGGACGAGTCCCTCGGCTCGACCATTTTCAAATGGGTTCGCTTCCTCTTGATCTTTGGTTTCGTCTGCTATCTCAGCCTGATCGTTGTGTCAATGCTGGTCGAATCTCTCAACTCCATCAAACGGACTGGAACAGCCCGGGCCGATGCCGAAGTCAAGGCCGAGAACCAGAAGGCCCGCTTTGCGGATGTGCACGGTTGCGAGGAGGCCAAAGAGGAGCTGCAGGAGCTGGTGGAATTCCTCAAGAACCCCGAGAAGTTCTCTACGCTGGGTGGCAAGCTGCCCAAGGGTGTCCTCCTTGTTGGCCCTCCTGGAACAGGCAAGACCCTTCTCGCAAGGGCGGTCGCTGGTGAGGCCGGCGTGCCTTTCTTCTACATGTCTGGGAGCGAGTTCGACGAGATCTATGTCGGCGTCGGTGCCAAGCGTGTGCGCGATCTCTTCAACGCTGCGAGGTCCAAGTCGCCAGCTATCATCTTCATCGACGAGCTGGATGCGATAGGTGGCAAGCGCAACACGCGAGACAGCACCTATGTGAAACAGACGCTGAATCAGCTGTTGACCGAGCTGGACGGTTTCGACCAGAGCAGTCAAGTCATCATCCTCGCCGCCACCAACTTCCCCCAGCTTCTGGACAAGGCCCTCACCCGGCCTGGTCGCTTCGATCGTCATGTGCAGGTTGACCTTCCCGATGTCCGTGGCCGGCTGGCCATTCTGAAGCACCACGCCAAGAAGGTGAGGCTGATGGAGGGCATGAACCTGCAGGAGCTGGCCCAAGGAACGTCCGGCCTGTCAGGCGCGGAACTCGAGAACATTGTCAACTCTGCAGCGATCCACGCCAGCAAGAACAAATCCCCCGTCGTCACCATGAAGGATCTGATCTGGGCCAAGGACAAGGTCATCATGGGTGCTGAGAAGAGAAGCATGGTCATTAGCGAGAACGAGAAGCTGATGACCGCTTATCACGAGGCTGGTCATGCTCTTATGGCTCTGTACAGCGTGAGGCAGTCGGTCCCACTCTACAAGGTCACGATCCTGCCGCGCGGCATGAGTCTTGGGCACACAGCTTTCCTGCCGGAGATGGACAAGCACTCGTACAGCTCATCCGACTATGTTGCCAGGATTGACACGGCTCTCGGCGGCAAGGTGGCAGAGGAACTCGTGTACGGCAACGACATGGTGACCTCTGGGGTCAGCGGGGTAAGTCACATCGACTCTTTTTTTTTTTTTTTTGTGTTTTTTTTTTTTTTTGTGAGTGTGCTTCTTAGTACCTTGACGCTTACAAATATTACAGGATCTCAACAGCGCCACAGACACCGCCTTCCAAATGGTCGCCTATTTCGGTATGGGCAACAGCCTTGCTCCCATGGACTTTGGCTCGAGATACGACACGCTCAGCCCAGCTACTCGGGCCCAGGTCGAGAACGAAGTGCAGCGAGTGCTCAATGAGGCTTATGGGCGCACCAAGAAGCTGTTGACAGAGAAGCGCAAGGAGCTCGACCTCTTGGCACAGGCCCTCGTCGACTACGAGACCCTGGACAAGGAGGAGGTCAAGAAGGTGATCAAGGGGGAGACACTGGCTGATCGAATGAAGATGCCAAGGGACGGCACAATGAGCGTGCCGGTGACACCGGATCCCATCGATGCCCTCCCGCCGATCCCGGGTCGAGGACATGAGGGCGAGAATGGCTCGGGGGCGCCACCGCCTGCACCCCCAGCTATGGCTTAAAGCTTAGTCAAGGTAGGCTTGGTTGGTCCAACCCGTGCGCCCATTCACTGTGATGGCCCGTTGGGAAGGACTGCCGAGGTTGGGGCAAAAAGATCTCGAAAAAGAACTGCCTCTGACACCGAAGCGTGTGTCATGAACGGGCATGTAAAATGTACTATCGAATAGGGTATTGGACGGCAAGGGGCTCAAGAAGACGAGTCTCATCATATCAGGTTTTAGGAGGGATTATTGCATCACGATTATTATTGTTTTTTTTTCAGAGCGCATCTGAAAGCAGCCGTTCTTTTTGTGGACGCGCCTTGATGAATCCTCCAAAAAGAATCCAGCAAGACTATTCAACTCATCTTCACAAACCTCGGTGGTGATATCGTGATGTTTTGGTTCATAGGTTATACAGGGCTCAACCACCTGTTTTATCTACAAGAAGAGAAACAAAAGTCACCTCATGCCAGCTTTCCCATGACATACGGGTGGCCCGCGCTCAATCCACCATCCACAGCCCACGCCTGACCATTGACATAACTGCTCTCGTCGCTGCCCAGGAACAGCACCACCCGCGCGACTTCATCAGCATGCGCGCCCCTCTGCAGCGGGTTCAGCTGGCCAATCTTCTTCTCGGTGCCCCTCTTGCGGGCGGAGTCGTACATGGACCTGGTCATGCCCGTCTCGATGACCCCCGGGCAGATGGCGTTGACGCGGATGTTGGACCCCGTGAGCTGGTAGGCGATGGTGGCGGCCATGTTGATGACGGCGGCCTTGGAGGCGGAGTAGGCTGTGGCGCCGGCGTTGGAGCGGATGCCTGCTACTGAGGCGGTCATGATGATGCTGCCGCTGGAGGTGGGCTTGTTGGTGGAGGTTTTGGTCATGGCCTTTGCGGCGTGTTTTGCGGCCAGGAAGGGTCTGTTTTTTTTTTGTTTGTTAATTTTCTCCTTCTTTAGCCTCTGTGTTCTTCAGAAGGATGAGATGGGTGGAGAGATCCGTATCTGTTGGAATGGGGAAAGGAGCAGGAAGGAAAAGGAGCGGGGAAGCTGTTCCCCCGTCCTCCTTCTTATGCCAATTCACTCACCCCAGCGTATTCACTCTCACCGTCTCCATGAAATCCTCTCTGTCGACATCCGTGAACAGCGCATGGGCGCCTGTAATCCCGGCATTTGCAAAGAAGACGTCCAGGCGCCCGTACCGCTTCAACGCGTCATCCACGACCTCTCTGATGGCGGCTTCGTCTGCTGCGTCGAACTTGCGGGTGTGCACCTCGCAGGCTGGGTAGGACGAGGTGATTTGCGTCTTGTGGTAGGACAGGTGCTTGTCGTCGTAGTCGCAGATGTACACTGCCTTGGCTCCGTTCTGGGCGAACTGGTGGGCTGTGGCCCGGCCTATGCCGAGGGGGGAATTGGCGCCTGGAGATATTATGTCAATTGCCTGGCTTTCTGTATTGTACATACAATGCTCTTGAGGTATGAAACAGAATGGTAGGGTGCAAGGAAGATATACCCGTTATGATGACGACCTTGTCACTTGCTCTGGGTCCATTGGATGCTGCAGCGACTTGGTTGATGGGCGGGATGCTCTCATCAGCTGCTGGGGTTCCTCCTATTTGCTTGTTGAAAGCGTTGAGTCTGTCACCTGCCGAGCTTGCCATGGTGTTGAGGGGATATATGATAGTATGGATTCGAAATTCAAGTAGCTGGGAGAACAGTAACGAATGAATTTGAACACTACACGATATATCAAGAGTGAGATGGTAACTCGGTGCAAGTGAGAAAGAAGAGCAAGGGTGAGGGGATCACTGTAACCCTAGCTGCTTGGTCCCTGAGCCGAGGCATGAAAACCTTGGGGTAGCCCCGTCTGTTCAGTGGCTTTAGACTCCGCTCCCCGCCTGCCTTCACCGCGAAGAGGGTACAGCGCGGCGTCCACTATGAGACCTCCATTTTCTCGAAGTTCTTCCTTCACCCTTTATGATGGGGATCATGTGTTGTATGGATTGCACTGGCTGTCTTCACTCAAGTGCTGTTACAGTGGTGCCTGCTCTTTCTCGAACATGTAGATAGAGGCTGTGTTAGAACTGTCCTGCAACAACGGGTTCTGAGCCTTCTCTTGCCAATGCCTTTCTCGTCAGAACGAGAGAGGACCATAGATTGTATGGGGTTTGTCAGAAAGGGCTTTCTGGGCCGCCTTGTTTCTTTTCTTTATCTTTTTTTTCTTGTGTGGCGGAAGAGGGGGGGGGGGTCATTTCGCGACGTTGAGCGCATCTCGTAGCGAGATCCCAGGATTGCTCGCTGCAGGGGTCGAGAAATCGATGGGAAAGGAGCCACAAGTCTGAAAATCCATGCGAATGGCCTGTATTCAGAGACTGCGTCTAAAGGAAGGAAAGGAAAGCCGTCCCAGTGTGCCAAACCTGTCAGCTGAGACCATCTACAGACTCGGCCAGAGGTGCCTGCTGGCTATGCCAAGGTCAGTCAGTAAATACTTAAAGTTACTGGCCCTCGCCACAGGTCTCTCTTTTCTGCTCTTCAGCAACATCCAATATCCATTCTCTTCGTCATACAAAAATGATCAAGAGATATTGACAATGAGTATATGTCGATTCCAATGCTGTAGACAATGTCGTTCTATAGACGGCGTAGTGCTTAGTTTACAGCATTATTAGTATCCAACATGGCCTCCCAATGTGGATACGCCATGACCGTTTTAGGGTAGTAACAAGCGACTTCAATTGAAATGTAATGATTCAGCGTTTAGTATTGGCTGATGCAATGCACGACTCTGGGGCGACGAGGCCCGTTTTGCTTCGGGGCGTGCCGCGTTTTTTTGGATCTTTTTGCACTAACAATGCAAACACCTTGCGCCTCGACATGGCGCCCAAGCCCAAAAAGCAAAAACCACCCAATCCCATCTCTGCTGCTATCAGGGACTGGGTCGACCAATCTGGCCTCGATGTTGGGGCCATTGCCTTCGAAAACGGGGTCGAGATCCTGGTTGCTGAGGCGCCCAAGAGATGGGTGGACTATGAGCCCATGATTCTGCTGCCCAGCGGTAGCTTCACGACGGCGGCCTGGACGGCAGTCCTGGGAACAGTCACTGAGGACTGCAGGCTCGATCTCTGGAAGAGGATCTTGCGCGGTATCGGGACCAAGACGTCAGGAAAGGCTACACATCTAGCCGTGAACGACGGAATCCCTTTGATGGTGGCAGCTCAATCTGTATCTTCTGCTCCTTCTAAGCCTGATGAGGACAGCGAAAATATCCTAAGAAGTCCGATCGGCCTGCGTACCCTGTACGGAGACTTTGGCCCGACAGAGACACAAGGACATACTATCACTCAGCAGGACTTCGACCATGCCTTCTGGGTCTCGACAAAGCAGAACGGGATCTACCAGACATGGGCGCCGCGCTGGACCATGTTCTCAAGAGGCAACGTGAAGGAAAAGGCCAGGCTGCTCGCCTTTCACGACGCCGTTGCTGCTGCTGCTGCTGCTGCTGCTGCTGTTCCTGCTGTTCCTGCTGGTACAGAGCCCATGTCGGCAAAGAGAGAGGAGTCGTCAACTCCACCGCTGGCACACAGGGCGCGATCCAGAACAGCGCTGGCAGATACCTGGGCCATCGACCTCTACGCCGGGATCGGCTATTTCGTCTTCTCGTACGCGAAGCTAGGCATGAGGGTTCTCTGCTGGGAGCTGAACCCGTGGAGCGTCGAGGGCCTGCGCAGGGGCGCCGCGGTCAACGGGTGGTCTGTGAGGGTCGTCCAGGGCGAGGAGGAGCTGGCGAGGCCGGCGCACGAGCTCGTGGCGGGCGAGGAGAGGATCGTTGTGTTTCTGCAGGACAATCGGGAGGCGGCGCGGAGGGTGCAGGAGCTGCGGGCGTGTGGCTTTCCTCTGCCCGTGTCGCATGTCAACTGTGGCCTGCTGCCCAGGAGCGACGACAGCTGGGACGTTGCGCGAACTATCCTGCTGGGAGGCGGCGAGGACCGCGATGGATGGCTGCATCTGCACGAGAATGTCGGCGTAGATGATATTTCGGGCCGCAGGGATGAGATTCAGGGCGTCTTTGACCGCTGGGACCTGCGAGACGAATGCGACCGTACTGCGAAGGTTGAACATGTCGAATTAGTCAAGACCTTTGCGCCTAGTGTGTGGCACTGCGTCTTTGACGTCTATATTACAAAATCTAGGTTGAGAAATGCATCATAATAGCCCTGCCCTGCCACTCCCTCCAGAAGAAATGGCCGCCATCGTGTGCCCAGTCGTTTATCTCGTCTCCATCTTGGCATTATATGAGCCCCATCAGCCTGCCCTTCTGAACTTGTCAGGAATGTTCTCCTCCACTATCCTCCTGTGCGTCATCACCTCCAGCCTGTCCTGCTCGTCCTCCATCTGGTCGTGCAGCCTAAAGTGCTCAATGTCCTCCGGGTGCGTCAGGTCCTCCAACTTGGTGTTCTCATCATGGTACATCTCCCAATGGTGAATCTCGTACTCGAACTCCAGGTCCCCGTGGTGGCCCGGCCCCGTGCCAAAGTCTGGGAGTGTGCCCTTGTCGCGGCTGATGAAGTTCTCGAACTCGTCGCGGCGAATCACCCCGTCTCCGTCGGCATCGGCCAGCCGCAGGACCTCGCGCACAATCTCTTGCTTCCGCTCGTCGGTGACGTGTTTGTTTGATTCGTCCATGAGGCCGTATGTGCGCTGGATCTCGGAGCCTTCCCACTGGCCGTCTGAGTCGAAGTCGTGCAGGGCGAAGAAGGAGGAAGCGTCGAAGTCGGCGATGTGATGCTCCTCTGAATGGCGGGGAGAGGGAGGGATCGTCAGATCAGCGCAACGGTTTGGATCACAATGACTGTTAGATGAAAAAGAGAGGGAGAGAAAGCTCACCTGCCATGTGCTTGGTCATCCAATCGGCATTCACGTCCACGATGGGCTTTTGTCCATGGTCACCGCCGTGCGCAAAGGCGGCACCGCTCAGGGCGAGCACGGTAACGAGGGTGGGCAGCATGATTCGGTAGGAGTTCAGAAATGAATGGAGGTCTTGTGATATGAGTGCAAACAATGAAGATCGGAGCCCTAGGTTTGAGAGTTTGTGGTAGAGACTATGTAGATTGCGCAATCAACGAAAGACTTGAAAGGTTGCAGGTTGGATGCGAATGTCTGGATCGACCGCATGCATTCGAGACCCCTGCTTGCTAGGCAAATCGATAACCAAACAGTATAGCCTTCCTTGCTAGCTTCAGGGGGTTCAACACCAAAAGCGGCCCCAGGGGCCTCCTACGTCACCGCAGTCTCAACCACCTGAACTGGGAAATGTTTCTTCCCTGGAACTATTTTTCAGGACGCAAAATGATTGATCAGTTTTTGTTGAAGCCAATACGAGGCTGTTCGTTTCTTTAAGAGCTGCTGGCCATAACATGTTGTATACGAAACATCTTATCGTGCGTGATATAATCTTCAGACCAGCTCAGGTGTGGCCACATAATAATGCAGATATCTCCTTAATCATTGCGCAATCTTCGAAATGCAGATGTTGGTCCCTGACTTGACTTATTGACTCCCCCCCCCGGCCCCCCAATCTGGAATTTAGAGCGGGTATGCGCGTGGACACCACGTGCTGTCGTGTCTTGCTTGGGCCCCCTGAAGATCGCGTCTCCTTCCCCAGAGTTCTCGGCCCCTCGGCGCGACAAGCTTAATTCTCTATCCAGCTCCAAAGCTCCGTCCTGACCAGCATCCACTGCTACATCATAACAACACCACCACCACCACACCAGCCACAATTTTCTTGCACTGAAGAGTCAACATCACCATCAACCATGAGCCGACCCATCGAGCAAGCTCTGCTATCTCTTCTGCCCTCACATAACTCGAATCTGCCCCCTCCCTTAGTTGAGCACGCAGGCTCTCTGCTCGCTCAATCCCGGAACAAGGCGAGCACCCTCAAGGCAGAAGAGGAGGTTGCGCGGACCTATGCATGTGCTCATATAGCATGTGACAGGTAAGAAAACAAATCTCTTCTTCGAATAACAGATCATAAGCTGGATTTTTGGAAATAATATAAACTGACGAGCACGAATGACAGACTGAAAATCGTGCTCAACCTCCCGCCCATCGAACCTCGGCCTCCTGTCCCACCACGTATCTACAAGCGTCTCTACACCCATTTGGACAAGATCTTGCCTGCCACCTCCCTAGCTGGTCGCCCAAAGGCCAATGGCCTCGGCACGCCCAGGTCCAAGGGGATCAGCTCTCCTGTATCACGATTTACGCCTTCAAGAGGCACACCGACCAAGGAGGTTTCGTTGTCACAGTTCCGGACACCCAGCAAAAGAGGCACAGGCACGCCGTCCAAGGTAAATACACCCAGCGCACCCAGTTCATCCCTGCCACCCTGGATTCTCCCTACTGTGCGCCGTCTCTGCACAGCTTTTGCGGCTGACGATGGTCCTGACCTTGCGCGAACCGTCATGGCTGGGCTCGAGACCATTGCGGCGCCATACAACAAGAGGACTCAGGACGAGTGGGTGAGTGGCCATTTGACATCACTGGTCGGTGCAATATTCTGGTGCGTGTCGGAGTCGGCAGGTCTCGCGCCCGGTGAGGAGTTGACCCCAGAGGCATCGCGGACGCGCTACAAGAACATGAGAAAGGATATGTTGAGTGTCCTTCGCAGCGCGAGAGAAGAGATTCAAGTTACAGTGCCACCAAGGAGAAAGGGCAGGCATGTTGATGCTACAGGGGACCTGGAGGGTATATTCTGGGACGGCTGGGAAGAGGATATGAGGCCGGCTGATCTCGACGCAGCTATCACGGAAGTGACAAACAGGGGGTGGCTGAACAGCGACTGGTACCGGAGCATCGAATTCATCAGGGATACGGCCGACGGCGCTGAAGGTGAACAAGGGGGCGAAGATGGTCCTGGCCGGAGTCCAGTGCTTGCCGCTGCCACCGTGCAGATCACCAAGGCCGACACCATGCTGCAGGACAAGTTCGACTACCTAAGTGAACGCCGAAGGGCCGACTACCACCAATGGAAGGCAAACATTATGCGGCGCATCGAGCTGCTGGAGCGTGGCAAGGATGCAGATCCGATGGAGGTTGACTCGTGAAGCTCAATCGAAACAACCTCAGCAGCAGCAGGCAATTGGCAACCAAAAGTTGAATCCTCGGCGACTGTTTGACCGCCTTCGGAAAAGAAGAAAGGAAAACCAAAATTCTGTGCCGCGGGTTGGAACTAACTCGGACTATCGACCGTTCCTGCATACAAGCTACTGCAACGCGGTTCATTACGTGATCATTATACATCTCTCAACACCTCGGAAATGTCAGCAGCAAGATCGGCCTCTTCTATCACTCGTTGCTCGGCGGGGTGGTGTGTGGGAGGGATGGGCTGCGCATCGTCTGCATGTACTCGGCGTGGGTGTGTCCATGGGGGGTTCCAGGCTGTGGGGACACCATCTTCACTTCTCATGGCTTGTTGAACTTCCTGGCATGCACGAAGAAAAGCCATCTTTGGAGGGCCACAGCACCAGTCATTGACAGTGTGCAGACATACGTCCTGGAATCCTGAGAAAGGAGCTCGAAAATGTGTCAAGCTATCAGGGGATTCTCCCAACAGTGTCACTACCAACAGAATTTCGTGACTATCCCCATCTCCAGTGGGCCCACATGGTTGTTAGCCGCTGAGGGATGGGGGACCTTGGCCAAAAAGGCATGGTGGCAGGTTTCAGATACGAGGTAGTAGCTCCTCTAAGCCCCTTGGAGGAGTACAATAAGCACTTTAGAATGTAACGTCCTCAGGATAAACTTATCGCAGCCGATTCTTCCATCTTTGATCCAGGCTGACGAAATGCTTTCTCAAGGTCGCCACGTTCAAAGAACCCACGTGTTTTGAACCGCCAGCCAGCCACACATCTTCCGTTCCGACCTCATGGGGCCAATAATGTTGGCGGATTCGACGTTGACTTGTTCCTCTTCGGCTCTCGCTTCGGGACGATGTATTGACTTCTCAGCTAAGCCAGCCCGCCCCGCGACCCTGGCCTCTACAGGGGCTGATGCCCTGAGCAGAGCAGAGAATAGAAGCTGGGCTGGAATGTAATGGCCGCTACTTATACGCTAGACAATCGTTTGAGAACCCGGATGGTGTGTGCTTTAACACGATCTTGTCATTCCGGTGACTTGTTCTGATTTGGAGGGTGGGGAGCTTTCCCCTGGGCCCTAGTCTCAGTCAAGAAAGGAATAAGGTCGCTCAGCCGACGTCCTGTCCTCGCATAGCCTATTTATGCAGAACCCAAGGAAATTCTTGCGAGAGGGAAGGGAAAAGGTCTCAGCTACCTAAGCGGTCAACTTACCGTCCCCCACGGCTGGTGGCATCTCAGCTATGCCATGAGCCGTGCTATGACAAGCCCTGCGACGGCGGTCTAGCTTCTGTGGATGCACGTCGGCACATTCCCATTCGACAGCGCGGAACTGGCTCGCATGTCAACTTGGCTGGCCCTCTTGTGAACACAAATTCCGAGCATACATGACGACAGTGTGGCAGATGCATGTCTCAAGCATCCATTGCCGCATGCAGACTTTTTTATTTCTTTCCGACCATCATGACCTTGTCTGCAGTCTGCAGTCTGCAGTCGAGGAGAAAAAGGAGTCCCAATTCGTACAATGGCGACTAGGGCTCGCCACCACACGCTGCACGAATTGGGCTGTAGTAAACCTGATCAGATCAGGAAGAAGCAAATATCACTGATCAGACAAGACGTTGCGCAACAAACGGCCCAGACGGGTAAGGAAGAAAATATACCAGTCTGTGTCACAAAACGGGGAGTCACTAACCGCAGCTTGAGAAACGACAGCAGCAGACCTGTGTCACACAATCCAGATGCCTTCTCTTACACAACAGCTTTTCTGGCAAGTCTCACCCATGATGCTCTTGTGGTCCATCGCCTACCTCATGCAATCATTGGTCAGCTTTCAGAGCCATCCGCGCCCGCAGCTCGCTATCCCGTCCCAAGCAGCAATCTGATGGGCCTTAAACAAGTCTCGTATCTTCGTTGTCCTCTGCTGCTGCACCATCCTCCTAGCCGTGCTAGACAAGGGCGGGCGGGCGTGTGTGTGCGTGGAACAATAGCCTGATGAGGATATTGGGGAGGGGGGGGGGGGAGGTAACCTTGGGGCTTGACAATACCTACAAACACACACAAACACACACACACACACACACCCCTCTCTTCTTCTGTTCGGCGATCGAGGTCGGGGACTCTGGTGGTGCTGTGGGCTCAATTGACAGGCTAAGGATGCTATCCTTTTGCCGGGTCATGCAGGTATGAAGACCACAGCTGAGGGTCGCCAAATGCTTTGCCCCGTCCGAGCCCCGTCAAGACTTTCCGCCTCAGTTCCAGCCGCGTTGTGAGACATAGCTAGCGCCACGCAGGGCATGGTTACTTTGAGAGCGCCCGGTTTGAAAAAGCCAAGATTCAGCTTCTGCGTGTCCTTTTTCAAACAAACGGAATTTTTTTTCTTTTTCTTTCTGTGCGATCAGGTCACCTAGCCTGGTCAGAGACATGGGGCAGGCGAGCCCCTTTCTCATCCTCTCTGTCTCAGCTCTCTTCTCTTCAGTATGTTTTTGTTCTTGCTTGACGATAACAGCAAGCCCCAGATGGTCATGTCTCTCTTGACGATGCTCTGTATTCACTTATACGGTAAGATTACTCGCACATCTGGCGAATACTACCAATTATGATTTATTATGAGCAGTCACCATCAACAGATAGTTGTCTCTTCTCTCTCCGGCCATGGAGCTTATGCCCATGCGCCTCGCCTCTAGGGCCTAGGCTGAAGGGTAGTCTAGGGACAAGAAAGAAAGAAAAGCAAAGCTACATTCGCATGGCTAGCTGCATCTTCTTGTTCGTAATCGGGGTTCTAGGTGTGGGGAAGCTCCTTGGATGCTGGCTGCCGGCAACTCATACGAGCAGAGCTAATCATTCTCGTCCGGCGGTGGGCGAGCGCATAACACCCGTGCGACCGCAGAGATCTCACACCTGTGTGGCGCACATCCTCGCAGCAGCCCCAAGTATCCAGCCAGCCCTCTTGTCTCGTCACGGTCTGTCTACCCCCCCCCCCTTTTTATTTTATTTTCTTCTGTCCCTCTCTCTCTTTCTCTCGCTCTGTCTGTCTGTCTCTTCGGCGACCTGGGTTCGTGGGCTCCTCCCCACCCACACCACATACACCCTCCCAGCCCATCAGACCGTACAGTTTCATCTTCACCGTGCGCGTGTGTACGTCGCCGTTTCTTGTGCCTTCTCACCTCTGTGTTGATATCTACACACCGGCGCTCAAGTGACACGCCTGTGGAGCATGGTGAACAGTTACGGATCGTCGGGAATAGGGGTGTATGTGTGTATGTCTGTGTGTGTGTGTGTGTGTGAGGGATGGGCTGGTTGATGATTGGTACACACCTGATTTGTGGCTTCAGGGGACTCTGCTGCTAAATATCGTGCATGATATGGGACTGTGGGGGGTGTGTATGTGTGGGCATGTGTGGGGGGGACCAAGATTCACTATATACGAGCTGTCGTTTGCATATCTATCTGCCCCCCCCCCCCCTCTCTCTTTCTTTCCCCCCCTCTCTCTTTCTTTCCCCCCCTCTCCTTTGTCTCCCTCTTGTCTCTTCTTCTCCGCCTCGCCATTTTTCGTTTTCCATCGAGGGGGTAAAAGGTAGATTGGTGCCTTGGTCGCACACGTCTATCTGCCTCACCTCTCTCTCTCTCTCTCTGTGTGTGTGTGTATGTGTCCCTCTCCACGCTCTTCTGCTTCCTACTTCTCAAACCTCGCCTTCTTCGCACCTTACATCTTCCATTGCAGATATTTCCATCATCAGCACGGTTCCTTCTCCATATGCTGTCTATTGGTCCATAATCCTGATGGTTAATGATATGTCCTCGCCCGTTACACACCATACAGAGACGACTTACCTACGTCCTTACTCCTACTCTTCGCTACCAAATTCAAGTGTTGTTTGATGACAGGAGGGCGAGAGAGGAAGAGAGAGATCTTAGAAATTGAAAGAAAAATGAAGAACAAACGGGATGGTGACGACGAGTGCGCGTGCCCCTTCAGCAAGCCGGGCGAGGGCGACTTCACGTTCCCGGAATACTGGGACCCGCCAGCCTCGACAGCAACCCGGCAGGACTGCTTCGACGCATGTCAAGATGCATTCCTGACCAGCCTGACGGGCCAAATACATGTCAGCAACGTGACGTGCCAGCTGCTGGAGGCGAACGGACAGGGAGGGAACATCTTCTGGGCGCTATATGACCTGAATATGAAGTATTGCGGGTTGCAGCTGTCGAGTGTGGCTCATCCGGATCGTAAGTTGTGTCATCTTGTCATATATTTTATTCATCTATTTGTTCCTATTGCTTGTGTTGTGGTTTACTAGAATGAATGACATGTTGACTGGCAGGGGGGTTGGGCCACCAGCTGGTGTGGAAAGCATCATTTCTACTTGCGATAAGTCAGTCCACTTCTTCACTCGTTCACCGTGGGTTCATAGCAAAAGTGAACTAACAATCGTGTCACAGCATCGGCTATGGAGGCCTGGAGGATCCGTCGTGGCCTCCAACATCGTATCAGTGCAGCGTGTGCCCTCTAGACAAGGAACAACAGATAGAGCAGACCTCCACCATATCTAGAGACCAAGCTGCTTCTACTGCGATTTCTAGGGCCTCCATATCAGCTGCGGCAGTGGGCTCCTCCTCTTCCTCGTCGTCAGCATCGCCGAATATGTCAGGCTCAACCACTGCTCCCGGCGCAGTGGCCACTCACGGTGCACCCTCAGCAACCAGTCTTTCCTCATCAAAGTCAACAGCTGCAGCTGCAGCCAGCAACAGTAATAGTACTCTGAACACGCCACCAGGTCAACGTCTCTCGACACAAGGAATCGTCGCCATCGCAGTATGCAGCACCATTGCAGTTACAGCCACGATCCTCCTCCTTTTCTGCGCCCTCCGCCGGAGACGGAGACAACAAGAAGCCCTTGGCGATTCCTCAATTGGTGGTCTCAGAAGCCGGATCAGCAGAGTCGCCAGTGACTTTGCCATGCCACCTGTGGAGTCTTACCAGCCATTAATATCACCCACTTCATCCCTCAACGCCAACGACAGGGCATTCCTGACGCCACCTCTACGGCTCCGGGACAGGAAAATACTCCCGTCTCTCCTACTACCCTCATCATATACAGAGCAGCAACATCCTCTTCCTGTCCCTCCCTCTATCGTTATTGGTCCTTCTTGCTCTGCGGAGGGGCGGCATCCCAGTGGTGGTAGCAGCCTGTACAGCAGTACAGGTCACAGCCCCGAACCAGCAGCTGCAGCTGCTGCAGCAAAAGCAAAAGCCACAGCGACAACATCATCGCCAGACGACCCAATGAGCCCGTTCCCCTTGTCGGCAGTCTGCGCTCCTAGGAGCAACAAACTCGAGCCACGGCTGGAGAAGCTACACAGTGCTATGGGTGGCACCACTGCCAGGGCCGCCTACTCGTCGCCTGCTCCCATATCGTCATCGTGTACTGCTGCTGCTACTGCTACAGTTCTGTCCTCCTCGGCCTCCCCTGAGCCGTCGTCTCCTCCATATACGCAGCTTGGATCTCCTCCTCTGGCACCACCAGCGCCAGTGAGCCTTACCTTTCCGCTGCGGTCGAGTTTAGACGTGCCTCCTCTTGCTATAAACCAAGGCCACCGCCGTGGTGGTGGAAATGCCAACAACACCAACAACAGCAATAAGCACGACTACAACAATCCCAGCAGAGGCGACTTCACCACCTCCAGTCGCCACCACCACAACAGGGTCGCCTCGCCCACGCCCATCTCCACCAATCCCTTCGCACCCACCCCGCCCTCCTCCCCAGTCCGGCCCCGCAGGCCCCACGACGAGCCTCTCGAGATCCCAGACCTAGTCAGCCCGCTGAGCTCACCTGCTCGGTCGGTGCGAGGCACCTCGCCGTCTCCTGGTCCGGCGCCCAGAGTGGCCTTGCCGCCTCCGCCGCCGCCTGCTGCTCTTTTGTCTGTGCCGGGCTCGGTGGGGGAGGGAATTGGGATTGCTCGGACTACGGGGGTGGAGGAGATGCGTGGACATGGCGTTCATTATGGTGGTGGGGGAGGAAGAGGAAGAGATAGTTGGGGGAGCTGGGAGGACGTGGAGGATGGGGAGGAGAAGGAGAAGTTGGGAGGGGTGGCGTCGCCGTCCCTGCCGGCGCGGAGGATGTTTGGGGCCTGATTATACCATGGTGGATTGGGCAGGAATAAGGCAGGCAAATAGGTGTGGTGAGAGGCAAGAAAGAAAGAGGAGAAGGCGGGGAAAGGAAGGAAAGAGAAAGAAAAAAGAGATGAACAGAGTCATATTGTCGTGCCATGCCGTGCACCACCAGCGTCGGTCAGTCTTGCACCAGCGACTTGACTGAAATGTGTGTATCCTTGTTCTCTGGCTGGAAGGGAAAATACTAATACATAGACGGCGTTCTAATGGAGACCAGCGTGACAGGACTGAGAGAGGGGAGGTTATGAGACGGAACTGGGAATGTTGGTTGTCGCGTTGTCTCCCTCCCGCTCAGGTTTCAGTCAGGATCCAACTCTATCAAAAGTCAGATTTCGGATGAGAAGAAGCTGTTCATGTAGTAGTGAAAAGAAATTGTCCATATGTGGCTAATTCAGTCTGCTTTCGACTGTTGAATGAAAACCAAAGTGGGCCTATCTATGGCAAAGCCGAGGAACGTCCCCAGTCAGTATTCGTATAATTCCTTAATTATTTACCTTTTCAAAGACTCACATCAACCAAGCCACAAGCTCATCCATACTTATTTAGGATGAAAACTGAAGAAAGGCGACGTTAAACTCGTCATCTAATTGAATTCATCCCACTACGATTATGAGACCATTAGGCTTTCACACGCACTGTCACAGTTGCCCGTAGTCAAGGTGACCCCGGCACTCTTTGCATAAACTCGCATAGTATGAAGGCTGCGCAATCCGACGACAACTAACATATTTCTCTTACTCAAGCGCAGGCCGCAACGCATGAACAAAACGTTCCTGGGTCTACCTGTACCACGACCCTGAAGGTTTTTTTTCTTCTTTTTATTCTCCGTATTTCGAAATAGCCTTGGAAACCTGGAAGAATTGACGTCACATGCAACCGAAGGCAATGGGTCTCTCCTGGTTCGTCCTCCCCGTTCATCATAAGACTTTCCTGACGAAACTGTTAATTCATGCATGCATGCTCCATCGGAGCCGAGAACTGTTGCCATTACGCAGATGACGGGTTTCCTTTTTAACAACCTTTCAGTCTTGAGCATGACGCATGCATGAACCAGCCTGGTCAGCAACAAACCTTTCCCATCGTCTCCTCTTCCCCCAGGGTCGAGACTCTTTTTGTGGGCTTGTTCATCTCGACGGTCCTTACCTGGTCCTAGTAGGAAGCGACATCATCTCAGTCTTGTCGGGCTATAACGAAGTATGTGCAGTTTCGTCAGACTTGGTTTCTCGACGGTAGATGGTGACGATCAGTCTGGGGATCATGAGTTAAGATTTTGCTGTAAACTTACCCAGTCCCGGTGAAGAACCTTGTATTGGAGTCTGGTTTGATAAATAGGAGGTTGCTGCCCACTTCTTTGCTGGCCCTGATGGTGTTTGTCGATATAATTTCTGGGTCTGGTGAATATTGGCTTTGCTCTACGTCGCAGAGTATTCTTCTTCCTACTCCTTTTCTGGAGCCATAATTAAGCCTCCTCGACTGGCCACACTTCTTTGTGTACATACGGCACACCTCGCCTTCGTACTGCAAAAGATGGCCACCAGATCCTCTCCCACCAGATCCTCTCCCTCCAGCCATCGCTACTCTCATTCTTCCGAGGCCCTCCACAACACATTCAGACAACAAATCCAGTACCCAGGCGACGAAGCCATCATCCCAGCAGGCCGGCGCATAGAAGCAGCAGCAGGCCACCGCACGGACGACTCCTCAGACGACAACAGCACCTCGCCGAACGCCATCGTCGTTGCTCTAGGCTACGACTCAGACGAGTCCAACATCCTTCCCTTTCCAGCACCTCCCCGTGCAGTGCCACAGCCCCCTGCCAGCAAAGGGAGCTCCCGCTCTCGATCACGCTCACGAGCACCACGAGGCACTCTGAGGGAGCACGCCTCCGACTCGCCCGTGTACAGCAACAACAGAAGCCGCAGCCAGCCAGCAGCGTCGTCCACAAGACATCCCAAGCAGTCTCGCCTCCAAGATCCTTTTGACGTCCTGGGAAATGACAACCCCACCACCACCTCATCCTCCTACGGCCCCGACCGCGCCTTGAGGGAGCAGGCCCGTCACCCGGATTATCCTGACCGGCGCACTTACACCAACAGACCCCAGAGCCGTGCCCATGCCGGTCCACCACAGTCGTACCTAAACCAGCGCAACACGGCACTCGTCCAGCAAGAACAGGACGCCGCGAGCATGGCCTGGATCGAGGAGACGCACTCGACACGCAGTGGCGGTCCAATGTACGGCGGCAACCAGTTTCCCTATGACCCTGCCTCCTTTTCGCCCGGTAGTAGGGACAAGTATCACCGCTACTATGACGAGGAGCAGGGCTATGGAGGACAGCAGCAGCAGCAGCAGCCATCGCCGCGCGTGGAGTGGAAGTCCCTGACCAGGGAACAAAAAGCCGAGGTGCTGCGCCTGCCGTGGTCGCAGTGGATGAACTCGGAGGTGAAGAACCATTTTGTGGCCAGCCTGGGGGAGTTTGTGGGGACTACCATGTTTCTGTTCTTTGCTTTTGCTGGGACCGAGGTTGCTAATATCCAGTCGGATGCCAATGGTTCTTCTTCTGCGGGTTCTTCCAATAGTGTAAGTTGTTGTCGTTGTTCCATGACGACTTTTCTCTGTTGTTCGGCCAAAGAAAAGAAAGCATTTCAATGTTCAATCTCTCTTATACTGATATGGATATTATCTTCAGACCACAGGTGGCGTGACTGGATTCAACATTGGCGTCCAGCTCTACATTGCCCTTGCTTTTGGCTTTTCCCTCATGGTCAACGTCTGGGTAAGTTTCCCAGATTTCTATTGCCATTCAACCACGGCAATACAAGTTTCTCTTTCCCGCTGACCCCCCCCCCCCAAAAAAAAAGGTCTTCTTCCGAGTCAGCGGCGGCCTCTTCAACCCAGCCGTAACCCTAGCCATGCTCATGATCCGCGCCATCAAGCCGGCCCGCGCCGTCTGCCTCTTCCTCGCCCAGATCGCCGGCGCCATCCTCGCCTCCGTGCTGGTCCGCAACCTGTTCCCCGTCAACTTCAACGTCCGCACCACCCTGACAGGCGGCGCCAGCATCGCCCAGGGCCTCTTCATCGAGGCCCTCCTCACCGCCGAGCTCGTCTTCACCATCTACATGCTCGCCGCCGAGAAACACCGCGCCACCTTCATCGCGCCCGTCGGCATCGGCCTGGCGCTCTTCATCGCCGAGATGGCCGGCGTGCAGTTTACCGGCGGCAGTCTGAACCCGGCGCGGTCGTTTGGGCCTTGTGTGGCCACGGCTACGTTTGATCAGGACCACTGGATTTATTGGGTGGGACCGGGCCTCGGGACTTGTATTGCCTGGTTGTTTTACCGCTTCATCAAGATTCTTGAATATGAGGTGAGTAACACAATTTTGTTGTTCTTTTTTTTTTTTCTTCTTCTGCCCTTGTGGTCCAGACTTCCTTTCATTCTTTCCATTGACTGACGTGATGATAACTTCAAGATGGCTAATCCTGGCGCTGACGGTGATCCGCACAACGATCCCACCAAGAATCCCGAGAAAAGGGCAGAGTTACAGCTCCCTAGGCACAAGTCGAGTCTCTCCAGCGTGAGGGCGGAATCAGAGCCGTAGCCTACACAGCAGTACAAGGTTGATTATGATTTTGAGATAATACCAATGTGGACGTAAATACATGACGACTTTGAATTACGGTTGAATGAGGAAATGGCACTTATATCTTATTATTTTGGGAAAGGAAAAGGGAAAGGGAAAGAGTAACAAGTAAAATCCACGAGAGATGTAATTCATGTACATAAAAATGAGGAAATGGACTCTTTATGCATAATCACGCCCATGACTGAGCGTGAACAACTCAACTGTGGCACGGGAAGGATACACTCACTCACTCAGAACAAATAGCTTTGAATGATGATGAGCGTATCCGCTGTGTTAAATATATTTAAATGCTTCTGAGAGCATTGCGCTCCCTGTAAATCAAAACCAAGCTCAAAGATCCACCCAGCAGAAGTTACGCATCCCAGTTCCAAACCTGAACTCATGACGCGTACCATTAGAATCCTTTCTTCCTTCTTCTTGGCGACGAGCAGGCCGAGTGTCAGGAACCATTTTCTCAGCTATGGCTCTCTCCACAACCCTCTCAGCCATCCACCGAGGAAAAGGGTTTGGGTCTTTTGTTGTCTCAGACGACGACCCTTCCTCGCGCGAGTTCATCTCTGCCAGCACCCGATCGACGAGCTCGTCGTACCCACAAGATGCGGGAGGTAGCTTGAAATCGTCTGTGAGGACGTCTCTGCCCGGAGGCGCAGGGGTGTTCATCTTGAGATCTTCAGGTGTAACGTGCTCTGGTTCTCCGATATCACGGTCTCGTGAGCCCACGCCCCTTGGAATATCACCTTGACAACTGGTATCTGTAGCCAGAGGGTGGATGATAGGCTTCACTCGTCCGCCTGCGGTCAAGTCACGCAACATCTCTGGGTCGATGTCTCCTTGCAGCTCCTCTCGCATCGGTGTCGGTACTTGCAGCCTCATTGGCTCGGGCCAGTGACCAGTGGCGCTCGATAATGCATCCAGCGGGTCAGTAAGGCGTGATTCAGGACTCGGGAGCCGCACTGCTATTCCTTCGCGCCTAGCTATCTGTGTCGGCCGCACGTTCTCGAAGGATCGCTTCGAGGGAGACTCGGGATTTTGTAGGTACACAAACCAACAGTATCCGCTGTGGTTGTCCGGCCGGTCAGATCATCAACTCTCGATACTTTGGAGCAGAGGCAGGGGCAGAAAATGAAGAAGGTTTTCAGAAACATACTCTAAATCCCGAAACCAGATCCCGTTGCCATGATCCACTTCTTCATACGCACAATGCATCCGAAGCAGAAGACTGCGAATAGGTCCTAGCATATTGACCGCCAGACAAAGCTGCACATCACATGCCTCTGACGGACAGACTCGCAACAAGCGACTCAGCCATCGCTGAATAAGACCCTTCTTGGTCCGTGACTCGAATCTGACCATGGCGGCGCGGCCACCGTCATCCTCCCATGGGGAAGACAACTGGATCTCAAAGTACCTGCGCCGGGTCGTGAAGGAGACATCTGCGTATTTCAGCATGCCGCGTAGGAAGTCATGGCTTCTCTAGAGGTCGGCGACTGGGAGGATGAGGCGGAAGGTCTTGTCTCTGTAGCTGGCTGGGTCCTTTAGGAGGCCATGTAAGGGGCGTGGAGGGTATTGCGAGGACGATGAGGATTGTTCTTCTTCAGCAGACGAAGGCCGGGGGCGGCATATCGGGGCTGAGAAGACGCAGCCCATCTTCGCGTCTCGAGGGGTCGATATAGACGGAAAAGGAGTTGATGTGGTGATCAGAAAAGGAAAAAAAAAAAAAAAAAAAAAAAGAGATAGAAAACAATGAAAGTATGTGGCACTGACTACTCTTTGTGGCGGTGTACCGTGGGAGGCTCTGCGTAACATCTTTCTTTTGCTTCTATCTTTTTCAGGACGAGGGTGTCAGGGTGTTGGAAAGAAGGAGCCCGTCTAGGCAGACGAGGTTGTCAGGGTGGTTCCTTCCGGCATACTCACTCCTCAGAGAAAGGAAACAATGAGCCGTAGTCGATTTTGTACTAGCCATAAGAGTACACAGCAGCCAAGCGAGATAGCCTCCCGAGGTTGAAGGGGAGAATTGCCATGCATGGCTGAGATGAGCAGTGGGTTGCTTGTACCGCCATGTACACTACAGAACCTGTTCAAAACGTTCAGGAGAGCAATACAAATCACAGCAGACTGTTTCACGAAGAGAGACAAACCTCGCCATGATGAGTGACTAGTTTAAATTCCTGAGACTCGCACCCAATTGACCCATGGATGATGACATCTTTTGACGACGTTTTCATGGACCAACTAACACATATACCTCCCTCCTCTCCCTCTTCAACCCCAGACATACACACATACACACACACACACACTATTTCTCTCACTCCCTCCAACAGACACACTGACTTAACCGAATCACTCACAAAATACCAGGAATAACAGCCCGCTTGCCCCGAATCTTCTCCTCCCCAAACCTCTCGGCATACCACCGCCTCCCCTTGACGGCCCGCGGCAGCATAGCCGAGACCTCATTCACCAAGAACATGAGCGCCGGCGTGCACGAGAACCCACACGCAACATAGAACCCAAACCACTCGGCCCACTCGGCCAGGTAGTGCGGGTACAGCACATACCGAAACAGGCCCGCCTGCGGGATGCGGTAGTGCTTGTCGACCGTCGCCGCGGCCCGTCCTCGTCCTCCACCGCCACCACCACCACTCTCCGTCGCCACCTTCTCCTGCCGCTGCAACTCGCGCCGCCTAATCTCGCGCAGCTCGTCGTCGTGGTAGAAATTGGCCGCCAGCCCGACATAGAACAGGGCGATGCCCACGGCAAACTGCAGGGTCGGGAACGGGCCCAGCTGGGCGCGCCAGGCGGCCTCGGTGACGGGGCCGTACGCCGCGAGCCAGCTGCCGAGGAGGGTGCCGTTGAAGAGCTGGAAGGCGAGGGCGGCGAGCCACACGGCGACGTGGATGGGCGACATGGAGGGCTGCAGGAAAGGGAACAGCACGGCGCGGTAGAGGTAGTGGATGACGAAGAGGCCTGCCAGGACCTGGTTCTGCCAGGGCAGGTCGGTGATGCCGTGCAGCCCGGGCAGGGTGAGCACCATGTACAGCAGGGTGAGGAAGCCCGGCACCTCCATGGTGAACCAGGCGAGCCGGCCGGGGATGTTGAGCTTGCTGGTGACGGAGGTCTTGCCCATGCCGTACCAGGGCATGATCCACTGCACCATGCTGTTCTGTGTGGGTGGGCGTGTGTTTTTTGTCAGTGTTTGTTTTTGTTGCACATCAAGGCAGGAGATAGAAGAGGTGTAGGAAGTGTGTCAAAACGCACCAAGGGGAAAAAACACCAGATGAGCAGGATTAAGTCGTAGTTCTCCTTGGACGGAGGATACCAGCCCTGAATGAGCGCCATGTTGACGAGACGTTGTTGTTCGGGAGAGCCGGAGCAACAGTTAGAACAAACGAATGAGTGATGAGCGTGGCGACGACGGAAAGGAAGAAATTGGGGAGAGGGCCCTGTGGACCGTTAGTAGGGACGAGAAAGTGACACAACCACCTTCAACCTCATCAATGACCTAGAATTCTGTATTTGCTACAGAAATCCTCAAAGGTGTTTTGGCACAAGCTAGGGGGGTCTGTCTTTGGAGGACATGCGGCTTTCCAATGGACCCACTTATCCTCCTGCAGGGCCAAACACAACCGCCCAGAGAACTTGCTTAGGTATGCTGTTTGGAAACTTTATCCTGCCTTGGCGCGTGCCATTAGCGTATTGACATCATGAATATAACTTCGTACTACGTAGTCAATTCTGCCACTGACCGCCTTTCAGAACTAAGTTTATTCATGCTAACATGCCTGGATGGGCAAGGTGACAATCCCGAGAGTCAATAGATGATATGATGATGATACTGCTCCGAACAAAGGTTTCCAATGTGATATATTTCATGCCAATGTTCCCCCCCATGCTCGAAACTCAAACGGGAAGAGGCATGGACCATATGCAAAGTACGTATATGTCGTAAAGATAAACAGAATTCTGTTCCAAAAAAAAGTTTCTTCACGAGTCACCACGGAAAGGCGAAGAGAAATACAACAACACCTCCCAGACGCCATGTAACCCAAAGCACAAGGACAAGACACATCCCTCAAACAAACCCTCTACAGCTCATCATGAATGTGCCTCACAGGCGTCCGTCCCTGAAGAGGCTGCTCATGCAGGCTATCCATCACCATAGGCGCCTGCTCACTGCCCGCCAGGCCGCCACCTGCCCCGTGCACAGCGTCCTCGTCAACAGCATGCTCCTGCAGCGCATCCACGCCGTGCGTGCCGTGGTCCTTGACAAAGGCCACCAGGTCCTTCACGGACCGATCGCCCGAGTATGTGACCGCGTTGCCGCTCTTGTCGTCGCCGGCCTTGTACAGCCGGATGAAGGGCACGTAGGGGATCTCCTCGAAGAGGTCGTTCTTCATGATGTCCATCTTGGCGATGGCCACGCGGTTGGCCCGGTCGGGGGCAGAGTACATGCTCGCCAGGGTCTCGTACTGCGGGTTCATGGCCCGGCAGAAGGGGCAGTCCTCGCGGTGGTAGTACAGCAGCACGTCCTTGTTGCCGTCCAGCACCACATCGTCAAAGGTCTGGGCCACCACCTTGGTGACGGGGCCTTCGTAGCCGGAGGGGACATCCTCGGACTTGATGGTCGGCTGCACCTTGCCCGAGAGGAAGTTCTCCACGAACGAGGCCACGTTCTTCTCGTCCAGCGCCCCCTTGCTGTTGTCGAACGGGTACTTCTTCTTGTTCGCGCCGTCGTAGATGGCCAGGGCCGGGAAGGCGTCGTCGCTCGGCTCGGTCCGGAGGTGTAGGTAGTTGGCAAAGCCCTGGAAGTCCGGAATCTCGGCCGTGGCAAATTGCACGGCCCCCTGGTGTTTCTTGGCCAGGGAGCGGAGCTCGCTGGAGAGCTTCTTTCGGTCGTCGTCGTTCTTGTGGAAGAGAAAGACGGTCGGGCCGTCGGACCCAGACACGTACTTGCGCCAGGACTCGGCGCCCGTCTCACCGATCAGGGGCTTGTAACCCGTCTTGGCAAAGTCCTTGATGGCATCCACCTCCCAGTTCTTGCTAAACACCACAGTACCTTCGTTGTCCGGCTTGTACAGCACGAGCGCCGGGAACGAGACGCCGGCGGCCTGTGCAGCGGCGGCGTTCGATGTGATACCGATGGGATAGTCCTCATGGAGCTTCTCGGCCGCCGCTCGGAGGATCTCCGTGTTGGCGGCATCGTCGCCCTCGAGGTACCCGACCAGGGCGACCTCCTGGCGCTCTCTCTTGAGAAACTGATCATGCGCCCTCTGGCTGGCGAGCGTAGACACCGTGGGCAGCACCTGCTTGGCCATGAAGTCGACGATCCTGTATTGATTCTGTCAGTCACCAACAAGGGTCACATAACACTCTCCCCTGACTTACGCCGAGACCCTCCGCGGGCCGTCATAGTCGTGATACAGCTCCTGACCGCTCTTGAAGATCTTCATGGTCGGGTATGCCCGGATGTTGTACTCTTGGCATAGCTTGTTGTGCTTGGTGCAGTCAACCTTGCCCAGCTTGACATTCAGGTCCTTCTCCTTGAGGGCCTTGGCGGCAGCCTCATACTTGGGCGCAAACTTGATACAATGTCCACTGGAAACGCCAAGTCATTAATCGGGGGGGTTGGCTCATGTGCGCACGACGCAAAAGGAAAAAAAAGAAAAAAGGCTAAAGATGAGATGATATTGGAGGCACGACTACTTACCACCAAGGCTGATGAGTGCGAGCAAGAGAAGATGAACGTTAGCAATCAGCAAGACCTGCATGAGAAAGAGGAGGGAGGAAACGACGACGGGAGAGTGGATGTTCCGTATGATCGGCCAGAAGGACCCGACCCAACGGACAAGGACGTACCGCATACCCTGTGTTCACACAAACAATATGTCAGTACCCGTTCTCAAGACCGCGCACGCGCTCACACACATTGTCTGCTGTTCAGGGAACACTCACAATCAACCATCACCACTTCACTCTCCTTGATCAACTTGTTCAGCGACAGCCTATCGAGCTCAATGGCCGCAGACTCATCCTGTGCCACCACGCCAGCTGCCAGGCCAAGCAGCCCGAGGGCAAGGCTGGCCAGTAGCCTCATCCTTGGAAAGAGAAAGGGAGTGTGTGTATAAGAGTCTAAAAAAAGAAATAAAGGGTGGTGGGGGGGGGGGGGACAACCAAAGATCAGGGAATGAGAGTCTGAACTAAACCGACGGGCTCACAATGAGCGTATGTGCACCATAACAACAAATCGAATAAATCAAAATGAAAGCTGAATAGAATAGAGAGGAAAATAGGTCAAATGACAGTGTTGAAAGAAAGGGGCTTCATACCCTGTCGATTGTCCGTGGGTGCGTGGCGACTACAGAAGATACGGAACTTCTTATTTTGAGACGTGTCCAATTTCGGGAAACTGTGCTGCTTTTCGCGTCCTATGGTTGGCAGGCAAAAAAGGCAGAGAGGTTTTCGGGGGTAAGAAAGAGAGGGATGTGGGGAGGAGAAGGTCGGCCCGGGACGCGTACGTACTGCGTACCTGACGCTAACACCCCAAACAGCTTAGGGTCTTGTAATTATACATACAAAGCAGCCACTTACTGAGCGGTACGTACCCTGGCCTGTCTCTATAGCGGCTGCATCCCCGTAAGGCGCTGTCAAGGGCTCTCCAGCCAGTGGAGTTTGGGATGTTTCAGGGGTCTCTTCAGGGGACGTGTGTCTCCCGACCTGTCAAAGTGCCTGTCAGTGATCGTCAGTGGGCTATTGGTGCCCAAAAAATCATTTCACAAAAAGAAAACGAAGGAGAAAAGGGGGTGGAAGGTTACAGATCTGAGAAAAAAATCACCCATAGAAAACCTTAAATCACCAAGATAAGAAGAAGGAGAACCTACCCTGTATCATCGTGCCGCGAACCCCCGCACCACTGTGCATATATACACACAATAGTTTCACAGCATACATAAAAATCGTGGAGACAATGCAAGTGGCATTAGATGCAGGCACATTGGGAATTCCCACATGATCATCCGTGGACGGCAAATGTGGACGGACAAGGTAGGTTGCGCCAGTTATGGCAAGTCACACAAACCCCGCACACACAGAAGAAAAAAAAGATCGTCTTTCCAGATGACTCCCTCGGGCGGGGTCGGTTGGGGCGGGCAGGCGGGCAAAGCGGGGTGGCCTGCATTTGGACCAAACGATGAAGTGTTCCTTGCAGGACGGGTAGCGGCAGATTGGTCGACATGTCCTTTTACTCTCAGCAAATCAAGTACCGACAGGAACGCTCAACAAAAAGAGGAGTTCCGTGCTCATACTCCAAGTTCACAGGCATTGGTGGTTGAGACTGGACTGAATTAGGAAGCCAGGGAGGAACAGAGGAAGAGGAAGACGATGCAAGGACAGTGTCTCTGTCCGACTTTTCCCGTATTCTAAAAGTCTAAGTACATAGTATTGCATGGATGAATACGAGAGAGAGAGAAAAAAGAAGAAAGCCACCCTGGATCCAGTCCATCCCAATGTCATTCCGTTACAATTCACCCCATCCATCCAAGGGTATCCAAAAGGGTATATACTAGGGCAGTGAAGCCATCCATCCATTTCCGATCCGATCCGATTTCCTGCCATCCAATGCCACCCAAGTGAAAAAGAAGATCTATCTATGGTGGTGGTATCTCTATCCTAAACGTATTTGTTTTTTTTTTCTGTCGGTGTTGTGTCATGATTCCCAAAGATCCCCCCTCCCCGGCCCATGTGTCGTTATACAGATTGATTCTTAAAACAGAAAAGAAAAATCATAATTGCCCTTCCCATATTTTTTTCTCTCCCCTTTTTTTCTTTCTTCTTAACCTGTGATTTCCAATCCAAGAAACTCCGTAGCAGATCATCCAACAAAGGAGAAAAGAAGTCCACCCAAGAAAAGTTGGTTGACGAAAAGGATTTGTTTTGGTAGGTTGTCTTCGGGCTTTTCTTTTCTTCAACGCACAATTTGTTTTCTTCCTCTTTCTCTTTCGAGCTTGCAAATGTTATCGTGATCATTGTGAGTGACAATGTCTTGGAGGTCGAGTATGCTCGCTTGGCGAACCCACTCGTCGATGATGTCGGTTCGTACTCCCTCCCGTAGCCATGTCTCCGAAAAGCGTAGTACGATGTGGACCATGACACAACGCGACGCGACCAATGCCGTGAAACTCGCGACGTCAACGGCAGGCGTGAGAAAAGAGGGAGGAGTGAAAAGGGAATAAATGCATGGATGGACCAAGGAACATTGAACCCTCTCCCTCTGTGGACATGTTATGTAAGCCGCAATCCGGAAAATAACACCCATCCGAGCCTTGCATGGAACAGGTAGGTGTTGGGGTGTGAATTTCAACCCGGGGGGAAGGGGTTCCCGTTTCTTTTTTCGTCTCCCGCATGCAACGTCGTGGTGGCCCGGCCAGATTCCTAATCGCACATGGCCTGGCCGGGAATCTGATTGGTAGCCTCGGTCGTTTCATAAGAATTCCATGGCGTTTGCCCTTTCTTTCTTCTTCAGCTGTCGGTAGTGGGGGCGTAAGCGAATCCAACTTGGGTAATATCCAGTCTAGTGGAGGGTGAAGGATTCCGTGGCTGCCGTGGTGCACATTGGCCTGTAGGTGTGACGGGAGAGTAGGGATGTGAGGCCTCAAGCGAGACAAGCCCTGTTACCGCACAGACTGTTGGATTTGGGCCTGTGTGACACTAATGCTACCTCTTGCGCATCTCAGGAGGAGGGAGTGGGTAGGGGTGGTAATTGCCATCCTCTGGGTAGACAGGCACGTTGGCATAGGTTGTGTACTCGACCGTTGGGCGATGGCTGCGAGGAGTTGTTGCCGTGGTCGGGCTGGGGATTGGGCCAGTGGCGATAGGAGGGTAGTTGGTCGCGATGTAGTTTCCTGTCCGCCTGGAGCTGGGTGACACCGGTGCTGTCGTCTGCGTGGCGGCTGTAGATCCTCCAGGGCCCCATTCCTCCAAGTAGGGCTGCCTCTCGTTGATACTCAGGCGACGGCTGCCACGGGTGGCCCGCGAGCTGGATGGTGGCTTGGACGAGCTGGAGTCGCTCGTTGTGCTTTCGGGAGAGCGGTTGAAGCGCGCTTTGAGCCGATCGTTGTGTCTGTCGCTGTCAGACTCCTTTGAGCTGTTGCTCTCATGCCGGCGGGGCTTTCCAGTGTCGGGCGAGGAGGGACTGTCTGTCTTCGCCTCGGACTTGTTGACCTTCTTTTGAAGCTTGGCGTACTTGTCCTTCAGATCCTTGATCTCGTCTCTCAGGGCCTTATTGCTCTTCTCGAGTTCCGATTTGTCGTCCTCCAGAGTCTCAACTCTCTGGTCAAGAGCGGAGACTCTGCTCTTGTACTCCTTGGTCTCCTTCTGGTACTTGCGGATTTGTTGCTCAGCTTCGGCGGCTTTGTTCTTCCACTGGTCCAGCTCGTTGACGGTAGTGCGAAGAGTCTCCTCGAGCGCAGCGATGTTGTACCGGTGGTCACTGTATTCAGAGTAGCTGGAGCCGCTCGACGAGCCACCGGTGGTCGAGGCTCGCGAGGATCCACTCCTCTTGTCCTTGTCCTCCCACCTCACATTCTTCCGGCTGGTGGTTGACATGGTAACTTTTTTTTTTCCTCTCCGCGCGGGGAGAAGAGGGGCAGTCCAGAATAAATATGCAGTAATATGGTCAAATCGGCTGGCCGCTTTGCCTCAGGACTGGAGACCTGGGTCGACGGCGACGCAGGAACAGTAGATCGCAGGAAAATGTGTCGTGTGCTGATTTGACCAGCAGGACGGGACGGGAATGCAGCAGTGCCCAAGGGACAGGAACCGTTTTTGAATTGGGCGAATTGGATGGGTAGCAAAGCGTGTAAAGCGTTGGGTAGGAATACCTGAATGGGATGGACGGACGCAGGGAAGGTAGTAATACCGGGGTGCGTCGGAGCCCAACTGGATAGCCCCTCTTGAAAAGGGATATTATTTATATGAATAGTACCCAAGAATGGATCCCGTTCCTGGATGAAAGGGAGCTGAGGGGGCAAAAGGTGTCTGACACACACTTTGGCACTAGCACAATCAAGATGAAGAAAAAAAAGAACAGGTGATGATGAAAATGATGTGAAAAGAGACCGACGGCAGAGAGAGTGTTTGACCTTGGGGACCAAAATGTATTTATTCCTCAGGCGTGTGGGCAGCAAACAGACAGAAAGAGAGAGGCTTAGACGACTAATGTCAAGGACTAGTGTGCTGCTGCCTCCCCGTGCCTCCCCGTGCCTCCATGCATAAGCACTCTCCCACCCCTCCTCTCAGACTAACGGAAAGAAAGTGGATTTAGCTGGAGATCACGGAGGGCTGGTTGCCTTGTTGCGCAGTGCGACGGAGCGGCAGAAAAGACAAGGGATCCATCAAGAGTAAGAGTCCTGTGTAGTAGTACTGAGTACGAGTCCCGCGAGACTGGAGGGAGGGAGGGAGGGTGGGAAGGGGGTGTGCCATCGGGGTGCCTTGGTGGTGTGGCCCCCTTGCACGCGCGCACTTGCACGGATTTGGATCCCCCATCCCACGCTTCAGCATGGGGGCAGGGGTCAAGAACGAAGAAAAGTAAAAAAGAAGAAAAAGGAGTCATAGCCGGTCGGGGAAAACAGGCAGACAGATGCACGTTGATTTGGGTTTGAGGGTCTCCCACCAAACCATGCATGTGTCACCCCATTTGTCTGCCAAAGGGCTATATGCCGCAGAGAAAGGACTCGCGTTTTCTTTTGATTTCGGGAAGAGAGAGATGCAGCAGGATGGCGATCAGCTTTCGGGTGTGGGTGTGTGAGCAGACGAATGTCATTGACAGCCTCGTGCAACCAACCCCAAGAAAGACTTTCCTCTCCCTCTTTCTTTTTCTCTGTGTGTCTCTCTCCCTTCCTTTCCGCACACTGTGGCAGTGTTGTCAGCTACTTACGCTTGACGATGTTGGTGGTACCACGGCCTGGCTGACGGGTGAGATGCGGCCTTTTCTTGGCTGAAAAGGAATCCTGGGCGATTTGGCCTATACGTCGCAGGGAGAAGCGCATACGATAGGACTTCAGCCCATATGTGAAGGACTTTTGCAGCTATGTTCTGGGTCGCGCAGCGGATTGCCGGAAACTTTGGCGCGAGGTGATGGTGGTGGTGGCAGTAATGATCGAAGTAGTGGTGGTGGTGGTGTGGCTGTAGTGTTGGCTGTAGGCTTGAATCCTAAGGGAGCCACGGTACGCCAGATGCCACACCCCCCCCCCCCCCCTCTTCTAGGGGCCCGAACGTTAAGGTCTGTCTTCCCCCAGGCCGACGCCAATCCTTGAGTGCTTGCGTCTGCAGTCCGCAGCACCGCTTGGCCCATTTGCGCGCCAGAGATTGTCAGACCTTCATGAGTCACAAGCGCCATGTGTAGTTCAGTCCTGCGGGCGATCTCATGCGCTGGCCGCAATTTGCACACAGAGCTGGAAGGGCCCAAAGTTACAGTACGGAACTCGCTCGACAATTGTATTTCTGATTCTCCTTGTCGCACAACACTCGGCAGTTCTTGGGTCAGACCGTGGCAGACGGGCTGAAGAAACAGCCAGGAAGGACGCTGGGCGGGCGAACAGAAAAACCTTGAAGTATAGCAGACCTACAGCGTAGTGATGTGACGAAGGACATCATCATCGTAGGTCAATGAGGGGAGGAGGGAGGGAAGGAGACGTACCAAGGCCCAAAAGGTCTTAATAAGGCTGAGGAAGACCGGGGTGGAGAGAAGTGTAAAAAGGAAAAATGGTCGCATGCCCTGAAGTAGCACTGCCACACGATACGGTGAGATTTCCAGGTGAGAGAAAGAGGAGGGGGTGGGAAAATGGATTAGCCAAACACCCACTTCCAACTTCCCAGTCTCGCGTGGTGGGTCTCTCGGGCCTCGCGGGCTCTCGGCGCTGCGGGGCCCGCCACTCCGGTATGTATCACGCCGGAACGATGGCTTTACCATCGAGGCTTCGGGCCCTTGGAGATGCTGCTGCTGCTGCTGCTGCTGCTGCTGCTGCTGCTGCTGCTGATCACTCGATGTTGGCTCCTCTGGGATGGAGGTGTTCATGACACACGCCCCCCCCCGGGGGGGTCGATTCATGCTGAACTGCATTTGTGCATGTCGTTTGTGTCCGAGAAGAGTCTTCTCAGGTCATACCCGCCGGCGAATCTCGATGAGACGGAATAGGCCATGCTGCAAGACCCTCCAGCTCGGTCTGTAGGCAACCTGAACTACTCATAGTCTGCACTGTAGCATGATGCGGTCAGAGATTGGGGAGATGCCGTGAGACACCAACTCTTGACATCTGAACTGTCAAGGTTGCACCTCAAAAGTTACAGTGCTGCCCAGGCCCATTCAGTGCAGACAGCGCCGGTTGTTGCTCAAGGGCAAAGCCTCCAGCAGCTTCCTGCAAGCTACCTGTGAGGGGCCATTTCCGCAAACCCCACCCCCACAAGGCACGGCCAGAGCCGTCAAGAGTCGATTGGCAGGGTAGACTTTGGATTGTCCAACCACTTTCCTCGCGCGTGAGTGGTCCCATCGGACCTTGCTGCAGTGTAGCCCATGCCCGTCATCGGCATCCCAAACTTGTCATGTCAAAGCTACCAGTGCCGGCTCGATTGCGAATCACATCCCAGCATGCATTCAGCTTGCCGTATAGGACCACAGCATCAAGTCGCGTTCCCCCGCGGTGGAGCCTGACCATCCTGTATGCTATCGATGTCTGTGCACCAAAACAGGATAGAGCTTCTCATCTCAGTCTAGCCAAGACCTGCAAGTCTGTCGTGACAAGAGTTGAGAGAGGTGCAGTCACCCATTCGACTAGGCAGACATGCTTTGGGCCCTTGTTCAGCTGATGAAGGCCAGAAGTGGTTTCCATCTTGTTTGTGGAGTTGTGGCTTGTGTAGTAGGATGTCTCATGAAACACTAGACAAAGCCTAGCATCATCGTATTGTTGACCCCTTTGATTACGTTGGGGATGGTTCGAACAAAATTTTCTTCAAGCCCAGAGAAACGTGTCGAAATTGGCTCGTGTGCTGGAGAAACGACAAGTGATGGTGTACTGAAGGGGAAAAGTGGAGGGAGGATAGGCGCGGAAGGTGCGTTGGGTGGCATGGGTTAGGGTAGCTGACTGATGAGGCAGGGATGTGACTACTGGGGGTTGTGCCATAGTGCCATGGTAGCCTAACATGTCTAGGCAAGTCCAACCTGAACCAGCTTGAGTCAGAGCCGAGAGACATTACCATTCATATCGACGACGACGACAACAACAAGAACCAACATCAAAGAACCGGGTGCCCACCGTGCAAAGATCAGCCAACATCTAACACCACAAAGTGTCAGCCATGAGACTCTCCAACTTAGATCTGGAGCCATCTTCATCCGACTGACGATTCCCTTGTGCCATGTTCCTCTAGCAGGTCTTCAGCTCACCATGACGTGTCCTCCCGCAATCGTGGCCAGCTCAGCCTGTACGGCGTAACATATCTTCGGTGTCTCCAACAGTTCCAAACGGACGGCAATGACTCTCACAGCATCGTGCAATGACGTACATCTTTTTCGGGATCAACAGCAGCAGATTAACAGGGCCCACGGTGGCGGCGGCACCGTTCACGGTCTGTTTCGTCGGTCTTCATGCAGCTGACCATGCATCGTCGACAAGGGGGCAGACGACCCAAGGCATGTCAGAACATTGACATGCAGTGCAGTGGGCTCCTGACCCCGTCCAACGGCCATAGGGACCAGCCAACTGCTGCGTGGTTTCGGGGCCCCACGAAACGGCCCGTGGTGGACAAGGGGCCCAACCAGCCGTGGCCCCGTCGCCCGCGGTCTCCCTGTCCACTTTATTAGGCAATATGGGTCTACCATTGAGGGACTTCCGTGTCGACACACACGAGGTCGATATTCCTGCTCGATGACGCGCGTGTGAGTGACGATAATGGCTCGCGTCAATGTGGAAAATACTGTGTAAGTTGGTCCACAAGGTCGTCGGATCCGGAGATTGGCGACTGTCAGCAGAACCAAGATTAATCCCGATCGAGTAGGATCCATTGATTTTCGTCAACACTGCCTCATGACGGATACATCCTCTTGCTGTGCAAGTCCATGCTTGTCAGATGTTTCTTTTTTCTGCACAAGAGGCCTCTCACACACAACAATCCCTTCTCTGCGACCAAATATTTCCCTCTTTTGCAACCCTCTTGGGGGGAGGGGGTGGCACATCATCATGTCTGCAACTACGCCGCGCCAGCCACTACCACAGTGGTATAGTACGTTCCTCTAACGTTGCTGGATAACACCACACCCTCCTATAAAGGAAAAAAGTGCATCCGTATTGGTTGCCAGTACTAATGTATCGGTACATCATCTGTGGTGCGCGGTCCATCCGCCTTAGATCCGATTCAAGAAGGCGGTCAGGAACGAGAGGAGGCCGATTCTGCGGCCGTGATGACCAATAGGACTGCGGCTGAAAGGAAGACTTGGGGAGAGGGTCGCCATAGAGAAGCAGTACCTCCTGTACGCCGTCGACCCCGAGTTTCACTACGCTCGAATCTCGAGTAAATCTGGGCCTTCTCGCAACCTCCAACCGGGAGGAAAGGAAAGTAGGCCTGGCCCGTACTGGATAGGCCATCACTATATACCACCGGGCCGTGATGGACTGGATAATATGACCGTGACAAGGCTGTGGACCTGCCGCTGGGTAGGCCACTTTGTCATGCACCCGATTGGGCCTCACAGTTACGTTCTTACTCGGTTCCGTCGGAGTGCAGATTCTTGGCCCTGTGCCCCTTACGTGCTCACGCAGATCAGCGACCCCCCTCCGCCCCAAAGAGCCGATTCGGCATTCATCCGAGGAGATTCCATCCAGAAGTTGCGTGAGAACCTCGATCTGGCATCCAACCAAGTTATGGCTTATCCTACCTTTTCAACACGGATGTCGGCAGACGCCGTGACCCAGGGACGAATGATTATAGCCGCGTCTGCCTGGGACACTCCAAGCAAATCTTGCTAGTCTTCAGCTTGTCAGGGCCGCGAATCCCTGCCAGAGTCCTCCCACTATAAAAGTGCACAATTAATCGGGCTAGCGAGGTCCGAAGAGCGCAAGTGCATCACTGAAGATTCTCAACATGGTTGACTGGACATAAGGGGGGAGAAAGGGAAGGGGGGGGGGGGGTGTTCCCGGATTGTACGGAGTCAAGTCACCCACTGTGCTAATCTCGGAATGTCAGTGACAGCCTGAGGATCTTTCCATTCAATTATGGTGTTATGGAGGGAGAGACAAGCCTTCACTATACTTCGGACTAACCGATTGCTATGCTCATGAAGATGATATCATGATCAACATCGGCAGCGTCCTGGTCTTCCCACACGCAAGCAGTCTCGAGGTGGACACGACACAATTACTGTTGTTATCACCTTTCTCTAGTCTGAGCTTAGGGTACTCCGGACCCAACCGCTCACCAAAAATCTCACCATGGAAACATGACGTGGTTGGGGCACCCAAGGCTGACAACGGGTAGGCCGATGGAAAGTCCCTCACCCTGATCGACTCACATTACCAGATGGTAGCAGTCTGGTTTAGACAGACATAGACCACCGGTCGTCACGGCTTCTTGCAGTGGACCAGTGCCCATTCACCACAGCCTTGTCCTGTATGGGTCGATCCATGGAACCGAGGACATGGCCGCCCAGCCGTCGCACCTTTACTCGTATGACCACAGTGATATTCGGCACTTGCTCACCGCCAGAATGAGAGTGTGTGCGTGTGTGTGTGAGAGGGGGTGGGGGCAGGGGGCGGGGGGACAGAGAGGAAGACGAGAATATCGCACGAAAGAGACGTGTCCAGCCTGCCCAGTTACGGGCAGCTCTTGACAGGACTTAGCACAGCCAGAGCTAATGAAAGGTGGTTACACTGCTAATCCCGAGCCATACCTGTCACTCTCGCTTTTGCCCTACCCCTCTCCCTCTCCCTCCCCCTCCCCCTCCCTCTCTCTTCCACTCTCTTGGCCGGGCAGGCAAGCCATCGCCTTGTTATTTCAACCCTTCTTGATCTCTCCCCGCCCCCACACCTAGTGCAGCGGCTCGTATCCGGCCAGCTACCCTCCTCCTCCTCCCTCACTCCCGCGGAACACACCACAGGACTAGGACCTTTCATCACAACTAGTCCGGCTCGATTCTAGCGATCTCGAGATGGCAGGGGCAATGGCATGGGCGCTCTGAGCAGGTGTGAAGGGTGGTTTGCTGCTTGGACGGCATTGTCAATGTGACTTTGCATTTTTGTGTGTGTTTGCATATATTTCGTAACATCGTGGTCTATCTAACTAGGTATCTCAATTGTTTCCTCCCATCCAGGCGGACAGAAACAGAAAGGCGAAGAAGAAACAAAAAGGCACAAGAAAAAAGAATAGAAAAAAATCAAGGTCGGACGACGCCAAGGGCATTTGCCCAACTCGCCAGAACGTGCATCTGGTCCCTCTGCTCAGATCATGTCAACTGTGCAATCTGTGACCGCGTAGCTTCTAGTCGCACCCCTCACCATCATCCCCTTGCCACCCCTTCCACGCAGCCTTGTACCCTCCTTACCGAGGGGCTCCATTCAGAGACACACTTTCTGGGAGGTTCCATGGCATATCTGAATGGCAAATGCGGACATGACCAATATCAAATGTGCAGTTGGTGGGCGTCGCGTGTACGTGGGTGATACAAGCTCAAATCCCCCGCCCCCCCACCCAGCTCGACACTTCCACTGGGACTCGAGTTGGGTTTGTGCAGAAACAGCTTAGTTCCTCCTCTCCTTGGCTGAGAAAAGGAAGTGCATACCAAGTGCGATTCGGTGGTACGAGAAAGAGCTGGGTCAGACTGGACGATGTTGTTGTCAGTCTGACAGTCCGCGCAGGAGTGGTCAAGGTAAAGAGGGAGATTTACCCAACTCCTCCTTTCAACCCCAAGATAGATGACCAGAGAATCTCCGCCTTAAAGGGGGGGGAAGATCCTTGATGGTTCAATGTGGGTGGTAGTGGTGGATTGCAGAGCCTCTCAACGACTTGTCAAGTTGCAGGAAACGAATGCTGAAAAGAGAGAGAAAAGAAAAGTTCCCAAGAAAAGAGGGAAAAAAACATCCAGCATCCCATGTCTCTTGGCAGGCCGCCTCCCAGAACATCCATCATCTCGTGATCCCATGCCGCCTCAGTATGGACTGGTAGTAATCCACATCCTGCCGCAGCTTCCGGTCCTGCCTCGCCAGGCTCTCGTTCATCGACTCGAGCCGGCGGTTTCGCTTCTCGACCGAGTCCAGCTTGTGGTACAGCCTCTCGAGGTCATCGTCCAGCTTCGAGTAGCGCCTCTTCCACATTCCAAGATCTTCACTCAGCCTTCGGGCCCGGTCGCTCAGACCGTCCCGCAGGTCTCGCTCGAAGCGACCCATCCTCGCTCGCAATGTTTCATTCTCGTCGCGTAATTTCGTGTTCTTGTATCTCAGCCTCCTCACCTCGTCTTCTCTGTGACGGCTCTCGTGGTAGCCGCCTCCGGTATATTTCTCACTCTCCTCGAGCCGGCCCCTCAGCTGCTGGTTCTCATAGTCTAGGGTGCGTACTTCGGCCTCGAGTGTTGGCACGACGCCGCGGAGCCTTCTGACCTCGGCGTCACACGACTGCCAGTTTGTCTTATACGTGTAGTTTTCGCGGAGTAGATCCTCGTTGGCCTGGCGGAGACTGTCGTACTCCGCCCGCGTGACATCAAGGAAGTCGACGCGACGGCTGCGTGACGACTGGCTGCCATCGTGGGTGTTGGAGCGTCGTAGGTGGCTAGTCTTGACGAAGCGGGGGCGACCGGAGGGGCTGCTCTCAACCCAGTAGTCTCTAGCCATGCGAAAGAGAATCACTGGCCTTGGCTATGTCGTACGGTATATAGGGGGCCGTCCAGCCCTCCCAGCCTCTAGAAGGAGGAGCTATGTGGACGATGTGGTTGCTGGATATGGGGAGATGGACCAAGACAAGTAGGTTGCCCTGCAAAGAGTGAAATGTAGTGCTGCCCCTGCTGGACTCACGTAGCAGAACGTAGTGGGCTGCGAAGGTTGTTGTGTTGGTCAAGGCTGAAAGAGAGGAGGGTGAAAGACAGGCAGTGTGGATACCTCGAGACGGTAATAGCTAGTCCAGGCACAGGACGAAGAAGATTGGTGACAATGAAATGTAAATTATGCATGCAAGTCACAGTTGCATGCGTTCCTGGGGAAAAGAGAGCGAATAGGAAGAAAGAAAAGAAGAAAAGAAAAGAAAGAGCAAGCCGGGGGGACCCAAGCAGGTATGCAAGATGGAAGCACTTGCTTTTAAGAGGCCCGAGTGGACACACCACTACCACCACCACCAACAACAACAACACCACGAGGCTTCCTCGTAGGGCGTAGACGAGAAAGTCAGTTGGCCTCCGTGTACCAAGACTGTCTTTGATCCCGCCGCACGCCAGGGGGGAGGCTACCCTGAATAGCCTCTGACAGGTTGGTGGGCAGGGCATGAGGCTGTAGATTTGGGAGAAAGAAGGGGGGGAGGGGTGGTTTGAAGGTGTGAAGGTGTGAGCCGCTGGGGGCACACACACCACGAGGTGATATCAGCCACGACCTCGATGTCATGTTGAGGACAAGCATGAGCAAGAACGAGCAGGCTTCCTGCGCAGTCATCACATCGTCGCAGGATTGACTGACGGTTCAAGACATGTAGAAGATGAGATGAACTGTGGCAGGCAAACACAATGCGGACCAGCTTATGATGATGATGGTTCATCATCCTTTGTGTTTACTCGAGACGAGTTTGTGGTACTGTTTTCGGGTCCTGGTCATCGAGTCCTACCAAGTACTGTGGCGATGACAGGACCAGACCCAACCCGGCAGCAACGAGACCCAGAAGGCCTGGGAGGGTGTCCCAAGAGGGGGTGGATGCCCTGTGCTGATGGACACTCTGCTGTGTTCTTTAAAAGAGAGAGAATAAAGTGGTAAAAAGTGTCAATGTCAGTAACAGAGAAGGGGAGAGAAGAGCAAGCAGGCTCTTGTCCTTGGGCTCGGTGTGTATGCCCAGTCGTGCACATGCAGCCCCACACGCTCACACCTTGTCTTGGGGAGGCAGGTCATCTGGGGGGGGGGGGGTCATGTCTTCCTGGCCTGGGGTGACTGCCAAGTGCGACTTGGGTCGCCAGCCAAGTAGTTCCTCGAGCTGGTGCAGGTGTAAGTATAGAAGTATAGAAAGCAAAATTCAGATGAAGCGCAGGGAGAAGAGTATAATACAACAAGCTATGATGACAGCTCCCTTCAACCACCTTCCCCCCCCCCGCCCCTGTCTTCCTCTTTTGCCTCTTCTGGTTTCCTGGACAATTTACCCTCACATCCAAAAGTCGTCATTTGAAGCAGCAAGGGAGTGGAGTGGTGGTTTATCACACTCAAGGCCAGAACGGCGTGTAACAGACAAATGGAAGGGAGGATGACAATTGTGGCTTCCATGCATTAGAGCCGCATCTGAAGGCCCCAGACAGGCGCAGACGCCAATGGCGATACGATCAGAGCCGCGGGAGAGCAAGGGTAGCAAGTAGTCAGTCAAGGCATGGTGGCAGGGGAAGAAAAAAAAGAAGAGGGCCAGAGGGGAGGGGGGCTGTGTATGGTGCTGACCACCTGGAGGGGAGGGGTCCCAGAGAAAGACCAATTCAGCAGAGCAGCTGATGAATTAGGTAGCCAGATTATGCTGTGTGAAAAGAGGGAAGGGGAGAGAGGGAGGCTCAAAGAAGTGCTCGGTGGAGGCCTTGCTTATCCAATAGTGGGTTCTAGCAGGTACTGGCAAGCGCAACCAATCCCCTGCTTCCATGCTCAGCCTGTGCCAATCATGGTCAGGTGGAGGACACAGCTGAACAGTGCACCTGCCACCCACCATCTCGGGTCCTCTGGCGTGCCTCTAAGTCCTCCCGCGTGCCAGCCTCAGTGTGTGCCGGGGAAGCCAGGGGGCCCATGGCTCTGGAAAGTCTACTTTGTTTCTTCTTCTTTCTTTCTTTCAAACCTCCTACTAATGTCATGGCTATCAATAGCATGTGGATTTTTGAGATCACTTTGCAAATTAAGTCGCATGTCAGGACTGGAACTTCCATTATTAGACTTTCTCCTGTTTCTCCCTTCTGCCTTTTTCTTCTTGTTCTGTCTCCCTCTTCCTTTGTGGCCAGTGCAGCCTCACACGCCCCCGCCCGCCGGGGGGGGGGGGTTAAAGAGGGTGTAATTATGGGAACAAGACTTGCGTTCCAGAAATAGACCTGAAGAGGAGGCCTACTGGATACACAATGCAGCTCAGTCAGCCAGTCGTATACCATAATCTCAAGCAAAGACGGACAACTCACCATCCTATTGATGAGGTTGATAATGATAATAATACTGATGCAGTCTATGTCTCTGCAGTAGTACCCCGATCTCACAGCTTGCTTGTGGTCTAAATAATTAGTGACAATGGATTAACCCTTGCTGTGGAGGAACGAAAAAAGGAAAACTGAGACAATATTGAGTGATGGATTAGTGATCCCCCATCAAAACTTGACCGAGGAAACCATCAAGAATTGCCGTGTGTTGATTTCAGATTTGGGGTATTCATTGGTAGTACCGTCAATTAATAAGCTCGCGGGCCAATAGATCATATCATGATGACAGTCCATGGCGTCAGTTTATAAATCACAACTTCGATGGGCATCTCTTCTCGTATATAAGTGAAGAGTTTCATGTGGACTCCTCATTGCACTTCCAACTAAAAGTCACAACCTTATTTATTGATTCATCAATTTCAAGAAGAAACGAAGTAAAAGAAAATTAATAAAGAAAAGTCAACAATATGGCCTCATTGTCCAACTCCTTCTTCGCGGTCGTCGCAGGCGTCGGTGCCGGAACAGGCGGTTCTGTATGAACAAAATACATCTCTCTCACTTCACCCTACCCCACACTAGCATTATTAATACTACTGTCCAGGTAGCAAAGCTCTTCGCCAAGGCCTACCCGGTCGTCCTCCTCGCCCGCCGCGAGGAAAGCTACAAGGACATCGTCACCGAGATCAACAGCTCAGGCGGCCGCGCCATCGGCATCCCCACAGACCTCGCCTCCGCCGCCGCCGTCGAGAATGCCTTCAGCACCATCAAGAAGGAGTTCCCCGACAAGAAACTCGCGGCCGCCATCTACAATGTCGGCTCGGGGTATGCCAACAAGCCCTTCCTGGAGCTGAAGCCCGAGGACCTGGAGGCGAGCCTGGGCGGGAACGCGTAAGTAGTAGTTGTAGTAGTTGGTGTTTTTTTTGCTGCTGTTGTTGTAGGCCACTTATCTGAGAGTGGAGCGAACGCTGGGCTGACATGATAAACCAACAATCAATAAAGCCACGGCCTCTTCAACTTTGCACAGTATGCCCTGCCCCTCCTCCTCGAGTCGGTGGAGTCATCGCCACACCCGCCATCGCTCATCGTCACGGGCGCCACGGCCTCGGTGCGCGGAAGCAACAAGTTCGCCGTGTTTGCGGCGGGCATGTTCGCGAGTAAGTCACCTCCTAGGAGCTGTGGATAGAGAGAGGACAAGATGATTGCTGACGATGACGGGGTGTTGTTTACGGTCGACACAGGGCGAGCGTTGACACAGAGTCTTGCACGTGAGTTTGGGCCCAAGGGCGTGCATGTTGCTCATGCCATCATCGACGGCGTGATCGATATCCCGCGCGTGGCCGAGCTCAAGCCGCGCATCAACAATGGTGCTCCGGACGGACTGCTGAGCCCGGATGCGGTGAGTTTATCTTGATAGTTCTTCTTTTTCATTGATTCAAAAGAGAAGAGACAAAACAATCCTTCGTAAATCGACTTGTGAGCTGATTCTCAGGGCAGATCGCAGAGGGCTACTGGTGGCTACACACGCAGCCCAGATCCACCTTTACTCAGGAGATCGATATGCGCCCATATGTTGAGAAATTTTAAGTGTTCGTGGCTCAGGAGAGGCGGATCTAAAGCAAGACCCACAGGAAATGCATGGACGAGATGCTATGTTCCCGGGCTTGGTATGAAGACTTAGGCGTAGATTGAATTGATTTGAGACCACACTATCCCTCCAAAATGTCCTAGGCTCCTGATATAGTTCTTTCCTGTCCAGTCAACTGTGTAGGCCGTGGATGTGGTGAAGAAAAAGAATATGCTCTCGGGGCGATCAGTGCGACCGCCCGCATGTCGGCGATGCCATCTCTATGGATGACAATCATTCGGTGTGCACCTGAGCCTTGTCTTGAGGTGCGACGCAGATATGATCACTCGCCGGCATGCAGTCGGGCTCGCCTGTCCGATCCAACATGATATGAATTGCACGGAGTTCCCATGCTCTTTTCATGTGGCTGCAGTCGTGTCAGCAGTGCCATTGGTTTCAGCAGTCTCTCCGGAGGTTTCAGCCTTGCCCCCCTCCGCCGTGTCCAAAGTATCCACAGAAGGGCTTGCTTCTGCGTCGTTGTGTGGTTCCTGATCCTGTGGAGGAGCACCGTGCTCCTTTGCGATTCGTTCGTCCTCCTTCTTCTGCCGTAGCGCTTCTGTCTCCTGCCGGAGCTTCTCCAGATTCCATGCGTCGTCGTCCTCGTCGTCGTTTTCGTCGATCTCGGCGCCCGAGTCTGAGTCCGAGGCCTCGTCGTCGCTTTGTGTACGCCAGTTGCCGCTCTCGAACAGCGCACGACCTGTCGCTTCCTTGGCTTTGCGGGCCTGCCATTGGTCATTGCAGTTAGTATATAGTGTAGGGTAATACCAGACAAAGCAATGAAAGCTCCAACGCAAGGTCCTACCTGTTCCTCGGCGGCCTTCTTGTCCAGACGTTTCTTTTTCCACTCGGCAAAGGACTCGGGAGTCACAGGTGTCAGCTTGCCAGTGAGCTTGTGCCGTTCGGACTCCAAGAAATCTTCAAGCGTTAGTGTCTTAAGTGGCGACTTGTCCAGCAGGGCCTTCTCCGCCGCTCGTTGTTCTTTCGTCTTGAGGATGAATCTGCGTTTTGTATGAGCAAACTGTCTGTCTTGGAGGAAGAGAGAATAAGAACAAGGCCTCCAAAGTACTAACCCAGGTGGCAGAGCGTGCTTGTACATGCACTTGTCACCCCCATTAGGGCAGATCCAGAACCACCCGTATTTGCCATCCTCGATAGCCTGAATAAAGTATTTGCAGACCTTGTCCGTCGATGTGCGCTGGTTGCCCTTCTTGGACAAGACAACGGACCGCAGCTTCTCCTCGTCCCAGTCCGCCGAGGTCTCGGCCTTTTTCTTCTCCTCGTCCTCTTGCCTCGTGTCCTGATACAAGCTCCTCTTGTCCGTCTTCCTGTCCAGCTCCAAGTCGTGCGAGAACTTGCACTTCTTGCCCTTCTCGCAGTTTCCTTTCTTGTGGAAAATACACAGTACCGTCTTGGGGTCGACGCCGAACGGCACCTTCTGGACCTGTGCAGGCTTGTTGAGCAGGGCCTCCTGCTCCCTCTTGGCGTCCTCGGCGGCCTTCTTCTCCCGCTCGCGCTGGGCCTTTTCTGCTTCCTTCTTCTTCTGCTCTGCAGTGCCTCCGCTCTTGGCTTGTGCCTGCAGCTGCTTGATCTGCTTCTGGGCCGCACCACCTTTCTTATTCTTCATGCCAAAGGTCTTGTCATCGACGGCCTTCTTGGCATCGACCTTTTTGGCCGGGGCCTTGTCCACCTTCTTGGGAGGCATGCTGGGCGGCTAGTATAGGAGGAAGGATTGGATCGGGTGAGGGAGGGAAAGAGAGGCGGAGAGAGAGGCGGAGAGAGAGGCGCCGCGTGTATGTTGCTCAGAAAGGCTCTCTCCGCTGCTTCCAGACGTTGTGGTCGTCTTGTCTGGAAGAGGTGGGGGCGGGGGGTTTGGGCAACTTTCGAACCTTGAGAAGGTGTCTACTGCAAAGAAAAAAAAGTGGGCTGCGAACCAGTTCAGTAGAATGTTACATACAGTACTATCGTACGTATGACGCAGGCTTGGGCGCGGAATAGAACGGGTTTAGCGGCACGTGATCCAGGCAAAGGCCGGTCCCGAAGCCAGGCGAGTCCCTGAGCTGTTTTAGCAGCAGCAGACTGAACATTGGATTGGCAACTTTTGAGCACCGCAACCCCGACCACACCCCTCCCAACACTCCCCCCCAAACGAGCATTCAAGATGTCGTTCGCGTGGAAAGCCGCTGGCATTACGTGAGTATCGATTAACCCAGCTCAGGAACTGCGAAGCGACGTGGGGTGGAATCAATGGACCAACCGGAAAACTGACGATCCGAAATCGCGCTCTACAGCTACAACCGCTACCTGGCCGTCGCGGGCCGCGTCGTGCGCCGAAGCCTGAAGGACGATAAGAGACTTGTAGCTGAGCGTCGGGGAGAGATGGAGCTGCGGTTCTCCAAGTGGGAGGTGAGTTTGCGTCGTGGCCAGATGGACAACGAGAGTTCGAGTCGCTGACGGATCGCGCGAAACAGAACGGCAAGCAGGGCGATGCCAAGAACCTGGCGCAGGCGAACGCTTCTGCTATGGCTGAGTCGGCTGGATCATCCTCGTAATACATATCACAACGAAGGCGGACTTCTGGGTGGGAAAACCAGGCTGTTGATGGAGTGCGACATGAAGTAAGGTGGAGCAGAGGTCTCTCAGCAACGGTCGGAATAGAATGCCCGAGGATGGTGAACAAGAATCATTAGAGAAGACAAGCCAATCGACAACACCAAAGGTCGAGATTTCAACAGGTCCCAGTCTTGCTATATGGTGATGCCGTATGCATTGTGTACTTTTGATGCGTATGCATTTGTAGACTAAGAGGGTACTTGGGCACTTGCCCAGCCAAGATGAACCCCCTGGGCAGTTGCGACACTGTCAGTTGCACTCCCCGCTTTGTACATGCGTAGAAGAAGAAAATGAAAACAAAAAAGACATTGCACCAACCAAGTTTATCTTTCCAGTTCTTTTCACAGTTCACAATCTTGTTCGTGACCATGCTCAACGTCAGAAGTTGAGATTACTACATCGCAGTGGGACACGGGCTACTGGAACAAATCTCTTCCCGAGGCCATCCGATGTTGGTCGCTGCGCCTTAAGGTGCAGCAGTGGGTTTTCCCTAACAAGGCTCTCTCACTCTGCAGAACTACAGCTCAACACCTCAACACACAGTGCCCCTACCGAGTCTACATGAAAAGAAATACTACTCACAGCGCCGAGAATATGTCGCACTGATGAGATAGTACGCGATATTTTGTATACTCGCAAGTTGGCAAGAGGGCGAGACAATGGACGAGTTCAACGTGACCAGTGGTAAGATACAGCAGCCTTTTCCCCCAACAACAAACGTGCATTCTTCCTCTCATCCAAGACGCTGCTGAACAGTCTTTCCCAGGGTTCAATAGCCTCTCTGTCACTAGCGACCAGTACCAGACTGCAGCAGACCTGGATCCCGAGGTGCCGCCCCCGCCAAAGATCACCAGTGAGGCTATTGTCACCACAGATATCACAGCCAGGTTTGCTGAGGCTGCCAAGAGTGGGCTCTCTCCATATTTTCCTGATCCATCTCTGTTTACCTACCCAAGACTGACTGGTATGCAGCCCTCGAGCCAGGCGAGCTGGTCAAGGATGGCTTCTTCACTCTCTTCGAGTCCGTCGGGGCTCTCGAGGTAATCAGCAGGATACCCTTTCGAAGCCTTAGCAGGCCTGCCTGTAATCGCGTCTCCTTTTAGTGAGAGATGCTGACTGTTGCAGATCATGGATCCCAAGATGGACAGTGGCTGCCTCGCCCCTGGAGAGCCCTTAGAAGAGAAGCTCCAGGTTGATGTTCCGCTCATGCCGGAAGAGGTCTTGGGGATCATGGATCAACTGCTCTGCCATGAGGTACGCACATCTCCCTGTGGTCGGAACCCCCTTTTTCCCAATGAAATACGCTGACGACGTGACACAAGATGGCTTGGCACCTGGGATACCCGTTGTCCCAGACATTGTTCACCAGCATTCACCTCGAGTCGATCATGATGCCGCCCCCTAACAGTCTGGAGGATGCGTACTTCACACGTGTCGAGGGCGACCATGCCCACACAGATCGTATGCTCCGCATTCTGAGGGCGTATTGTCTGGGCCTGCTCAAGGCATGTCGCTGTGTCAACGAGCGCATCAAATTTGAGCACTACTATGAGGTGGGTCATACGGCTTTGGGGAAGACAACACGCTCGTATATCGGCTTAACGAATTATGTGACAGGAAGAGGACTTCGTGACAAACACCTATCACCGATCCCTCCTCGACAACGTCCCTGGGAAGGAGGTGTTTGATGAGATCCGAGATGCTCGAGACCTTCTCCACAGCATGTCGCGCGAGCTCGGTGCAGAGATGACCCAGGCCCTGGATTTCAGGCTTGAGCTGAGATATGCGTTCCTCCGAGCCATCGAGCTCTCTGAGCTGAGAACGCACCCCGAGTCTCTCAAGACGCCATGGGTGGAGATGAAGGCCATCCTGGATCCTATTTCCCAGTCACACCCGCTGGGCACGCCATGCCCACGCTTCTTCAGCGCAAAGCTTCAGCGGCGTCTCGCCAGCACGATGCCGCCGCGCCCAATCGTCCAGCTGAGCTTTGAGGAGGCCATCTCGCACTTCAGGCGGCTTGCTGTGGACGGGCTCGAGGTTGCCGATGTGCTGAAATACACCGACTCGCAAAGCCTCTTAGTAGGTCATGACCCGGCCTATGCCGCGGCAAGAACTCGATTTTATGGCTAACGCAAGCATACACACAGAATTTCATCCTGACTTTCCAGGCCAAGAAGCCACAGCCTCTCGTCTATATTCGGACCCTCTTACAGAACTACGTATTTAAGGACATGGTGTTGCTTGGCTCACTCAGCATCCGGCAGGTCTTTGATGACGACTTAGCCCTCATCGTCCTTCCCTCGAGTCGACTTCTCGACCGCGCAAACGACAACGTTGAGGCCGTCAATGATCCGAGATACGCCATTGCGCACCAGATGGAAGTCTTTCGGCAAAGGGCTGCGCAGTCTTACCTGGACGTCTTCAGGGCGTTTTGTCAGAACCGCTGCAGGGTTAGGCGAACATTATGCCACGCCATCCAGGACTGGGAGGCTGTCCAGGCAGACGCTGAAGAGATCGACCAGCTTCTCCAGCTGGCCCTTGACGAGAAGCCTCTGTCCTACCAGCCCTTTGGCACGGGCAGCGCCAGGCCGACCTTTTCCCTCCCGCTCTCGTCCTGGGCTTACCTCTACAAGCTCCGCCTGATGGTGTGGATTGTCCAGCTCGGCTTCGAATTGGAGGTGTACCAGCCAGACGAGCTTGCGGGCATGTACTGGTACCTCAGCTACCTCGCACGGATCCAGGCTGGCCACGTCGAGCGCATCAAGGCCTTTGCGGTGCGGACGCTGAATGAGCTGCGGGCAAGGTCGGCCGCTGTGACCGCAGCGCGAGAGCAACAGGTTACGCGCTCGCTATCTTACCTCCGCGCAACGCTTCTCGAAGCTGCCGTCACCTGGGAGCTCGCCGACGCCCTGTCGTCCATCTACACATTATTGTATGACCGACTCGGGCTTGTCAGCCCGCCCCCGCGGCCCTACTCCACAGATGAGCTACGCTACGAGATCCGTATGCGCCCCTTTATACCAATCGAGCTACCAGAACTGCCGACCTATACCGAGTTTTCGCGGTCAGTCAGGCAGGAAGAAAAGCCAGCCACGGCACTGCTCAGTACCGCTGAAAGTGCAGTAGCAGGCGCGAAGAAAGGCTACGAGGTCCTGATGAAATTTGGCGAGAAAGAGGCCTTCACGGCACAGTGCCACAAGCGGTGGATGCAAGCTACGCGGGCTGGCTTCAAGAGCGCCATCCAGGCGGGGCTGGCAGTATCGACGTTGAAGAGGGTGGTTGAGGCGCGCGACAAGGGCCAGGACGTCCAAGTCAATGTAAAGATTCCTGGACCCCACGGGGGTTATCATGAATGGTGGGTCGTGCCGACAATCACCATCACCACGGCCCCTAAAGGCCCTGAGGAGATAGAGGGGACGTTGCATCCAGTGGTATCACGCAAAGAGGCGGAGTGAGGGTGGAAGGTGAGCAGCAGTCGTGGAGAAAGACCACACACAACAGGACGAACAAGTCATCGGATCATGCATTCATACGCTATATTCATCCCGAGAATGGTGCTCCCCGTCGCAGTGAGGGAATATTACAATGTCAACTTGGCCAATACCCAATCCCCAGCCGCCTGCGAGAATATATCAAAGTACGAGGTATGCGCAGCATCGTCGTCACCCTGGGCACAGATGGGGTCATCTGACAGGCACCAAGACTGCAACACGCTAGAATACCCCGTGTTCAGACGCTCAAGCTGCGTTCCGGTGCGCGGATCGATCTGTTGTTGTCCCCCGAGTTTCTTGCTTAGTGTCTGTCCTCTCACTCACTCACACACACAAAGCCGTCATTGTGTGCTGGTTCGCGTTCCAAGGGGACAAGAACTTACCCCATTCAATGCACTTCCATTAGCCGTATTGTACGTCTGGTTGCCGACATGCGTCACATCGCCGAACAGCGTCACCGCTTTGACTAATTTACGTCAATGAATGTAAGTCACTAGGAAAGAACTCCCCCCACTCCGGCCACACCTCTGTGGTTAGTCTGGATACTATGAGGGTTCTTGGCTTACTGTTCGTCGCGGGTGAAGTGGTGGGGTCGAAGCCGGTGGTGTTTTGGTCCGTGCAGCCGGTTGAGCCTCCTGACTGGCCGCCTAGGATGTTGCCGACTACTTGGGCTCCCTTTGATTGATGAGCATGAGGAAAGAAGGGGAGAACAGAGTTGATGGAGGAGGAACAAATCCCTACCTGAGAATATCCTGATAGAACGAGCTGGGAATCAGGGCACTTGGTCGCATACTCCGAGATCTGGGTCGTTCCATGCGCCACGCCGAGTCCTTCCGAATCGCAGTCTAGTTTGTTGCTCTCACCCGTCAGCACATCAACCAGCCAACATTGAGAAAAGGCACCTCGAAAAGATGGAGGACAGGGGAAGGGGCGATTGAGAAAGAGAGCGTCTCTCTTACAAGGAGGTGCCAGCAGCGTCGCTGGATACTCAATATCCTCGTAATCGCAGGTGGCCGTCCCCGTGCCGTTGCAGATGGCATACACAACGTTGATCTGCCGGCCCGGGTAGTCCTCCCACGTGCCGCGCGCGAGGAAGATGTGCACGTCGTCACAATCTGTGGTGGTAGCCGGGGCGAGGTTGGCTGGAAAACCTGATACAGTTGTGGAAAAGAGGGTCAAGGTGGAGAGGAGGAGGAGGGGAACGGGGGTGAGGCGGGCCATGTTGGGCTTGAAGTAGGAGGTTGAGGAGGAGAAACAGGAGGAGGGTGAGAAGGAGGGGTATCTTGGCTGGAAGGGTAGTCAAGTCTCCGTGGTGGCTGTCTATGCCTGTCATCGTCGTGGATGTTCTCATTGGGGTTTTATATATGTCTTCCTCCTTTGCCTTGGACATCTTTGAGGACAGCATTGCAAGAACAGCCTGCATTGCCTGCTTTGGCATGTTGCATCCCGAGGTTCTTACGTTGCCCACCAGCTTTTGGTGCAATTGTTGTATAACAATGTTTGCCCGTTCTCTCTCCTCTCTCTCAAGACCGTTCTTGCGACTGGGACATCTTGGCGAGATGGTTACTTAAAGCAGGTAGGTGAACTTACAGCCAGCTTCCCATTCCGGGCCTCCCTCCATCCCGCTAGACTGTGAGAACATGACGAGTTGCACCCCGGTCTGAGCAGGTATTCAATTCATTGGTCAGTTAGTCGTCGGCTTCCTTCTTCTTGGGGCCCTGTTTTGTTGAGAAGTCATGGCCATGGACTCTTTTTCTCAATCCTGTACAGTTCGCCAAATTGATTTGCCATTTGTTGAGTCCCTTCGGTAGCTTGCTCCAATCAACCCATTTCTTGTTCGGGCTCCGAGGAGGAGAAGAGAGGTTAGGGGGCTTCCTTGGCTTCCCGATATTCGCACTTTTACCTTCTTTCTGACTTGACTGCGTTGCACTTCAGCAGTCAAGTCCTCTGATTGGTATTCTCTCATGTCAAATTTTATAGCGAAGTTAGATCGTCAGGGTTACCTTTTTTCATTGAAGTTTAATGCCGACCGAGGCGGGCCGCTTCCAGAATATTAGCCACCCGAATGAGTTCTGCAATGTGCTTCTTCTTGGTTCCCTGCTTTGATTCCCCTTTCAAGCAAAGAGATGAGTTATGGGGGCTGTTTTGTACTCAAGGTCTTTCCTGTCTTTAAAGTCTTCGCCACTCACTTTACGACCCTGTATGGGCATCCATAGAGAACACATAAATAGATCACACGTCAAGCGCATGCCTATCAGATCAATTTTTTGACTCAGAATGTCGACTGCGGCTACGTTCTTATTGTGCTCATCTGTGGATAGGTTCTCAGGAATACCAATGGGATAATTCGGGGAATAACAGGAGCGCTGCAGATGATCAAGTATGTAAACAAGAATTTCTGTCTTCTAATTTTCATATGGATCTAAAGATGCCACTAGGAATGCACGAGTATGGCGGTAACATTGAAGTGCGGCATGTACGTGACACACTTCTTGGGGGGAATTGGTTGCTTCTCGTCAGCTTCATTCATCGGCATATGGTAATTACTTTGAATGCACCTCACACCAGTCCGCGACATCAGTAATAATATCCACCCAGCAAAGTAAATCGATTTCCAGCAAGGTGCGTCTTCAGAGCCGGATCAACTACCCCAAAGACGGCTATTCCAGCCCCTGGAACCGAAGTGCATCACTGTGCCACAAAATCAAGAACGTGGCAGGCTATGATGCCGAATCTATTGAAGCATGAAGTCAATGTTCATCAAATATGCACGAATTTCTCCAGCTCAGTCGTTCTCGACCCCAGTAAAAGGGCCTACAAGTGGGTACTTACTACACGTGGCAGCGGCGGTGAGTTGATTCTCCACACGAATGAGACAGCAAAACCTTTCCTTGCTACTTACTTTCCATGGTTGATTGTACAATGGGCATCCAAAAAGGAGCGAGACCAGGGGCTATACGGTCCACTCTATCTGCCTGTGGCCCAATGGCAAGCTTACTATATGTGATCAAGAAACGTGGTCTGGAGTTGACTTGTTGCCTTGTGCGTACGAAAACTACTTACCTGACGGCACAACAGCTCGTATCGGAGGGTTTTGGATGTGCTATGCTTTTCTGGACCTTGCCCAAAGCACACGCCTCAACTTGCCTCAAGGAAGTGAAGCTCGGAAGAGGCAGTGAATGAAATGAAAACCGCCGGCTGACAATATTATACAAATGGATAGCCACAACATTCTCACCACCTTTTGGTACATCGTCGGAGCGTGGTGGCTGCTGTTCGCAACTGCGATTGCGTTGTTCATCCATGTAGGTCGACCATAGAGTATATCAGTCTCAGGATGCCAGAATGTTTCTTTTCTTCTTTTCTTTGGCTTGTTCCAAGATCTAATAGATTCAAATACCACAGCAATGGATTCGTGTTGAACACCATCCTCTATCACGCCTCCCTGGAACCTGGATCTCTAAATGGAGCAACATCCCAGCGTGGATAGAATTGGTCAAAGGCAGGCAGCCTGTATACATCCACTCCCTCTTTGAAAAATATGGTATGTGCCATCTCTACATTGGAATTATAACTCGCAATCGTCTTTTCTTTCCGCTCTCTCATCCAAACTCTTGATCATTGACACTGAGCTTATCGTTCCCTGCTCAGGACCCGTGGTGAGGATCGGGCCAAACCAAGTCTGCTTTTGCGACATGGCCTCCTTGAACCAGATCTACAACGTCGAGGAGAAATTCGTCAAATCCTACCTGCATGAGGCGTTCGTAGGGTCACCTGCACCCAACGTCTTCAGCACCGCAGAAGTGGAGGTGCACAGGCGACACCGAAAGCTCTTGGAGCCTGTGCTCTCTGAGAGCGCTGTGGCTCAGTTGTACCCTTCTGTCAAGTCCAAAATCGACCTGGCCATCCAGAGGATAGGGGAAGAGACGAGGAGGGAAGGGTCGTCTGATATTTACAAGTGGTGGACCTTGACCGCTGCTGATGTCTCTGGGGAGTTGACACTGGGACAGTCGCTTGGGATCTTGGAAAATGGAAAGGTAATTCAATCAAACCCACATGAGCGGCTCAAGGTGGAGCCAAAGAAGGAAGAAAGAAAAAGCCAACGAGTTTGTTCAATCTTCTAACGACTCCTCATAGAAAGACGAGTTCATCGAAGAACTGCAAGACGGTTCCATCCTGACCTTGGCCCGCGTCATCCTCCCCTTCATCATCCCCATAGCAGAGTACATCTCCCTAGGCCCCGTCACCAGGGCCTGCACGGCCAGAAAAAAGACCTACCAGCGCTCCCAGGAGATCCTCTTCAAGCACAGAGACGCCGCCAAGGCCGACCCAAGCAGCCTGCCCCCGTCCCTCTTCGCCAGGTTCCTCGCCGAGCAGGACCAGGAGAACCTCGACCCGCTCGAGGTCGTGAGCAACGCGGTGACCTTCCTCGCCAACGGCACAGACACCACGGCCGGCACGCTCACGTATCTGGTCTGGTCCGTGTGTCGGCACCCGGAAGTGAGGGTCCAGCTGTCGGAAGAGCTGGACGAGCTGCCGGAGGGGTTCGACGACAGGCATCTGAGGAGGCTGACTTATCTGAACCAAGTCATCGAGGAGACCCTGCGGCTGTATCCTGCTGTCGCGGGTGGCCTGCTGCGGACGACGCCCCCTGAGGGTGCACAGATTGGCGGGTATTGGATCCCTGGGGGCACGACTGTGAGTTGCCAGGCGTATAGCAGTAAGTGAGCCAGCTCTATGGATTAGTTCCCCGAAAGGCAACTCACTGAAATTGGAACTTACTCACAACACAAAGTGCACCGGGACCCCAAGATCTTCCCTAACCCCTTTGTGTTCTACCCTGAGAGATGGACAGAGCCATCGACAGAGATGAGGATGGCAATGATGGCCTGGGGTGGTGGCGCGCGAAGTAAGTCTCAAGTTCTCCCCTCCCGGCCCTTGTTGCCCAATGCGAACAGCAAGAACCTATCTGGAGATCCTGTCAATACTGACGATGAATCAATGTAATCACTTGAATTGCATCACAGCCTGCCTCGGGATTCACCTCGCTCGTATGGAACTTCGTCTAGGCGCGGCCCTTTTCTTCCGCGCTTTCCCTCAGGCTCGGATCTCAGACACTGCTGGCATGGCGGACGGGGACATGGAGCCAGAGATGATCTCGTTCACGACACCCAGGGGACACAAGTGTCTGATGGAGTGCAAGTGAGGACACGGTTGGTACCTTTCAAGAGAAGTGTGGCTCAAATGCAGTCCTCGCCTTCTTGAAGCACGAGGGAGGTGGGGGGGAGGGGGGGGGGGTTTGGATTCCAAAGCCAGGAAGGAGTTTGACGGCATAAGTTTTTGCGTGATCCGTTTCACCAGGCATGCGTCTTCATAAGTCACTGTTCAGCTTGATGAGTTCTGAAGTGCTGTTGTTTGGCCCGAAACCAATCAATGCATTATATATCATACACAACCATGCGTGAAAGAAGAGAAGAGAGAGAAAAGGGCATGGGCCGATTTGATGATAACAATTAAATAGTTCTTTATAGCACTCACGTTCTCGATGTTCTTCACAAGATCGTATGACTTAGCTAGGAATGAGAATATTCTGTACATCTGGCAGTCCGTCCACTCTCAAGTTCATGACTTTTAGCTTATATACTTTGCTTTCCCATTCCTTAGTACATGCGACCATACCTAGCGGAAAACTTGGGATCCCGTCTGCTCTCCCCTAAATAAGCCGCTAAGGGCCGGATTAGTAGTTAAGTGGGTGACCATTAGCGAATACCCGGTGTTGCATGTTTTTGAGCCTTTTTTATCTCCTCCCTTTTTCTTCTTCTTTTGTCACCTCTGCTGTTATGCAATCATCCCCTGACTCTAAGTGTGTGATCAAGTATATAATACGAGTGAATCCAGTCTTGTGGTAGGCTGCCACGTGGTTGCCTGGGGTGAGATAACAACACAGAAAACGGGAGACGGATGGGAGACGGATGGACGTCGAGACACGATGTCGGTGCCTACCGATCGTCTTGCTGGATGGCACGAGGTTAAGCTTACAGACAGGACCTTGCTAGAGGATTATCTGATTTATGCTGTTCTCCCCGAAGAAAGACCATGCATGTAGGAGAATGCGACATTCGCTCGACACAAAAGACCACCAGACACACACACACTTACACTCACCCAGTGACTAAATCAAGGCGTTGGACGTAGGGTTTCTCCGAACAACGCCATCGGAAGCAATATCAACCCACAAGAGAAACCAGGGGGTGGCATCTGATAAGACTTGCGTGCCAGGGGGGGGGGCGGTTTAAAGTGGTGGGGAGTAAGAAGATAGCATAGTAGAGGAGAAAAGACGACTTATGGTTACTTAAGTCACCCCGCAAGGGGCGCTGCAGTCTGCAGGGGAGGGATACTGTCTTTGCCTCCTGCAATATCTTAAGAGACGCCATCTGTGTCAGCGGCTACAAGGCTAGGAGGAGAGACAAAAAAAAAAAACAGAGAGACAGACATATACACACGAAAGAGTAGCTTTCGGTCTCGGCTGCAGGTGGGCAAGTCTAAGTGCAAGATCCGGTGGGAGGATGCAAGAGATGCATGCATGGGTTTGGTTTTTCTCGCCGACTGCGCGCCCCCCTCCCCCCTCCTTCTTCTGGCTGCCTTTAGAGCAAATCTCTGCGCTGCAAGTCATTAGTAGCAACAAAACATTTCGTTTGACTGGTTGACGATGCAGCGCTCTGTGGCTGTCAGATCTCAAAGAAAGGAAGAAGAGAACCCTGCTGGCCGGGGTAAGGGGCTGGGGTGAATCTTCGAAAAGATCGGATGGGATGGGGGGGGGGGGTTGGTGAAGGAGAGTAGGGCTGGGTGGGATTTCCACTATTTCCTTCCCAGACACAGTAGGCTTGATGCAAGCTGCAGGGCGTTCCGGCGCGGATGAATGACTGGGAGGCCAAGGGCAAATGAAGGCTTTTGCTTGCCCTACATTTGCCGCTGCACGCGCTTGTCGCTTGTTTGTGTGAGAGAGAGTGAGAGAGAGAGAGAGTGTGTGTGTGTGAATGAGTGTGGCATGATAGTCCGAATCTGGCGCAGTGTATTGTTTTTCACACCAGAGAGGGCTGGGCAGGCTGGCTCCTTTTCCATTTTGCTTCGGTCTCCACAAACGGCGGTGTGGCAGGGTAGAGACAAATGGAGGTGCACACCCACAATCCACACCCCTTCCCCCCTTAGCCCTGTGGTTTTGCATGAAGGGGGACCGCAATCCTGCATTGGTACCATGGCAGCGGTTTGACATTGGCGCCTAATCTGGCGGCGAGCTCAGTACGGTAGGTGGCTGCTGGTGGAGAATGGTCACCTGCTGGGTCCCCCAACACGCACACAGACACACAGACACACACAGACACACAGACACACACACATCACTATCGAGAAGGAAGAAGAGGAAAAAGAAGAAAACGCACATGGGCTTCCAAGGATCACGATAGTGTTATCAACGAGAGAGGATACGAAAGCGGCTCCATTCAGGGGTTCGAGATTTGAGCCCTTGAACTGGCCTGTATCGAAAATAGAAGCAAATAGGCGGCCACTGCCACTCACTCTACCATGGAGCAATGCCAGTTAAGGGCATGCATTTCTCCCCCCCTCCCCCGCGTGGGCATGCTTCGGCTCAAATTAACCAATCCGGGCGTGTTTTCGTCATACCAGGTGGTTGTCTCGAGATGTTGCGACCATGTCTTGCAGCGTTACTCCATGTCTGTCTGGCAGTCAAGTCAGGGCATACTGTAGCTTGATACCTCGTGGCATCCTCAGTACAGGACAAGAGTTGTACCGAATTGTCCAGTTTGCCTCAGCGCCGGCAGCTTTTCAGGCGAGTGGGAGGTCAAAAGCGCCGCCTGACAGACAGATACAGCGAGAGAGTGAGAGAGAGGCATACATTGAACTTGCCCTCTTCCGTCATCTCACCCATCGTTGTTTTGCAAGCCCTGCCGTAAGCAGTAGCAGAAGCCAGCAAACAACCTCACTACCTCCCCGATAGTGGTCGGAACGCTACGCACGAATTCCAATCCTCGAGGGCGCCGTGTGGGCGCTTATTTGGAAGGTGTCCTTGTTCCTTAGCAGTGGCATAGCGCCAACTAATGCCGGTTGCACACCCACCCTAGGCCTGGGCCCTTCGTGGGCACCGCTCCCACCACCCATCGATCTATGCCCACTGGCTGTGTGCAACCCTCCAAACCGGTGCACGCGAAGGACATGCTTCCTCCCACCTTTTGCAGATACTACATAGTACACAGTAGTAGGTTCCGGCCCTCAGCCATCTTTCATGCACGGACGGGGTGCACGAGGCGGCTGCACATTGATCCTGATCAGATGGCGCAAGCCCATGCAACGGTCATCAGAGACAATCGCTTGATCTGGTTGCTCTCCCTCCCACCTTTCAACATCTGCGGCCTCTGGTTGTGGTGGTGCCATAGTCACGTTTGGGTTCCGCCTAGAGGCAGCGGCCTATGAGGTGATGGTGGTCCCGCGCAACGTCAGAGTTGGGAGATGGAAGGGGGGGGGGGGCAATTTTTTTAACTGCATTCATAACAGGGTGTGTAAGCCAAGCCCCCCTCCTCTCCTCTGTGAATAGATCTGTCAAAGGAAAACATAGCCCCCGGAGGCGCCAGTGGTACCCCCCGAGATCCGATGGGGGAGGGGAGACGAATCGCCCTTTTTGCTCCATCTCTTTAACAAGCCGTGCGAGTACACAGCGAGAGCATTAAAGATTGGGAAGATCCCACACTGTACTCTAGGTCGAGTTGAGCATCAACAAAGCCAGCAGCCCCGGTGCACGGTTACCAATGCCAGCCGCCACGTTTTGCACCTGGTGTAGGGAACAGGTGACACAAAGAACGAGGGTCGGCTCAGCGAGGAGAGAGAAAAAAGGAACGTTTTTTTGGGAGGGGTGGGCAGCGCCAGCCAGTCATGACTGGGCCTGTGGTCGAGGTTCGCCACCAAGGCTGGCCGATGCGATGTCTTGACGCTTAATGCCCCTCTTGGGCGGATCTGCGCTTGATGAATGGCCACTATTGCACAGCCATTCATGCGAGGGCACCCACACCCCACCCCCCTCCTTCCTCGCCTGCAGCGCCGACCACTGCACCAGAGTAGCCCAAGGTTGTGTGGTGATGCTGCAGGTCCTAGAGGATCAAGCAAGCACTGTGTGCTATCGCTGACCATGTGGGGAAATGGGTGGCGAAGTAAGAATGGGCTGGGCCTTGGTCGGAGCCGGGGAGGACCTAGGCGCGGGTGGCAGATGATGCTTCAGACCTTCGACAGGGCCCAAGGGCCATGGGGGTTGTTGACCCCCGGGCGGGTTGAGTTTCAGCGAGTCGAGGGGCCTGCTCACAGCCTCTCGCCTGCCCTGGACCGCCAAGCCTGGCGACTGTGGACGAGGACGGGGTGAGCGTTTGAGCTTAGTGTCCCCCTAAGCGGTCTCCAATCTCCTCAGCAGCAGAAAGCTGAGATCATGTACCCTCTCCCGTCCTTAGGGCCTCCTCTGGTCTCCCCTCTCCTGGGGCAAGCCCTCCCAACCCTAGGCCATGATGCCATCTTGTAACACTGTCAAGTCTGCAATTGATTGCACTGACGGCAGTCATCTCATGTGTCGTCTCCCACCTTGACTGGGGTATGGTCAACTGGACCTGAGGATTGGAACATGTTGTGCGGGTATCGTAAGTCATGCGTTGTGTAGCCGAGTCCTTGATGACAAGAACAATCACCTTTTCCTGAATGTTCGACAGAGAGCTCGCCGGGGCTCGCGGGCCATCTCGGGCAGCGAACTTGTTGAGGAGGCACGTTGGGGCCTAGCGGGTCAAGCTTTTTGGAGTACAGTCTCATAGAGCTGTGCGGACTGTGGTGGCATTCCAGGGACAGAGAGAGAAAATCGAGCTTGACCAAATCCAGCCCCAGCAAGTGTCTGCTATGTCCAATGAAAAGGAGATGAAGGTGGTCAGGCTCTGCTGCAAAAAAGATACACACAGTACTGACACTATAGTGAGCGGGAGTGGAGCACTTCCTGTAGAGAACCCAAATTCGACACCTCATTCTCATGGTGATCGCCAATGGATTGGTCTCTGATTGGTTCTATGGACAGAGAAAAGGTGGAGGTCTCCATATCTCGACTGCATTCGGACGGGCATCAGTCCGTGCTTTTGTTGGATATTGCTACTGTGTCAACACACCTTGCAGACACAGTCCGACGTGCACGGTAGCACCGCTCTCCCTAGTGTCTTTGCCTCTCCTGCCTTCCTTCGCTGCGTCCTGCATGCGTGGCCATCCTAAGCCCATCCTGGCCTCACCCCTGTCTGAGACCCTGGTTGCTCCTAGGTAACCCTGGAACCGTCCCAGGCCATCCCGGACCAACCCCTGGTCAAGAGAGCCATGACGACCCACCCCTTAGGTCGCCCTTAGTCCCCCAGTCCTGTCCCTCGTCCAACGAGAAGATTCGCCCATCCCGACCCCCAGGCCGCGAGCAGGATTCAGTCACTCTCCAAGACCTGCCACTCGCTCCCCCCCTTCTCTCTTCTACTTCTATCTACCTATTCCGAACCCTATACGTTTCGACCACCCTCTCGTTACAATATACCTGCCTAACCCTTCATCAATCACCTCGACCCCATACGATCTTGACTCTCTCGCCTATCTCTCTCTCATCGTCCAGTTTTCCCATCACAAATCACTCCCCTTACTACTTTCACCAACAACGACAACCACCAAAAATCAAATCGTCTCTCAACCAATCCAATCGTCCCTTCGCTACACGTTTCACCAACACACCTACCGAAATTCATATCTTGACCTCGGTCTTCCGACTTCGTATTTAATACCGCACAGATCCGGCGTACAGTAGACCGTCATTAAAAACCTCCCCGCCATACACCCAAGCAAATTGGAGCACCCAAAGCGAGAACAGAGGACACGTCCATTAACCATCAGCAATCATGTCGCAATACTATCACTACAACACGCACCAACAACATCCCACACAGGCTACCGCCTCAGGTCACCATGGTGGTCGGAACCGCCGGCAGCCGAGGCTGTCGGTATCGCAAAACCAAACACACAAGCAGTTTCGAGGTGTGCGGAGCATGAAGGAACTGCCTACCGAGTCGCCATCCGTCTCGAGCTTCCGCCGGACCTATGAGCTCGGTCGGAGTTTCGACCTGGACGACGACCTCGACTTTGTGCCTGGCCTCATCACCGAGAGTGACGTAAGTCTCCCTTTAACCACCCCCCCCCCCCAATCTCTCCAAACCGAGGATTCGTGCTGGCCGACCAAGCCGCCTGGACTTTGCCCTCCCTCAACCCAAACTTGACTATGCACCTGAGAGAGAGGGCTTCGTGAGCTGACAAAGTGTTCCACCTGAAGTTGGCTTACAGCAGCAGCTCTGAGCGATCCTCCCTTGCCAGCAACTCCCCAGCCGGCTCTCCTACCCAACAACCTCAGGTGGTCGCCACTACTTATCAACTCAATTCGAACTCGCCTGCCTTCATGCCATCCTACCAGTCTCCTCACTCCTCCCTGAAGCTTCATCAACCTGCCGCCACTCGCACCCGCAACGCCATCCCCATCATCAACCCTGCCAATGGTCAAGGTCTAACCATGCCAAGCCCACCACAATCGGTCTCGCCCTCGGTCCGGATGCAGCAGAGCCTTCGCCACAGGTGGTAGACAGCGGGACGCCGCTCTTTCCCTGCCTTCTCAAGGTGGGGATAGCTTTGTCCCGCCCGTCGTCGCACCACCGAGGCGTCGAGGACTGTGGGTACATCACGCCCAGTACTCTTTCCAGGCAGCTGTTCATCTTGGCGAGCACCGACCAACCTTCAACAAGCAGGCATTCAATATTCAATTCTCCCATGGCAGGCATGGAGCGCCTTTTTGCGCCGACTTGACTGTCGGCCAGCGCTTTTCCACCCAAACCTGTACAAAGAACTTTCCAAAACTTGTGTTTTACCCGCCGAGGCATGGAGTTGACGCTCCTGGTGACGCCTTGGATTTCGCGGATATACAATTTTTATACTTATTGCTGCTTGTAATACGACAACGCAGGATCGGTGCTACGACTTGAAAAGATAAGCTGTTTGGATTTTTTTGGATTGGGCGTTTTTCCCCACTTGGATCTGCATTCTCGACGACTTTGTTCATTGGAATCGGTGTTTTTTTTTTTTACTACGGCGGAGTTGGACAAACCTTTTTTCCCACATTCGGAACGGCAAGCGGCGATTTTTCGCATGATAAAACGGTCTACCTTGGGTCCTTCGAGTCTCGGACGAGGAAAAAAAAAAAAAAGATCTGCTTGCAGCATTTAGAGCAAAACATTCTACGGGTTGCGGCAGTCGTCACAAGCGGAGTTTCTTTGTGTATCAACAAGTTGGAGGGAAAGGGTGGTGTTTTTTCATGCTTATATGGGCTTATGGAAACAACAAGACCTGAAGCGTTCAGGCGGGATGGCGAAGAACATGGCGGACTATGCGTCATTGCAAATCTACGAACCGGGCAGTGGCTTGGGCGGGCAAACGGATCTGGTGGAGTTGGTTCATTTTCTTGGGTCGTACACATCTCATTTTTTTGTTCTCTCCTTTTTTTTCTTCTTCATGTAACATGGGCTGCGCTTTATCCCATAATTTGCCGGCTTATCTCTCCTGTCGAGGTTTCTCCTCTCTCTCTCGCTATGTCAGGGTTTTTCTGAAACGAAATGCATTGTTGAAAGGGGCGCGGAAACATCCTGGCTTTATATGTCTTGAAGAAGAGGGCAACTGATGCATTTTGGTCTGGCTGGAGCGTTCGGGGGTGTTCATTGGGGTGCTATACCCGGACTGGAGAGCGCGTGCTCAAGTATTGTCCGAGTCTTGAGAGCAGAATCGAACAACAGAGGCTTAATAAAGCCTACTTTTTCATCAATCCTGTCCATGTCTTAATGCCAAGTCTCCTACCAGTGTACTATTTCTAACAACTGTGTTCAACGACTGGTCTAGGTAGGGCCTTTGCAACCAGTGAATCCGATAGAGAGACCAGAGGTAGTCAAAGCGGTTGAACTGAGCTACTTTGTCTGGTTGCTGTTGATCGGACAGACTAGGGCTCATACCAGTTGTGGCCTGCGCAGATATCTGCTTGAACACTGGTTATAAACGACAACCACCTGTATCTATCGTCCATACCCGCCTCATCCTGAGTCAGCTGTGGACTCTGGGACCACACGCAGCAACCCAGGAAGCCTGTCTCAGTACCTGCATTCATTCAACGTCTCTCGAGCCCTTTTCCGTCGTTTCCCAAATCGATTGGGAAATTTGGCGTCCTCTGGCTGATTTCAACGTCGAGGACCCGCTCGTGTTTCCTCCCAGCCTGGTCACCTCGAGCTGCTCATGCAACGTAGATTGACTGCAAGTGTCAATTTCTAGGTCCAGAGAAGTAGTAAAGCTTGATCACAATATATCATGGCCAGTCTTGCAACGCTTCAAAGGATTTCATACTGAATGTGCAAACCACTGGTTCAGGACTTACTACTGGTGTTACTACTGGTGTAGCTACGTATTTCATGGTCCGAAAACTAGGGCACGTCCAACCTGAGCCATTAGCTCATGAGAGGCGTGGACTCTCACATATATATATCTTAAAACTCAAAATTGAGCATCTGACAATGCGATCTCACTTTCCAGGGCCCTACTTAAAGAGTACTGGCCACGGGAGTCAGATCAGTCCCGAGCTTATGAAGAAAGCCCAAGACGCTTGTGGTCTTGGAGATCCGGCTGAAAGAGACATGGATTCATCCGCACTCCCTATGGGGGAATATCTATATGACCCAAGCCAATATAATGCCGTCAGATCCAAATATGCGGGGAAGTAATAGCGAGGGCGCGGTGGGGAAAGATGAGCAACGAAACCCAGAACATGTACAAATATGGCCGGCCTAATCCGTGGACCAACTCAACAGCAGACTTGCGTTTCTTCAGTATTTATACTGCCTGCCAAACAAAGATCATAATATTGAATTCAATCTATCGACATGGGGTTCGGGGTACTAGAAGGTAAGACAGCACAGTTCAAATAATCCACTCCACAACCGCGTGGGAGCTGACAACCACTAATGATATTGGATGACTATTAGACCACAGCAGTCTTGTGCATGTTCCAGGAACAGTTTTCCTGGACGATGAAACTGCACGCAGCGAGGATGCCGCAGCAGTTGAGGGCTTAAAGCATGGCAAGGGAAAAGACTCCCACATCGTCCTGGCACCTCAGCCATCGGACGATCCAAACGATCCCCTCAACTGGCCCATGTGGAGAAAAGAACTGATCACGGCCATCTTATGTCTGGGGGCTATGCTGAACGCTGGCACAAATGTGATTACCATCCATGATTTCTTACTTCTTCTTCTTCTTCTTCTTTCAAAGAAACGAAACAAGAAAAGAAATACTTGACATCAATCGTCAAGCGCAGGAAGTTCTCAAGAGAGAAAAGGTTATTTACTCACACAGCATTCATGATCGTGCAATTAGGGACCACTGCTCAACGCATCCTACTCTGCCATCGCCACGACCCTCAACCGCCCGCTCACCTCGGTCGTGCTCGTCTCAGGCTACAACCTCCTGGCGGCCGGCTGCATCGGCCCCTTCGTCTGCGCCTTCAGCAGGAAGTACGGAAAGCGACCCGTCTTCCTCGTGTCGACGCTCCTGGACATCGTCGGCACCGCGGTGGGCGAGGCACAGATCAGCTACCGCTACCTGCTCGCGGCCCGCATCATCCAGGGCTTCTCGACGAGCGCCTTTGAGAGCCTGATCGTGGCCACGGTGGGCGACATGTACTTTGTGCACCAGCGCGGCCTGCGCGTCTCGCTCATCAACTTTGTGCTCAACTCGGCCTCGAGCCTGGCGTCCATCATCTGCGGGCAGGTCTTTGCCGACCTGGGCTGGTTGTGGCTGTTCCACCTGTTTCAGATTTTCTTGGTGCTTCAGTTCGTGGCCATGTTCTTGTTTTGTCCGGAGACGACGTATGTTCGTGAGACGAGGTACGATGTGGACCTTGACAAGGGTGACACTACAGCGACAGCACCACCGCCAGTCGGTACGGCCCATCCAGGGAGGGAGAAGGAAGATGATGTCGCAGCGGTTGTGCATCATGATGGCGATGATGAAAAAGCAGCAGCCGCACCGAGGGAGGTCGCTCTTCCTCCACCTCCACCACCCAAGAAGAAGATATTCGTCGAGTCTCTTGCCGTCTTCACAGGCGTGTATTCCAGGGACAATACCTTCAAGTTTCTCCTGGGCCCACTGCTCACGCTGCTGAACCCTGCTGCCTGCTACGCAATCATCACGTCAGGCCTGCTCAACAGCTGGTACGTAGGCTCGGCCATCATCTTGTCCGGCGTCTTCTCGGGACCACCTTGGAACTTTGGCCCTGCGCAGGTCGGCTATATCGGTGCGGGGCCGTTCATCGGCGGCATGATAGGGTCGATTATTGTTGGCTGGGGGAGCGATCCTGTTGTGAAGTGGATGGCCAAGAAAAACTCGGGTGTATAGTGAGTCTTCGTTTTTTACTTCTTCTGCTTCTTCTTCTTCTTCTTCTCCTCGGCTTTTGGTTCACGACCTCTGTCTGTCTCTCACTCTTCTGATTTACTCCGGTCTAATACACCATCCTCGCAGTGAGCCCGAATTTCGTCTCGTCTTCATGTTATTTGCGATGATCATGTGCGGACTAGGAATGTTTCTGTTCGGCTACGCCATGGAAATCGGCGCCGCTGCCGAGCTGTGTGCGTTCCTGCAGGGCGTAATGATGGTCGGAGTGCTCATCGGTATCTTTTCGACCCTCTCGTATGCCCTCGATGCATTTCGGAGCCAGAGCAACGAGATGTTTATCATGAACATGTTCTTCAAGGTGCGCGCCGGAATTATAAGAAGGGGGCTGCAGTCCTCTCTCTCGCTGTGCCAGATCTCCCCGTTCTAAGTGTTTTTGGCCGTCACTGACAATCCCCTCTACAGAACTTTATGTTTTATGGGCTGTCGAACTTTGCGAATGACTGGGTTGCTGCCAAGGGACCAGAACAGATCATGTATGTGTTTGGTGGGACGTCCATCTTTTTGTGCTTGTTGGGTCTGCCCGTGTACGTATATGGAAAACGCCTGCGGAGTTGGTGGGCGCGTCATGATCTGTTTGTGACATTGAAGATGGAGACGACGGGGCCGGTCCAGCAGATGGGTTGATTGATCCACGAGTATGCAGCAGCGCTCTGTCGTTTGGACTGTATGGTCAGATCGGTCGACGTCGTTGTTTGACGCTTTCGCTACTTCGTTGTGACCATTATCGTCTCGTGATAGTCTGAGGTGCTCTGTGATGAAGAAGAAGGATAATCAAACCTCCCTCCTCTGCGCAAATATCTTTCGCGTCGTTGATCGTATTGTGATAGTCGTGGCGGGCTCTCAGTATAGTAGACAAAGCATGAAGCTTCAGAATACTGCTGGGCTTTGGGTGAGGAACTTGAGGTCTACCTGTTTCCACAAATCAGCTGAGCATTGGAACGTCTGGATCATTCCCTCTAGGAGCATCTCTCCTCTTTCTTCTACCACCAGGTGGGCGTGCAGTAGAGGCCTATTTGGTGGTTCTTTTTGGTGAACATACTGAAGCCAGATGGAGGGAATTAGCCACGTAAGTGTGCTGTTGTGAGTGGATAGAAGACTAGTTAAGCAGTCCAAGTTCCAAAGATAGGGCACATACATCTCGACAATCGTCAACAGTCAAGCAGAACGACAGATCATAGTCCTTACATACTAAGCTCAGTAAATCACAGGCTTAGCTATTATAAATCTATGTGTAGAGGTTGGCATTGTAGAGTCCATCGAGTTATGGCACTGTCCATTGAAAGGTAGAGACTGGTGAGATTGGAATGATGCTGCAAGAAAGGTCTAGGAGGACGCATTGTTGCATGCTTTCCAGATTTCCCTTTGCTTAAGACCCAACAGCCAGAAAAAAAGGCGGCCTGTCCTCTCTCCCTCAGCCAACAGGTATCGATCTCAGTGACAACTCTATCTTGACACTCCAAGGTTGCTGTGCTCCTCCACTATTCCACACACAACAACCACAACTTGTGTTGTTTTTTCTTACTCCATCCCACAACGCGAACCCTCAACCTCTCTTGACGCGTTCTTTCATCTTCCCACACCTTGTTCTTACACTTTCCGACGACAGCTTCGAGTGTAGCCTCCCACAACAATTTTGCCATTTGCAAACCACAAGCTTGACGAGCAAGATGAGCGACAACATGAGTGACGTCCAGGACAGTGGCTCTGCCTCTGAGCTTCTGCCTGCTGGGCAAGATGAAGATGATGAGAAGGACATCGTCCCGTAAGGATAACCAACACCTCAAGCAGCTGGCATTATGTCGTTGTACATCACTTACTGACAACCAGCACAGCAGCCACCTTGGCACCCACATGGTGACCATCACCGTTGGTCCTGATGAGATCCTATACATTATCCACAAGGACATTCTCCAGGAGACAACCTCCCCTTTCTTCAGGGTCTGCTTCAACAACGGCTTTGCTGAGCAGCGCTTGTCCTTCCTCGCCCTGCCCGAGGACGATCCCAAGGCGTTCAACACCTTCTGCCGCTGGGCGTACGGGCGTGTGTCGGGCTTCACCGAGTGCTCCAAGGCCTTCCTGGAGCACATGCCCATGTCGGAGCTGCTGGACCTCTACATCTTCTCCCACAAGTACATCATCCAGGCTCTCGAGGACGCCATCATCGCCACCGTCATGTACAAGGCCCACCGCAGCAACGGACACCAGATGGGCTTCACCCGGGCGTCGCTGGAGCGTCTCGAGGCCCGCACCCCGTTCGACACCAACATGCGCAAGTTGCTCGTCGACACGCTGGCGTGGACGGCCAAGAACCGGTCGTACTGGATGGACGAGGCCCTGGTGGAGATGCTGCCCGTCGGTCTGATGCGAGGCGCCTTCCTGCGCCTGTACCAGCCTATGGGTATGGGACCACCGCCCGGTTTCAATGGCAACAAGTGCCACTACCACGCCCATCCGATCAACGATCTTTGCGAGGATGGCTGGGATGGCGACGACACCCGCGTCGTCATGGTAGAGGGCCACCAGGACAACTGAGCGCATAAGCACCGTAGCCGCTTGCGCGCGGTGATGACAAGTACAGGAAGCCCAGAAGGGAGGAGGAGAAGAAGAAGGGCTAGTATGGAGATCCGGGGCCAGGATGGCTAATGATCAAATCGAAGACTTTGACAATGGAATGTTTGTTTGCCTTGCCTGGCTTGACATGCCTAGTAATTAATCCATGATCAGCAAGTGTGCAGTGTGATAGTATGCACTCTCTGAGACGACCTTCCATCGCATAGAAGTGATGGCAACATTTGTTTGAAAAACATTTGAGACAGCCCCCGGTCCCTAATGCTTTCGCCAGAAAAAGATCTGTAAGCTTTCCGATGTCGCTGATGGGAATAATAAAGGACAATCCAACATTGTCTTGCACGTCACTACTCACTCATGACACAGGAGAAGGTGAGGAGTTTGTGAGGCAACAATGGAATGTAGTTGAGATCTGCTTGTGCGGCTCTGGGCGATCAGATCAGGGCGGCCACTGAATCCAGGCAGTTCCCATCTCACCCCAAGGGAGTGGATGTTACCAACATGCATTCATTGACAGGTTGATGAATGACGAGTCTGTCAATAATGATTTCTTGTTATATACTTAAAATACGTATGTAGTATTCAAGTAATTACTTACTCCATCCAGAGTCCATCTGCCCCACAGATCCACATCCACCACTAGGAGCGCCTTGAAAAGTAAGATCACAGGCAGCTTTGCAAGTATGACATCATTACCCAGCAACCCCCCTTGACAGAGGGAGAGAGACACAACCGAGGATATGGAAAGAGCTACATAGCATAGCTCTCTTCCCTTTGTCCAGTAATAACTACCTGTGAGAATTTTCCCTCGTTCAAACATCCACCAAACCTCTAGACAATTAATCAACACCCAGGGAAACGATCACGAGAAGAGTGTCTTGTTCCCTTCTCCGTTTCTTCAACCACCAACAAGAAGACTTCCCTAGCTACACGAGTTCGACACCCAACTACGTCAATCGCAACCATGGCCTCAAGAATTCTTCTCAGATCAGCTGGCGCTCTGCGGCCCGCCGTCACCACAATGCCTACTCTCCAGAGAGGCTTCGCTGTGTCCTCGTCTCGCCAGTTAAAGGAGTCCGCGGGTGGTATGTCAACTCATGAGTCTCATCACGAAAGCAACAGCACCTTTATTCTCCCACGCATTTCCACCCCACCTTCTCATCACTTTTCACCAACTTGTCACACCCCCTCCCTCCCTTCTCCTCTCCCCACCCCCTCTTCGGCAATCAATTGCTTACTCCCTAGCAGAGACCAAAGATTACGACAAGCACAAGCAAGACTCCCTGGCCAAGCAAAAGAGCGGCAAGGGCCACTGGAAGCCCGAGCTCGCCTCCGACGGCGAGGAGGCCATCAAGGCGGACCGCTCCCCCAAGGAGGACTTTGCTCAGATGCAGGAGCGGACCAAGAAGCATGCCGAAGAGCAGACGGCCAAGGGTACCTCGACCAAGGATCCTATGTAAAGTGGAGTGAGACAAGAGTACGAAGAGACGCTGACCGCCAGGGCGACTCGTTTGAGGCAGACTGAGAGAATAATAATCAACAAGGAAGAAAACAGCAAACGAGGAGAGTTTGGGGAAAGAGGAGTAGTAGGTGCTTTGCGGATTATTTATCGGAACTGTTTGAGTTCATGGAGAATACAGAAAGCAGTGTTGGACTACGGAGAAAGCAAATATGCATGTGGCGTTCTTGTCTCGATGGAAGGTTGTTGTTTGCTTCTGAGTCTTGACAGATCAAGGCATAACAGAAAGAGGAAGAAATCAAGGAGCATTTTAAAAAGCCACATCCATCACAGAGATTGGTACATCAAATTTGCTTGATTACTAGTACAACAAAGAAGGCTGTGCAAGCAATACGCGCCTCTAGCTTGACTGTTGCCGCTACCTGCGATGCACTCTCATAACGACGAACCAAGGCTGCTTGAGAACTGCGATCATGCATCTCGGGCGAGGTGCACGTCCCCTTCATTTCAAGCCGGCCTTCCCCTGCCCCGCCCCCGACCACGACTACGATCGCGGCCACGGGCCCCTCTACCTCTCACGGCGGGCCTCCCTCGCAAGGCAGACCTCGTTATAGTCTCAGCGGGCATGTCCTCGTTGGAGTCCCTATCGGAGGTCTCATCTTGATTCCCAGAACTAGAGGGTGAACTGCTGTACAGGCTGAAGCCGTCGTCATCGTCCGAGTCTCCGAGTCTTACTATTGTCGGGCCCTTCGGCTTGGGCGGCTGCACGACCGGAGACGGGTCCCTCGATGCCAGCTCTCTATCGATCGCAGCACTGCCCGACGCTCTCGTGATGACAGTGACGGGTGCAGGGCTCGAAACATTCGACCGAGGAGATGCCAAGGTAGAGACCCTGGGCATCGGAACGATGCTCGTAGGCCGGGATGTGACGGGCTCTTCCGTGTGGTGTTTGCCAGGCTGCTGAAGCTGCGGCGGTACCGGTGAGGCCTGTGGCTCGGTCGGCTCCTGTGGCTTTTCGATGGTCGGCACAATGGTGTTCGCAACTTTCGAGGGACCAGCCTGCACACTGCTGGCCTGTTTGTCCACCGCATTCCCTCCATCCTTTGCCTGCTTCCGCTTTCCGATCTTGATCTTCTTGCCACGGAGCGCCATACGCTCGGCCATGGATAAGAACTTCTCACTTGAAGCAGGCGCAGGCGCAGGCACCTTATCGATGCGAGATGTTGTAATCGGTGTTGGCTTGTCAGCCACCTGCACGGCCTTCTTTGGGGGACGGCCTCTTCTCCTCGGCCTCAGCATCTCAGCCGTGGGGCTAGCAGAGGAATTACCATCTTCCAGCTCCTTGGCAAGCCCCTGCTCAAGCTCCCCGATCATGGCATCGTGGGGAGAATCTGGCATCCCGTCGGTGAAGGGCGCCGAGCTCATGGCCAGGGACGCCCGAGAAGGTCGGCCGCGATTCTTGGTTGAGCCTGTTGGTGGAGTAGAAGAAGCGGTTGCATCCGATTTGCGTGGTCTGCCCGGCCGTCCCTTTCGGCGAGCGGATGCCCTGGGGGGACTCTGGTTGCTGGGCGCATTCGCGATCGCCCTAAATGCTTCGGCAGCTAGGTCGAGAGGATCAGAACTAGCTTTCGCTGCTGTCGGCGTGGCCTCGGGCTGTTTGGGCCTCTTGGGTTTGCTTGGCACTGTCTCATTGAACTCCTCAATATCTCCCTCCATCTCGGCATAAGACACTGTGGGCCTCGACGACCGCAAGGTCGGAATGTTAGGATCAAATGGTCGCCCCAGGTCCACCGGTCCCTGTTGCTCTTCCTGCTGTTCATCGTTTGCTGTAACCTCGGTAGGTGCCTGCGGCTGAGGCTCTGCATGCGCATCCACCATGGTCACATCCTCACCACCAAGGAGTGCAGGATCCATATTCTGGAGTGTATTGGCCTTGTTTGCGTAATCCACTTTCTTCTTCTTGTGTGATTTTCCAACCACGAAATCTGGGTCACTGTCGTCTTCCTGGCGAGCGCGACGCTTCGCCAAGCGTAGCGCTTTCTTGACAAGTTCGGCCTCCTCGTCAAGCATGTCCTCACCATTGGGCTCCTCGTAATAATTGTAGAGGATCTTGTCGGGAGAATCATCCTGCTCGTAATAACCCATTCCGAGCCTTCGTTCCGGCCCAGGTGGTTCGGGATAGGCTGTCTCAGGATACAATAGGGTCGCCGCGTCGGGCAACGCCAACAGGCCACCAGCTTCTGCGGCGCCATTCTGGGTGAACAGATCTTGGCGACCATGTGCGTCATCGCCGTTGAGGTTGCCATCGATCTCGCCACGGTCCTCGAAATCATTAGTATCAGCAGCATTGGTATCTACGAGAGCGTCCACAACGTCCTGGTCCTTCTCCTTTTCGGCGTCAGCCTGCTGGCGGAGACGCTGGATCCTCTTGCTGTTGTGATTCCGGCTCTCGTCACCGGCTGCTTTCAGCCAATTGAGATTGTGTACTCGGAAGTCAACAAGGACTTCTTGGCTGCGGTCATCAGCAACAGCCCGCGTGTCGTGACCAATGTAGGTGTTCTTGGGCTCGTAGGGAACTGTGGTCCCCGCCCTGCGGCAGTGACCACAGTTACAAATTCCCCGGCACTTGGGACAGTGCCAATGCTCCGCCTGCAGTACCTCTTGTGGCATCATATCAAATGCCCGATAGAGGACGCCAAAACAATAGGCTTGATGACAGCCAGGATTCGTACAGAACGCCAGACGGTAGGTGTAATCCTTGTGGATGCAAGTGTGACACTTGTACGTATCACCCTTCTTCTTCTTCCGCTTCCGTTTCTTAGGATGTCCTTGCTCATCCACCACCACCGGCTCCTCCTCCTCCGGCTCCAGCGAAGGCGGCCTGTCAGGTTTTGTGATATCATGAAATGGTCTGATCCGCAGCTGCTCCTGGCAGACCTGAGCCAAGGACTTCCTGCCAATCTTCATCCTGGCAATCTCCAGAGGCGGCGGCGATAGGTTCAAATCAACAAAACCATCGTTGTAGATGACCATGTTTCGCCACGCCTCATAGTTGTCGATGAGCTCAGCCCAGTCCCATTGTTCGCAGAATGACAGGCCGGAGACGCAGAGGCAGGATCGTCCCATGGCGTAGCATTCCATGCAAACATCGTAGGTATCTTGGTCGCCTCCTATGAGATCTCGGACGCAGTGCTTACAGGTGAGGAAGCGGTTGAAAATATTACTCCGGCAATAAGAGCAGGTGATGCACGAGTCAAATGGAATCATCTCGACGTTCTTCTCCCTGGAGGAGAACATCTCATCCACCAGGATCTCTGTGAAGAGCTGCTGCAGCTTTCTGAAGTCCTTCTTGAGCTGCAGGAGCCTCACGGAATCCTTGCCAACTTCGTCGCCCATCAACCAGGTCATCTGAGGGTCTGCGGCATTCTGCAGCATCTCGTGGTACTTCTTTAGTGAGAAATAGATGATGGCTTTATTCTTGTACTGCTCGTCGCGGCAGACGAGCCGCGCACGTGGGAGCGCCTCATGCAGGGCAAAATCCAAGGTCTCCACAGTCGTTCGGTTCCAGGCAACTTTCATGGTTCGAGTGCCTCTGTTCCAGACCTGGTGGGGTGCCAGAGGCGGAATGAGGATGAAATCGCCCACCATCTGTTCGACGATGTAGACCGGGAAGGTCGCTTTCTTCCAAGCATTGATCTGCGCAAAGTGTTTCTCGATCTCGACATCGTGGCCTAGCATGGACAAGAAGTACTCGCGAACAACTTGACGGTCTTTCGTTTCGGTCATGAACCATATGGAACTGCCCTCCTTCTCCCCATTTTCGTTAGTTGAAGCCTCGACCATGATGTTCTGTCCCAGAGAGGCACACATCTCGCGATGCGCTGGCGTGTATGTGCCCTCGTGCCCAATATAGCACATCAGATTCTGGGCGCGCATGTCTTGCGGCAGGCTGCTCATGAGATCACCCGCCGGCGCGGCAGTCCTCTCCTCCACGAAAAGGTCATCTTGATTGGCACCATAATCCTCGATGTTCTCGTTCCAGTAGAATAAACCTGGCGGCATGATCTTCCGCAGATAGTCATGCCACTCTGGCGGGCAGTCGATATCCTTCAGGTAGAGTCTTTGTCTTCGCTCGTCTCGGAAGTTATGCGGTGTCCACTGCTCGGTAAGTTGTCGCATCGATCGCAAGTAGTGACCAATGGTCATGGGGATGTCAATCTGAGCATTGATGTCACGGACATCCTCCTCTACGGGGTCTCGGTCAGTATCCTATGAAAAGAGCAACAAGGGTAGAAAGGAGGCACGCTTGAAGGAGGCAGGCCTACGTTTCTTGTTGTAGGTTGCCTCCAGCCACTGAGCACTGAAGAGCGACTTTGGGAGTCTACCCTGCCAGCCCTCGATGACCAGAGGTTTGCCCTGCTTGATGACCTGGTACCAGACGAGCTTCTCGAACTCGAGCTTCCTGATCTTAGAGGCAGGTATGCGCTGGGCGAACTCGAAGTTTGGCGTTCGATCGACGATGGCATGCAGGTCCAGATTCGGAGGGATAGGATCGAATTTGGCCTGAGGATGTGTAGCAGGAGCCATCTTGATCTGATATGATCAGAAAGCCAGGAGAACACATCCAGTGCCTCATTCTCTGTGGTGGACGACGCTGTGCTGTATGCGACCAGAAGCGGCGCGGCCCAGCAGAGGCACGGGTCAACACATAATCGGCCCGCGTTTCCCTCTTGATGCCTAACCGAGAAAGGAATCCTGGAGCCCAGAAGATGATATCGCAGAGCTGCTGAGAAGCAAACGCGAAGAGACGTGAGCAGAACCCCACCGATTTCCTTCGTGAGAGGTCGACAGGTTGGAGCGGGGAGAACAAAACAACTAGGTAACGCGGTGCTACTATAGTGCATGGTAGCATAGCATGGTCTAGAACCCGAACCCTGATGGCTTCAGTCCTCTGAACTTTTGACTTTTCCTTTAGCAATACAGATTGTGGCTTCCGCTCCCTCATTCTGGAACCCAAACATATGACCTCAGACTTTCAAAATGCTCATAAGTCGAGATTAATTGTGCTTGAGGTATCTCAAGATTTAGAAAAGCTCGTCAAGTTGAGGTAAGAGTCCCTCCTGATCAGTTAGTTCTCTCCCAAGATGCGACTTGAGAAACTGCATGGATAAAGGTCATGAATGGATATTGTATTTTCAGAGAAACCCCCAATCTAGATGTTACCATGAGATGATTCTCGAGTTTGGTGAAGCTAATTCTCCTGCAGAGGGTTCAGAAGAGGACCTCACCGGCAGCGATGAGTGCACTCGCCGCCAGAGGTGCAGCACTACGAGCAAGAACACCTGCCTACCTCGTTTCATCTGGCACCAGATCACTCATCAACCTCGCAAGATGCCATAGTCAACAAACAATAATATCGAGACCGAGGTCGAGGCCTCACGTTGAGCGAAGCGTCCCCGATGCTGTCAAAACTCGTTCTGTGTTGAGAGCCTACATCTCATCCACAAGTACAAGACCAACCTCTTCAGCTGCAAACACAACGACAAGTCTCGAGGACGGAGGCCAAACACCAGCCCCCATCCCATACGAACCGCCCAAGACCGGCCTCCTCGCGCATCTACCACGCTCCTGGGTCCCCTACGCCGAGCTTGTCCGCCTCGACAAGCCCACGGGCACCTACTACCTCTTCCTCCCATGCCTCTTCTCCACCCTCCTCGCCGCGCCGCTCGCGAACCCCATCACGCCGCCCCTCACCGTGCTCGGCACGTCCATGCTCTTCTTCGCCGGCGCCCTCATCATGCGCGGCGCAGGCTGCACGATCAACGACCTCTGGGACCGCAATCTCGACCCGCACGTCCGCCGGACCCGCCTGCGCCCCATCGCGCGCGGCGCCGTGACCCCGCGCCAGGCCCTCGTCTTCACCGGCGCACAGCTCCTCGCGGGCCTGACCGTGCTCCTGCAGTTCCCGCTCGAGTGCTTCTTCTACGCCACCCCGAGCCTCCTCTTCGTGGCGTCGTACCCGCTCGCGAAGCGCGTCACGTACTACCCGCAGTTCGTCCTGGGGCTCACCTTCTCCTGGGGCGCCATGATGGGGTTCCCTGCGCTGGGCGTGGACCTGCTGTCGAGCGTGCCGGCGCTGACGGCTGCGGCGTGTCTGTATGGGTCGAATGTGGCGTGGACGGTGCTGTATGATTTCATCTACGCGCACATGGATGCGCGGGACGATGTCAAGGCCGGCATCAAGAGCATTGCGCTCGCGCACGACCAGTCCAAGAGGCTATTGGTGGGACTGGCGGCTGTGCAGGTGGGCTTCCTGACCGCTGCTGGGGTTGCGGCGGGGGCTGGGCCGGCCTTCTTTGTGGGCAGCTGTGGAGGGGCGGTCGCCACGCTGGGGTACATGATCAGGAAGGTCAACCTGCAGAGTGTCAAGGATTGCTGGTGGTGGTTTGTCAACGGGTGCTGGCTGACGGGTGGGGTCATCAGTGCTGGATTGGCGGCGGACTATGCTCTGAAGTATACACAGAAGGCGGAGGAGACGGACCACGAGGAGAAGTAGTCATCGGTCTTGCAAACCGAAAATGTACCATCATCTAACCTTGTATCATCTCATTCAAAAGATTGCATGTGACAGAATTGCCCTTGACGGGTCGATCCTCGACCACTCTTACTCCCCCCTCTCGGCGCAGTTTCGCCGCTACCCCCTCAATGCCTCGGGAGTGTGTGTATATCCGCACGTCGCTTGTTCTCTGTGCTCATGGCGCAATGATCTGTTTATTCGTCGATCATGGCTACCGAGTAGAAATCAGAACCCCCCATGCCTGATTTGTGTGTGAAGATGCCGATGAGAGCAAGCACTGATTGACGCCGAAAAAACCCAGAGCATTCCTTTGCTGTCTTTTTGTCCTCCTCTCCCCGCCACTTCCGATATTCCCGGAGCAGCAGTAACACCATCTAAGAGCGAGGCTTCTCCTTCTTCTCCTTCCACAGAGCCAGCAGACCGACACCGGAAACCTTGACGACCTTGAATCGCACACCGGGAATATCACCCTTGGCCTTGCCCTTGCGACCGAAACCAGCCAGGAGCACCTCGTCGTTCTCGTCCACGAAGTTCAGGCAACCGTCGTTGGGGACTAAGAAAAGAAGAAACAGAATGTCAGCCAATTCGTCCCAATATCGCCATTTACTCCCCTTTCCCTCCCGCGTCATCGGATCTTTCTCGATACCACATAAAGAGGCACGGAGACCATCATCCTAACACGTGCTTGGGAACAAGGAGGGGGGTGGTGGTGGTGTCTCGTACCGAAAGCAGTGACCTTCTTGCCGTTCTTGATCAACTGGACACGGACGCACTTCCGGATAGCGGAGTTGGGCTGCTTGGCCTCGACACCGACCTTCTCGAGGACGATGCCCTTGGCGTGGGAGGAACCTCCGAAGGGCGAAGACTTGAAGGCAGTGCCCAGGGCACGCTTCTTGTAACCGTTATCGGCCCATCGCTGCTCGCGGCGGTTGTTGCGCAGCTTGCGCGCAGCGTTAAGTCCTCTAGGCTTGCCCTTTCCCATTTTGACTTGCTATAGGTGGAGAAAATAACAGATGGTTAGTCTTGTGTGTCTCGTAGAGGGCTTTCTTGAGCGATTTTGAGAAGGATTTCGTGGTCTGAGTCTTGTCGTTGGTACTGCTGGTGGTGGGTCGATTTGTCGAGGACGTGCGAGCTTTGCTCGATAACAAGTCGTCTGTCGGGCAGCACGAGGCAGAGATCGGTCGAATTCGTCGTGAATCGGGTAATTGATCGTGAGGGCTGTGATGAGAGGAGGGGGAAAGGAGAGGGCACCGTGTACTCACCGATTATGACTTGATCGCTGAATGAAGGTTGATGTGGGGTGGAGAGAATGGTGGACGTCGAGGAAATCGCAAGAAATTCTCTACAGTGAGCAGATTCGTCCAGGCGGGTTTGCCCTTGGCGCTAGCGTTGTGTGGGAAGAGCTGGCTGGTCCGTGCATCCCAGGTCCCGTGACCTTGCTGACTCAGTAAGTATGGCGTCGGAACTCAATCGAGCATTTGCAATCGTAACGTCCTCCCGACCATTGCACTTTGTTGCAAATGGGCAGCGATACAGACAGATTCTCAGGATCTGCAACCTCGCAACAGACCCTTAAAATGCAACATGAATATTCTACTGGAAGTTGTCTCGAGCCATTTCGGCTCAAGACAATCCCTCTGCGTTCGACTTGCACGACCGCGCGTCTGAAGGGCATAAATGCTATGGAAAAGCGAGACAGTTCTTACCCTAACCCTCAAATCTTTATCAGTCAGATGCGCGTAGCTGCTCGGGGCAACCCCTTTTCCCCTGTTCCCTGTCGGAACGCCAGTGCGGCTTCCTTCAACGTCACCGTACCATCGTCCTTACCAAAGCGATGTGAAAGCCAAGTCGACAAACTTCGCAACGTTACTGACGTATAAAAATTGTGACATTTGAAGCCAACTCATCATTGAAACAGCCAACGTATTATTTTCTCACAAAGAGGACCCAGAATATGGTCGATGACGCAGATTCCTACACTAATCTCACCAGCCTTGTACTTGCCATATCAGAGGACCCCAGCCCCAACGAGGTCTCTTTTCCGCCTTTGGGAAGGTCGCCGCGGAACGCAACTGGAGCGGGACGCGCAACGCTCTGAAGACGGTAGAGAACATATCAGCTCATCTCATTCGCTACTTACGTGGTCCTGGTAGCGGGATGAGGTAAGATGTCTCAATCACGCCAGCAGCAGCAGCAGCAGCAGACCCAATCTGCAAGACCTAGACCACAAAGGAATCCGCCCCCTGCTCTGTTCCTGCATCCCTCACCTGCAGCTTCACATGTTTCGCTAGTATCTACGGCCGTTGCTGGTCCGGGGTCAGTCAGCACGGGTGTGTCCTCGTCCCAAGGTCAAGGTCAAGGTCAAGGTCAGGGTCAACTGCACGCACGAAATTCATCCGCCCTGCTCGCACCCGACCCTCTAGCCGCAGCGCTCTCGAAACCAATGGATCGCGGAACAGCATCAGCAACAGGAGGAGGAGCAGGCGTTGCATCGAGGACGGCGACAACGACGACCACAGCAACGACGGGGTTATCAGCAGGCACTGCTCCCGCCCCGCGCAGAGGCATCCTGCCACCGCTGCAGACGGGCCCAGCCCCGTACGCGCGCCGCGAGTCGACGCGCGCGACGGATAGGACCGATGCGCTGTGGGCCGAGATGCAGGCGACGCTCGAGGAGGTTGAACTCTCGGCCAGCGGCGGCACGCGTGTCTTCGGCCCGGACCACGACCGCAAGCTTGCCGAGCTGCGCGCCGCCCAGATCGAGCTCGCACAGGCCTGGGCGCGATCCGAGGCCGACGAGGCCATCGAGACCGCGTCGTCTGCTGCTGCTGCTGCTGCTGCTACTGCCGCCGCCTCGGCGTCCACGGGGACCGCTGGGGTCGGCGGAGAGCTGAGGACAGACGGCACAGGGGCCACGGCTGACGGCGGCGTGAGAAGTGCTGCTACCGGCACAGCAAGCATACGTCCTGGGAGCGCGGGGACCGGTGCGGAGAAGCTTGGGCGCAAGCTAGACGAGGAGACGGAGAGCGATATCAGGCGAGCAAGGGAGAGGAGGAAGGCGAACGATCGGTATTTCCAGCGCGTCAACCAGGGCGTGCTAGATGTCATCGCAAAGCTAGACGGTGTTGCTACCGCCATGAGGGCTGTGGAGCAGGAGTCCAAGGATGTCTGGGGGGACGAGAGCGTGCCATCCAGTGCGAGGCCTTCAGACCCGGTTCAATGAATGTCTCTGGTTCATATCCTACAACATGGGAATCGACATCGACAATGTCAGCACCATTTGTGTGTGTGTGTGTGAGAGAGAGAGAGTGAGAGAGAGAGAGAGATCAAGGTTGACTAGTACAGCCGTCCTCCTGGACTGGAGCGTACGCCTTATAAAAAGGCATTCGATAACCAAAGCTTGCTGCATCCGCAGGCGGATGAATTGAGTCCGAGTACAGGGCAACTGACCAGCCGTTGTTACCGCCACAAATTCGAGGTAGTCATTTCCCTCAATCTCTAGGTCATTGCTCTGCCTGCAGGAAGTTATAATAGCGGGGCTGCTCTTGTAGTAATTAATTTGGTGCCTTCGGAGCAGGCCATTCGCAGACCCAGACCTCGGCAGCTGTTCAGACCAGAGACGCGATAGCACATACTTTCATCAGGCGAGGACTAGTTAGCCGAGAGTCCGTCTAAGATCTTGAGACGGCGGACAACATCCGCAGATGTTGTCAGCCATGGAATCCTCCCAAGAGAGAAGTGCCAACAATCTGGTTTACAGGGATTCCTTGCAGAATCTCAAGAGCTGTGCCTCAATTTAATATCTCGGAATCTTCTCCACTAGCTTATAAATACAGCCTCAGATCGGGGGTGCTTTAACCTGATTATCAAGCACAAATCAAAACGCAGCAACATCCTGCGATGAAGGATGGCTCGGAAGAGGATTGCAGCAACAGCAGTGGCATCGTCATGAAATGTCTGTCATTTCCAAGGGGGCCAGTATATAATCAAGCGACTATCAATGAGCAGCTGTGCAGACCTACTGTCTGACCCCCCCTTGCCGGACACCCGTACCCGCCGGACAGCTAATTTCCGACAGCGCCATACAAATACCAACATCCTCACTTACATATTATTTCCTCAATATTGAAGCTATTCAGAAACTGTTTTGATAGATAGATAGCCCTTTAATTAACGAATCTATTGATATACTTATATCTATGCCTGGACGCCTTATGACGCAATTCTGGCAATGCCGGAAGCTAATATCTATTCCTTCCTGTCTTCATATCCATGATCCTTTTCCTTCAACAATCTTCTACCTCAAGCAAGCCACAATGCCTTCCCACGCCTGGAATGAGGAGAATATGGCTGATGCCCTCTTCGATATTATAGATAACCATTTATCTTTACGAAAATCAGCCAAGAAACACGGAATCGCCCCCCAAACGCTGTCAGATCAGCTGCATGCAGGGTCCTCAGTTCAAGAAGCAAAGAAATCTCAACAACGCCTTTCTACTACTGAGGAAAAGAAGATATCGAGATGAATCATCAAGTAGGAGAGCCTAGGATATGCTCCATCAGCTTCTGCTGTGCGTGGTGTTGTAGGAGCCCTCCTCAAGCAGAAGGGAGATCTCAATGCCCTTGGCTGCAAATGGATAGAGGGCTTCAAGAAGAGAAATCCTCAAATTCGCCATAAAATAGGCACTCGCCAGGAAGCCACCAGATACGATGCCTTCACCCCGAAAGCTGTTAACTAGTATTTCGACATTCGCGAGAAGGAATATGGGTGGATCGAGCCATAGCTTACAGTGAATGTGAATGAGGGTGGCATTATAACTGGATATAGTAAATTTCTATGGAATCCTTATCTCAGAGCTTCTGAACTGATACTTTTGATAGGCTTGAACTCGCTGGTCCTTGGATTCTCTGAAAAAAAGAAAGCATTCCTCAAAAGCAGCCAGGACAGAAGCTGGGTTACTCTCATTGAAAGCTGTACAGCCACAGACCAGCTTCTCGATCCAGACATCATCTTCAAGAGCAAAGATCTTCAAAAACAGTGGTTTTCTGAAGATATGAAGCAGTCTGTGCTAACCTGGCGCGTGATTACCAGTCAAAACAGCTGGACAAGCAATGAAATCGCGATAGCGTAGCTTGAGAATGTTTTCCTTCTTCAGATGAATATTCTCCGTGAGAATGATATATCTCGAGCTATCCTCCTCATCCTAGATAGCCATAATAGCCATACATCAGTAAGTTAAGATCTTTTGAAGCTCAAGGTGGTATTTCTCGAGGATAATATGCTGATATAAAACAGCTGGAGTTCATAGCTTCTTGCTACTTGAATAATATTTTCCTTTGCTTTCTCCCCGCATACACCTCCCACAGCCTCCAGCTACTAGATAACAGCATATTTGCTGTACTAAAAGCAGCCTATCAGAAAGAACTTCAAAAGTTGCAAGATCTTACAGACTCAGCCCCTGTTAACAAGATCAACTTTCTACAGTATCTCATCACAGCCAGGGCAGCAATCACTCCTAAAGTAGTAAAAGGAGGATGGAGACATAGTGGCAACTATCCAATTAATCGCTATAAAGCTCTATCTCATGAGGAAATCCAGGAGGATAAGCAAAAACGAGGAGCAGATGAGTTGGAGGAGGACGAGGAGAATAAGCCCATTTCCCATGAGTTTATTACTGCTATAGGCTGAGACCGAAGCTACAATGAACGCAGCAAGTTGAGGAGGATCGCAAATCACCTTAAAGACCTCCAAGCTGAGGTTATCTTGCTCCAACAGCGAAATGCCTCCCTTAAGGCTCAGAACGAGGCCATTTCGAAGATCCGAAAGCGCAAGAAGATCCCCAATCCTAACAAACGCTTTATAACTATTTCAGAGGCACTTTCGGCTGGAGAAGAGGCCAACACAGCCCAGGAAGAGGAGGATTTGCCTGCTGAGGATATTGTAGAGGTTCAAGACGAGGTTGACGAGAAGGACTCTGAGAACGATAATGCAGACATTCCACGTAAGGATTCACTACCAATTCGTCGATCTTCTGGGCGGACTAGCCGTATGCCAACTAGATATTTGGAATGAGGAAATTTAGGTTATTTCGATGATATATTTATTATTATTATACGATTTGAAGTGAATTATTTCTATATACTTGAAAAGGTGGCAATTGTGTGGGCCATTTCGCATTTTAGTGTCCGGCGGGTACGGGTGTCCGGCAAGGGGGGGTCAGACAGTAGTGTTGGCTTTCGTTCTCCAGAGACTCCCTCCAACTCTAGACAAGAAAGATAAAGAAAAGAAGCAAAAAAACATCTATTACATATATCCACAATGGCAAAACAAAATGTATCCATTATACTCGTCCCCGGCTCCTTCGCCACCCCTCCCCTCTACAACCCCCTCCTCGACACTCTCCACAGCCAAGGCTTCAACGCCCAAGCCATTAATCTCCCCTCCGCCAACGACGGCTCAGTCCTACCAGCACCCACCGCAGCAGACGACGCAGCCCACATCCGCCAAGCCATCCTCTCCCTCCTCGACGACTCAGCCCACGCCCAAAACGTCGTCCTCGCCCTCCACTCCTACGCCGGCATCCCAGGCTCCACAGCCGTCCGGGGCCTCAGCCGAGCCGACCGCGCCGCACAGGGCAAATCAACCGCCGTGGTCGGGGTGGTGTACATAGCCTCGTTCGTGCTTCCCCTGGGCCGTAGCCTGCGCGCCTTCATGTCTTCTATGGATGCCATGCCCGAGGGGCCCGCGCGGGATGGCGTTCCGGGCGGGTACATGCCCGCGCTGGAGGAAGAGGCCATTCCCTGGGCGTTTTCGGACGTCGAGGACGAGGAGGCGAGGTGGCGGTGGGCCGGGATGATGACGGCGCACAGCTCGGATAGCTATGATGGGCCTGTGGAGTATGAGGCCTGGAAGGAGATCCCGAGCGTGCAGATCATCCCGGAGAATGATGTGGTTTGTCCGACGCATGTGCAGGAGAAGATGCATGAGGGGGCCAGGGCTGCTGGGGGGGTTATTCGGAGGGTGTTCTTGAAGGGGGTTGGGCATATGTTGGTGCTCACTCAGCCGGAGCTTGTTGCTGGTGAGATTGTCAAGATGGCGGGGGAGGAGGCGGTTTGAGGATTTGTGGTGGGGATTTTAGGAGAATGTACCGATTTTTAGAGCTCTTAGATCAAGAATCATGAGGCATATGGTATAGAAATAAGTATAGAACTTAGAATTACTTGACAATCTTCTCTTCAGTTACATAACCAATTCTATTGATTTTGCAACCCCAAAAGTGTGCCTCATCACACATATTGATTGCGTACATATGGTCATGTCGTCGTCAATCGTGCGCTTTACTTGGCCGAACCACCTTCATCCTGCTAATATATGCACTTGTAGTATTGCAGTGCTCTTTGCCAAGTATTATGCTAAATATAGACAAGAGTTTAGAAATATTTGTGGGTGCCTGTTGGTTAATGAATCTCGTGCAACAAGAGCCGCTTTACTTATTTACTGTTCCTTTTTTATATTTACTGAGACCTTCCATATCTAGTATATTCACTAGACTGAATACAAGCTCGTAGTATTCAGAATGAACAGAAAGAGGAAGAGAGAGAAAAAAGCAAAGGATTTGGTCTTCAGCAAAAACTGCATGGTATTGCAATGCAAACTGAGGAGAAGCGGCGAAATGGTTCAACAGACCGCGGGATGGTACGAAACTCTGGATGAATATTTGCATTTTTTTTTCTTCTTCTTGTCGGGGTTATCACATCTATCACCAGTCCCTCTAGCCTTGTCAAGACGTCTTCCCAGGCTAGCTTTTCACCTCAATGAAGACAAACCCAATGTTTTCAACCCAGTCCGGACTTCGACGACCGAAGAAGTCCAAAGGCTAGCTCATGAATATTCTTTATCTTCCTTTGGGAAGGCCAATAAATACATCCCCATTCTCTCTTTATCTCTTAGCCGACCATGGCTAGAAGTTGGCCCATTCCAGGTAGAGTCCATCGGTCAGAGCGAAGAAAACGACGTCCCCTCCGCGGTGCCCATGTCCAGGATCTTGTCCATGGCATCTGTAGTCTCGCGCACCGTCTCCAGGAACACAGTCAAGATCTCCTCGAGCGTCATACCGTCAAACTCTGAGAGGTCATCTTCCTCCTCTTCTTGTTCTTCCTCCTCCTCAGAGCCGCTGCATCTCTCTTCCTCGTGCTTGTAGAAAGGCCGCTCCAGCAGCTTTGTTTCGTCCCACACAGACAGACCAGCGCCGCCGTCGTTCAATCTGCCACTTGGGGGCGGGGCATCGGAGTCGGAACCGGACCGAAAGAAGGAGGAGAATATTAAGCTGCCACAGGAAGGCCGGGAGTTGGAAGGAGGGGACGAGAGCCATGTGTCCGAGATGTTTGATGATTGGTGAACCCCGAAGCCAAGCCTCCTCCACTGATTGCTGCTGCTGTTGGTCAGGCCTGTAAGCTCGCAGACGGGAGCTATTTCGCTGACATAGCCAGTTTCCCGCCCACATCCACTCCATATATCACCTCTGAGACAGCCTGCTTCTTCAGAGGTGAGCTGTGAGCGACAAGGACAGGTCAAGCAGAAATCTCGGCGTGGGTGGAGCAGTAGCTTTCTTTGCTCCGTGAGTTGAAGGCCCTCCCATCCGCCACTGCCCGTAAATTTTCCACCAGAGGCTGACGGCATGGCAACGGGCGCAGATAGACTCTTTGGATGTCGCTCGAAGAAAGTGGAGGCTGAGTGACAAATGGTTGGTAGTCGCGCCGGCGGACCCGGGCCACCTGTTGTTGCTGGTGGTGGCCACGGTCCCCTATCGGTGGCAGGGAGGCCGTAGAGGATTGTGCCGTCGATCAGCTGGATGTGGGCTCTGTCTCGACTGGTTGGTGCTGGCACGGCTTGCGTCAGGTCCATGGTTCCTGACGGGAAGGGCTCTCTTGATCGTGGGCTGTGTACTTGAGCTGGTGGCGGGCCGGGTTTGATCTGAATGTCCCAGACCCTCTTAGGGAGTCCATCATGTGGTGTGGTTTAATGATGGAGGAAAAGGATGGAGGGAAAAAGAGAAAATGATTCTGCAGACGGGGACGGTATGCACATATTTATATTCTGAGGGGCCTCGAGAATTATTCTCAGTTTGGTGTACCACAGACATACTAGATCATCGTACTTTTACGATTGTCGATAATGAGTCTTGTGACTAGGAGTGTCTCTGACGAACTTATCTTAGCTCTTCCCAAGCCCAGACGGCGGTGCGTGAGCCAGGACGCAGTTTCCAGTCTATTCAATAGGTGTAGAAGCCTTGGGCGAATAGCAGGAAACCGTCGTCACCTAGCGCTCATCAGATGCGCTCGTTGGCTCGTCAACAAGAAACAACAACACCGACCACTTCAACGCAGCTTTATCAGAGATGTATTGTCACATGTCGAGCGACAGACAACAGTCATAGCAAATCACCAGCCATCGTGAGCTTTCTGCATGGGCTGATAGACAGACACAAGAGACCGGCTCTGATAGCACCAGGTGCTAATTCACGCGGAGGGAGCCGAGACGCAAAGGATAGATCAATAGTAAACAAAGTGACTGAGGTGTTGGTGATGATGATTCAACGTTTTTCATGTTTGCAGAGGAAATTCTGGGTTAGTGGCCTTTATTCAATATGGAAGGTGTGAGAGCTGGATTCCCAACGACGGACCCCCTGCCCCGAATCCAGGCATGAAGTCAATCAGATGCAAGAGCAGCCACGAGCTTGGTGACTCAATACTAGATAAACATTCATGACACGATAACTCGGCAATGTCGGTCTAGGACTGGAAGCACTTGCCCCTAGCATGTATACAAACGCGTCCAGAACATGTCCTCAACATAGTCCTCCAACCACCTCGCGCTGTGACTACGCGTGAACAGCCTAACTGCACAAATAAGCATGATACCTAGGACGACCCGGTTGTCTTCCGAGAGAAGTATGTGAATCGCGGCAGATCCCAACTGCCGAAAGCTCTCTTAGAGGCCTCTTAGGGCGGGTACGATGTCTCTCCTCATTATCTCTCTTCCAGCTCTTGGGCCAGCTATCGCCAAGAGCTCGGATCTTGGTCATATTGCTTAGAAACAAGGTCATTGGGCCATGGCAGCGACAAAGATGGAGATGACCACATGCTTGTACTGGGAGCTGAAGGAACGGTATCCACAATGGACAAGTGAACTATGATGCCACGAGAATCTAGATTCTCATGTCACAGGAGGAAATACGACCGAGAAGGCTAAACTGGCCAGACCGACAGCCGACACGTGGGGGCTAAAAGGGGAAGGGTGCAGAAGCCTGTTCGAGAGGTTGTGCTGGTATTCCACCTCTTGTGGCCATGGACGACCCCGTGGTCTTTGTACGGCGTATCAGATCTCACTCGCCGGTCCCAATTGCGGAGCATCGTCCCGACCGGCCGTCACCGTGACCCGTCTACCGTATGGCGGAACTGTTATTGAAGATCATGAAAACTGTCTGCTGCCGTAATCGTTATTGTCAAGGGAAAATAAAAAATAAGAAAATGACTGTCACAACCCAGCGGAATATCAATAAAAAGAATAAAAGAATTGAGGAGGGAGAGGGGGCGGGCATCCAACGTTACAATCGACTTACCGTGCTTCCGGGTCAACGCCAACTCAAAACTGGGGTAAAGAATGGCCGTTTGAAGGCGAGACTTTCCTCGCCCAGCAGCAGTTGAGGGAGGCTGTTCGCGATATGAGCAATCTCCTGCAGCTCGGCTCGCCTTTACGGTCTTTTGTCGTGTTGACGCTGTGGCTAGGGTTCCGAACTGCAGAATGAATTCACCAACACATGCTGGTACATTGGACGGCCCACCACTAATAGCCAGTTGGCATTGAGAATTGCTTGATCAACAGGAGCCTCGTGACAATTGTACTCCGCAAATCTTGAAGGTCCAGCAGAAAGGGCATGCCTGTCAACCCATGCCGCCTCCATCTTTTTATCCATCCCAGCCCTACCGTGTTGAGGCCCCCATTGGCGAACCCCTGGAGCGAGAGTAAGCTGGGTTGAGATCAGAGCCATCCAGCCACGCCAAGGCGTATGGAATGCTAGGCATTCCTCATCAGGTCTATGGATCCCTCATGGGTCTCAGCAGATTGGCCAGATAGATATACACCAGCTGAGAGGTGAGACTTCAGCCAATTGTCGTGATTGGTACACCTCACCCCTGCGGCCGTCTCATCGGCTGTAACCGATGATCCTGAAGAATGACATCGACGCCGTGTGATTCGACATATATACCCTCAACGCGCAGTCATGACTTATTGCAATCACTCTTCCTGGGACAGGCTAAGGACCACAAGACAACAGGACATGATGAACCGTAGGGTATCAGCATTTACCAATGTCACTTCCTTCAGGCTGCGAGCAAAACGAGGGACAGGAATATTCCACCCATCCAACAGACAGTCCCCCACACGCTGCGTCCGCCATGGTGAGTTGTCCCGGGAGAGCTTGCACGTCTATCCGCGGAACCCTGGCTGAATCCTTTGCAGAGAGATGAAGAAAGATATCCCATCCCGGCCGAGGTTCCTTCGCAGGGTACACATTGGGAGACACTCGGGCCAGAATCCTCCCTCCCGCAAGTCACAGTCATAGACACTTGGGATTCCAGACCCCTTGGATATGGCCATGGCCTATACGTGAGCGATGCACAACACTCATTCGAGCCCGAAGGGCATAGCCCACCAAAAAAAGACGCGGAATCATCGGCTCCGGTCTTGGAGAAGCCGCCGCGCAGGAGAACCATCTTTGGACTGAGGAGACGGGTCTTCTGGATGCTGGCAGGGGCAGTCTCCGCTCTTGTGATTGTCGGAGCCGTCGTCGGGGCGGTGGTTGGCTCCAGCAGAATCGGAAGCGGCGGGGGCAATGCAGGAGGTAGCTCGACCTCGTCGTCGTCGCCCATGGCTGCAGCAAATAGACATATCGGGGCGGCGGCCATGAATGTGACGGGGTCGACTGGCACAAATGTCCAGGTTGTATATCAGGATCTGAACACATCCGACCTGTTATACCGACTCGTCTGGAACGACCAGGCCTCTGGAGAGCAGAGGCTGTCGTTGTCGCCTGCGCCCCAGCGCAAGACTCCTATCGCTGTCACGACCACTAACACGACGGCGAGCGACGGGATCATGACCAACGTATTCTACTTATCCGAGGACACAAATGATTCGTCAATGTCGACTATCTGCCAGGTGACCCTGCAGTGTTCTCTCAACGCCGAGAACTGCACCGTCTCGGATGCAACAGTCATCAGCGCTAATGCTACCAACGGCGTCGTCAACACGTCTGGCCTCGCTGCGACCCTTGTCTCCGATAATGTCCAGGCTCGAGTGTTTTATAAAGCGGGTTCACACGGCGTGAGAGTCTTGAGTGGAACGAGCGGGGAGGCGGATGGCTGGCAGGACACGGTGCTCGGAAGCGCTTCGTATGCTGGCTCCGATATTTCCGTTAACTTGGATCCAGACGAGGACACACTGCAGGTTATCTTTGTGAACAAGAACACTAAAGAATTCGAAACCTTCCTGTACAGTGACGCGGCGGGGCCGGGGAATACACCAGGTAAGAGAGAGCCTCCAGGTGCTCCGTCCTTTCAGCTTGGAGGCGAGTTACTGACAACAGCGCAGCCGTTGCCATTGTCTCGTCCGATCCGCCAGGCTGGAGCACAGACGATATGTTCTCGAGTTGCTTCGTGCCAGAGTTGAACCAACACCATCTCTATTACGTGTCTTCGACGGGAGGTCTGTATGGCATGTGGGCAAACGGGTCCAGCGCGAATTGGACGCAGACACACGTTGCCGACTGGGGTACGGTTCAGGGCGGCATTGCGAGCGTCGGCTGGGGCACGCAGGTTCGACTGCTTCATGTGGCTGGCGACCCCGCGACACTGAGTATGTCTGCCAACAATGATGGTCAATGGTCAAGCGTTGAGTCTTTTTGAGCATAAGTGTCGCAAAAGAGGAGATTCCCGAGTTCAACCCGGCGCGCCAGGCCGTGTTAGAGCCGCTGACAGCATGAAGGCCATCCGCACGGGCACGAAGCCACCTCTCGCCACATATTGAGCGATGACCGCTCTCGAGGCCTGGCAGAAACGACAAAGGGTGGAGTGAGAATTCGATGGAGGTATCTTGAGGGGAGAGGTGTGCCGCAAGGCGCTCAAGCCTCGCCTCTTGGACGAGCAGACGTAGATCTGGACTCCGCGAAGTGAGGCAGCTGAACCCCCAAGACATTTCGAACAGTGGGGAGGAGTTACACGAGGCGGCGAGGTGATATCATCAACCCAGCGTATCCAGTCCGTTCACCGTCACATAGCCTATCGCCAAGAAGAAAAGGAGATGTCTCGCAGAGCTTAATTTGGGTGAGAGTAAGAGTTAATGTGGAGGAAAACCTTCCGAGGCTCCTCCGATGAAACCTGTCGCGAGAGGTCATGTCATGCTTGCAGGAGCGGACCGCTGTGGGTTCTAGCGTGAGCTTCGGCAGGTCGGGTCTGCAGGGTTCTGTATTCGAGGCATGCGAAGAAACGATCTAGTGCAGGCATAATCTGGACTAATGCTGTGGCATCTTCTGTCCATTCGATAGATCTCAGTATCATGCAGGATCACACATAGAATAAGAGGGGCCGTAGGAAGACGCCATGATCCTCCTCCTCCTCCCCCCTCTCTAATCCAGAGAAGAGGTTTGCATAGGGTGAGGTGTGTCGGAGCATTATGGTTCGACAAACGTCTCCAGCACGTGTTTCGGCCAGGGCGGGGTTGCGTGATGTGACATTGGGAGATGTTCTCGGCTTGACCGGGGGGTTGCACGATGCAATGGACCCTTTGAGAGGAGGTTGACCGAGTCAAAAACTCGTCTGAAAATCTGAATCCTGAGAGATCTCGAGCACGCCAAGCAAGGCTCGAGCAAGGCTGACCAGCCGACGAATTCATTAGGCCCAAGCAGAAGAAGAGTGCTGCTGCCATGGTTGTAGCGAGAATTGCGGCCCTACCGCGGACCGAATTTGCGACTGGCCGGGGCTGGACCCCCAAAGAGAAGTCTTCCCATAATAATCATAGAAGAATACATGCGGTCAGATTCAACCCTCAAGAGCCCGAGTACGGAGAACAGGTTAAAAAAGAAGAAGAAATGGGTCAGTTGAGGCCATGGCTCGTGACTTCACCCAAAAGTGTTATGAATCGACATCCTAGGCTGTGTTGACCCAGCTGTGGAAGCCTTCCCAAGGGGCTTGTTGCCGACTGATATGGGCTCAGTGCAGCTGGCTGCAGGCTTGATGCGTATGACAGGTGACGGTGACGGAAATGAATGGGGCCCTAGAAAGGCGCAGACATTTGTCGCCCACTCGGCCGGACTCCGTGGGGCGAGTGCGGGAGATTATTCGCTCGGGGCTCAGACGGTCTCAGTGGGAGCCGTTTTCGGGGTCGGCCGCGCGCCTTTTTGAATTGTCAGAAGGGGGGCAAACTGGATTGAACGTCGCTGTTGTAGGGTAAGCTCAGGTTCGACAAACAACAGGCTTTGAGTCACTGCACCATACTGCTGCCTTTGCCCTTGCCCTTGCCTTCTCGTCGTCTTGCCCGACTGCCAAGGTAATGAGCACTCGCATTGCCGTAACTGACGATATCTTTTCGGTTGACAAGATGTTTTACCGGCTTGTGGCATGGAAAATACACGGTAAAAGGCAAGAGAGACGAAAAGAGCACGGGCCAGTGGGGTGCTTTGGGGGAGGGGGGGGAAGTCCCGGGAAGGAGCTGTAGACCCCCTTGGCGGCCAGATGCCCCTCCCCCTCTATAGTCGTAGTCAGCACAGCAGTACCCCTCCATCCAATTTAGAGGGGCAACCGCCCTAGGAGAGAAAAAAAAAAATAGTCGAAAAGTGTTGTTATGCATCAGAAGAGGTATGACACAACAACAACTACCAAGGATTCCGTAACAGGAAAAATCACCTGTTCAAACCCGCTCAGATTCAGGAGGCAAAATTGGAGGCAAAATTTTAGAATAATCAGTCAACACCATTAATATTATTCATCATCATCATTATCATCATCATCACAGCACACTCCACATGTCTCGGTGGTGTTCCAGCAGGGCTTTGCCCCGCCGAGTTCGCATCTGTCGTTAATGGCCCGCATCGGAGCTTTCCTGTACTGTACAGTAATCTGGCACAGGTGTTGTTGTCATGTCATGGCCCGGGACCTCAAAGGAGGAGGGGGGTCCCCTGGGATTGGTTAGAGCCTGTTTGGGCCAGAGCTTTCTTGGCTCTCCTCTGTGCCGGTGGTAGCTTCCCAGTGCCAACTGGGCAACAGCTAGCCATGGCTAGCCAATAGCTGTCCGCCGCTGTCACTGTCCACTCGACTGTTTCTCAGTCCACTACCTACTTGTGTACTAGTACCCGCCTTCATCGATGCTGCCCCTCCCCCTCCCCGTTCACTCGACTGACGTTGTTGAGGCTTTAAATCTCTGCTGCCCCTCCTCGAGCAGCCAAGATCTTTTTCCACCTCTTCTCCCCTCTCTTCACCCAACAAACCATCAATCATCATCCTACGATCCTGGAAAGCTCATAGCTTCACACCAGCAGACAACACACCCTCTTTTCCACATACCCCATTCCCACTACTACTTTTAGACAAGATGGTCGTCAAGGTCGGCATCAACGGATTTGGCCGTATTGGCCGTATCGTCTTCCGCAACGCTCACGAGCACTCCGACGTCGAGATCGTTGCCGTCAACGACCCCTTCATTGAGCCCCACTACGCTGTAAGTCCTCAAAGAAGTGTCTTCTTCTAGGAAGCGCTTGACAGAGATGCTCCCTCTACCCTCCTCGCTTCCTTCACTCCATTATTCTTTCGTCCTCCCGATCATTCCGAGCTTGAAGCTGACTCAGGAGCTCTCTCCTTCCCAAAATAGGCCTACATGCTCAAGTATGACTCTCAACACGGCAACTTCAAGGGCGACGTCACCGTCGAGGGCAGCGACCTGGTCGTTGGTGGCAAGAAGGTCCGCTTCTACACCGAGCGTGACCCCGCTGCCATCCCCTGGAGCGAGACTGGCGCCGACTACATTGTCGAGTCCACTGGTGTCTTCACCACCACCGAGAAGGCCAAGGCTCATCTGAAGGGTGGTGCCAAGAAAGTCATCATCTCTGCCCCCTCGGCCGATGCCCCCATGTACGTGATGGGCGTCAACGAGAAGACCTACGACGGCTCCGCCGATGTCATCTCCAACGCCTCCTGCACCACCAACTGCCTGGCTCCCCTCGCCAAGGTCATCAACGACGAGTTCAAGATCATTGAGGGTCTCATGACCACCGTCCACTCCTACACCGCCACCCAGAAGACCGTCGACGGTCCCTCCGCCAAGGACTGGCGTGGTGGACGTACCGCCGCCCAGAACATCATCCCCTCCTCCACCGGTGCCGCCAAGGCTGTCGGCAAGGTCATCCCCGAGCTCAACGGCAAGCTCACCGGCATGTCCATGCGTGTGCCCACATCCAACGTCTCCGTTGTTGACTTGACTGTCCGCATCGAGAAGGGCGCCACCTACGAGCAGATCAAGACCGCCGTCAAGAAGGCCGCCGATGGTCCCCTCAAGGGTAAGTAACACATACCAAACATAAGGACTGGCGAGAGAAAGCATTGCTGACAATTTACTCTTCCCCCCACAGGTGTTCTGGCCTACACTGAGGACGACGTCGTCTCCACTGACATGAACGGCAACCCCAACTCCTCCATCTTTGACGCCAAGGCTGGTATCTCCCTGAACGACCACTTTGTCAAGCTGGTCTCCTGGTACGACAACGAGTGGGGCTACTCCCGCCGTGTCCTTGACCTGATCTCCCACGTCGCCAAGGTCGATGGCAACGCCTAGACTGCGACCAACACCTTGGAACACGGCGTCAACGGCGCCGTTCCCGTCGTCTCGGAGACTGCGAAGCCTGCTTTTCAATAATGAAACAAACCCATGGGGGAATTATGGAAAGGCAATGAACCAAAACAAACTAAAAAGGGGCAGCGAAGAAAAAGTCGGTAACGTCACAACGACTATTGCGGCCATGACAACCAAGGCTTGGGTCGGCGCCGTGGGGAGTGTGGCCTAGTGCAGTGGTAGTTAGCTACGTATGCGACTCCTAATAAATAACAAAAAAATCAGATTAAATGAGGACCACCTTAGTAGTACTATAGACGAAGTCATCGAACTACAGGGCATCTGTGCATTTTGTTGTGAACCCGTTCAAATATCAAAATCATAAACCTGCGACTTGGCTGGATGGTCAAATTCATCCGTGTATACACACATTCTCGCACCTTGTGAAGCAGCCAGCCGTTGCACGCAGTTTCATCAGGCTTCTGAAAAGAGGAATTAGAAAAAAAGGTATCTGTAATTAGCAGTGCAGACCATGTAATGTAATGAATACGATCGCTCTTCCTCTTTACAGTCCGTTCCTCATTGCTCCTCTCCGGAAAGGATCGTGCCCACTCCAACTCGCCCTTTGCTTTCACAATTGCCTGTTCCCCAAGTCCAACGCACGCTGATGTCTATCCAGCCAACCAGCTAAACCCAATCAGCCTTTGCATAGTCCGGTACTCCTGACGCCTTGCCGTGCCGTGCCGTTCAACAAAGTATGTATGTTTCTCTTGTGGTGGTGGTTGTTTTTGTTTGAAAAGGAGGGGGGGGGGGGGATTCTTATTTGACACCACACTGCCAATGTCTCCCGTTGTTCAAAGGTGCGTGGAAGGTCGAAGGTGGCGAGCTTCAGGGTTCGCTATAAATATTGTATGGTGGTCCAGCGTACCCAGCTCTTGACCCTTTAGCTACACACAGCTTTATTACCCATGAAATTACTTCCTCTTCTCATCTCCACCCTGTTGAAAAATGATCTGTCCCCATTTTGGTAGGCAGGGCACGTAGTAGTGATAAGTCTTCGTGTGTGTATGTTTGCCCATATGTGTCGAGAGAGCACGCTGCCCTTGCTGTGGAAACAGGGTAGCCTAGTGTAGCAGCACGCGCACAGCTCACTAGAAGGCGGCGCCGCCAGCCCCCTCGCCTGCAATGGTCTTGATGCTCTGTTCTGACAGGTCACTCTTGAGCTTGAACGACTCGCTCTCGTGCTCGAGCCTGTCCCACATGCGGAGCGCAGCGCGGAGCTTCTCGTCCTTGGCCTTGAGCTCGCCGCGGATCCGCTCCTCCTCCTCTTTGAGGCGTCTGTGGTGTGCCTCCAGTTCCCTGGTGACGCCCGTCATGAGGGGTGCCGAGGACGGGTCGAGCTTGCCGCCGGGGATGATGGGGGGCATGCCTGCGATGAGGTTCTGTGCGAGGGTCATGCGCTGTCCACCTTGTGCGGCGGGGCCGGTAGGTGGGTTGAAGGGCTTGGTCGTGACAGACGGTGAGGAGGCGGCCGAGATGGAGGCGCGCGGACCGGTTGGTACGGCGTTGACCGAATGAGGCGTCGCTGGGGAGACTGGTGGCGGTGCGAAGCGGGAAGCTGTGGCAGACCAGGCCCCACGGCCGCCGCCTCGTGCTGCGAAGCCGCCACCACGAGCAGGAGGTACATAGCCGCGAGGTCCAGACGGAGGGACGGTGGGGCTGGTGGCGTCTGCACGTGTGTGTGGAATTGCAGGAGTGGTAGGATACCGCGAGGGCGCAGGCGCAGGCGCAGCGTTGTGAGATGTGAGGTTTCTGGTCGCGCTTGGGCCTGTAGGCGGTGCTCTCAAGGCCGCAGGACCTCGTGGCGGAGACTTGGCGCGTGGAGGGGATCTGGCACGTGGGGGGGATCGGGCGCGTGGAGGAGACCTGAGAGGGGTTTGGTGTCTGGGCGTAGCATTGCGAACTGGAATGGCGTTTACGTCACTCAGGCCAGCAGGAGAGTGAGGCAGAGGCGAGTGCTGGCGGGAGCGGTTGTCATATCCACGTGACGCAGGCCGAGGCGACGAGACGCGTGAGCGCGAGTTGGAGCGCGACGTGATCGCAGACGGGACGGCTGACTCTCGTTCTCTCGTGGGCGAGGGCCGTCTGTAAGTGGAACCTGGGCCATATCGGTCGTCGCGGCGGTCGGGAGAGCGCGAGCGAGGACGGTAGGCCACGCCGCCGCGTGCAGGCGGTGGAGATCGGCGGAGAGGTGAGCGAGCCCGCTCACGACGGTCGCGATCCAATGGTGACCGAGATCTGCGCCTAAGAGAAGGACGTGAGCTTGGACGCCAATACAAATGATCCCAGCGTCCCATATTTTTTTTTCGATTTTGTTGTTTGTTGGTTGGTGGATTTGGATTGGGCGGGAGGGAAAAGTGAAGTGGGAAGAAAGTGGGGAGAAAAATCGAAGGAAGTGAAAGTTGGAGCTTACCGGTCACGGATGTCAAAGTCTCGGCGGGGAGAGCGGACCCTGTCAAACCTATCATCCCGTCTCGGAGGCGGCGAATAGCGGTTGGGAGACCGACGTGGGCTTCGTCGAGGTGAGGCACGCCTGATGGGGCTTCGAGCCCGGCCCCGACTGTCGTCCCTGCGCCGCCAGCTCTCACCGCCACTGTCGCGCGCACGGTCTGGTCCCCTGTATCGATCAGGGCTGCGTGAACGGCGTCTGGGCGACCTCTTCGGGACGTAGCTGTCGCTCGCACCAGGTGGCGTGCGTGCCCGAACATCTCTGTCTCTAGCCATATCTCGATCTCTCTCCCTCTCGCGATCCCTTGGAGGGCTTCGAGTTCTGCGTGGAGGAGAGCGCTCTCGGTCTCGGTTAAACGGCCTGTAAGACTCTCCGGCTCCGTAGCGAAGAACCTCCCCGTCCTCATACCTGATGATGTCTGGGTTAGTAAGATACCTCCGAGACTGCTTCCTGCGCGTAGACGAAAATGAAAAGGAACCCGTGGGACGGTCACTTGGGTAGGAGGGTTCGCAAGCAGACAGTCCTTGGATTGGGGCTGGGGTCCAGGAGCTCCGAGGTCTTGTCTCGTGATGAGAGGCTTCGTACGCCCCGTTGCTGGTGGAAGATGCCCTGCGAGCCTGGGCTCCATTGGAGTGGCTGTAGCCCGCCTGATCCTCGAAATTGATCGGACTGGTGGGAGGGGCAGAAGCTCCCTGCCACGTGCCAATGCATGCGAGATCAGCCCCATGACAAGCAACAGCTGATGTTTCCAAACTAGAGGTGACATCGATCATCTCATCGTCATCCTTGCCAGCTGCGGCGTCGTGTGCAGCGACACTGCCATTGTCGCCGTTGTCGACCCAGATCTCGAAATCGCTGTTCGAGTTGATTGTGTTTGCACCAGGGTCCCCAAGGATCTCCAAATCTTCGTGAGCCTGTACGTTCTCGCGGCGTCCGTATTCGGGGCCTAGTGAGCGACTGGTTCCGGAAGATTTGATGGACGGGAGCAAAGTCATAGAGAGCTCTCCGCCGAATCCCTTGTCCTCTGGAGCAGAGCTCCACGACTTGTTTGGTGCACAGAGCGTAGACGGAGAGGTCCAGATGCCGCTCGAGGGTAGGGACTCCCGATCATACTGGGTCTGTAGTTCGTTAAGCAGACAGGCGGCTTCTGGCTCGCAGGACAAAGGCTGCAGAGGCTGTCGGTACATGGAATCTGTGGCGTTCAAGGAGGGGCCATTCTCGACGTTTATCTTCTCGGAGTCCGTATCCTCAAAGCCCATATTCTCGACCCGTTCGTCCTTCACAGTGGTAGGGTCTGTCCCAGACTCCTGGTCCACCAACTGCAAGCCATTCTCGGACCCACTGGTAGAGACTGATTTCCCCGTGGACGGAGTAAGTTCTGGAGTGGACTCGGACTCTTCGAAGGGGGCATCGCCGTACCATTCCAGTAGAGCCGACTCATCGGCGGTAGGGACCTGGTCAAAGCCCTCACACAAAAGCAGGCTCTGCATTGAGCTGTTGGAGAACGCTGGGTGTCCTGGGAACGAACGAGAATTATGTTCGAGGAGGTGGTGAGGAGGACTGCCGTAGGCGAAGGAGGCCGAGCGCTCGATGATAACCTCTTCATAGTATTCGTCATCGTATGCAGAAGCAGGCGGAGATGGGGAAGCGTCCTGAACGGGATTGAGGAGGCGGTCGAGAGCCATGCGCGTTGAGATCTCCTCAGGCGTAGGGAAAGATCGTGAGGTGACGGCATCCATCTTGGCGAAATTTGACGTAGGTGAGGACGATGACCAAGGAGGGTGAGAGACACAGAGTTGAGAAGGTGGGGGAATAGATTTGGCTCGGTCGGCTTTGAGGTCGAAGTGAGACAGGCAATAAGCCTAATTTGGTCGAGACGTGATGTTGAGGGAGTCGAGAAGGGTGATGTGGTCCAAGTCGACAAGAGATACTTGCGTATGCTGGCTCCTTTTCCAAGATCTCGAAGTTTGGAGGTTGAAGTATTTTCCAGGCCCAGAACCGGCTCTCAGGTTGAAATATATCTCGAGGGACACACTTGAGGCCCCTCGATGCGGGTTTCGCATTGACACCAGGCACAATGGATCGAAAATGAAGTAGCCTCATTGTTTCGATCCGTCTCGCAGATACGTAAAGATGATAACAGAAGGAAAAAACAACAGGTGGAAGCAGTGATTAGAAGCAAATGGAAACTGGCATCGAAATTCATTATTGTTTTTACTGACCTTCTAGTACGGTCTGCTCGCTCCATCTTGAGATGAACCTCAATGGGAGGTGGCTAAACAGAACAATAAGAGAGGAAAACGTCGGAGCGCAGCAGACTTTCCCGTGTTTTCAACCTGACAGTCGAAACGAGGACAGGCACACGTGGGAGTGATGGCTCGCTGTTCCCATGAAACTATGTTAAAATTCAGTAGCCTTGGGGGTATCCGCCTATTTGAATGATGAGACAATGGGCTTCTGCAAAAGAATGCGATGAGAAACGCCGCGACCTGATGAGATTGTTGTAGTGGAGTTGAGTGGAAGGTGAGGTTGAAGAGAGAAGGCCTTGCGCACTGGCCAACGGGAAAAAATTAGCTGACTAAGCCTTATCGATAAAAACCTGCCATGCCTAACCACCACCGCTAGGCTTGAAGTGCAGCCTGCGACTGCCCAATTTCAGGCCTGGCCGGCAGTGCTTGAAAATGACAACGACTTGGTCGTCTTCTGTCTGGTTCAGAGGAGGCTACTAGCACGAATACGTTCTGACCGGTTTGAAGAGCCTTAGTACAGCCAGATAGTGTGTGTTGTTGCAGAGCATATTGGTCCTGTCTCGTACTTCGCTTCTTCTCAGGAGACTGGCGAGATTCAAGAGCAACTTGACTACCCAGAAATAACGCGTTCCTCGTCAGCACCTCAACGCGGGCGAAACTTTCACATGCCCAAAAATGGGCACTACAATGCATGGACACTCCCTTGTATCAATACAGATACTATAGCACAGAGGTTTTTTTCTTCTTTTCTCTTTCTCTTCTTCTTTTTCTTACTTTCTTTCTCACGGCAAGCAATGTCCGTAATGTTTCCGTCCTGAGAGTAAGCTACTCAAGTCTGCCATGTCCAGTTTTCATGTTTAGTAGTAGTGAACCCTGAGCGGTGAATCCTGGAAGAAGACATTCCCCGTGCCCAACTCTTGACGCAAAGTCCCACATGATGACAAAGAGGGGAAAACAGAACCATTCTAAGCCTCGCCCAAGCGCCTGTATCTTCCTCTCATCTCGACGATGGCAAGGCTCACTAGACTTCTCTCGACCGTCCTCTTTAAACCCATTAAGTGCCAGCTGCCCATCTCGATCATCCTTCAGTACCGCCCCCTCTTAACTGACCATGGGATCCTCCTCCGTTGTGTCACCCTCACTCGTAACTCGCCGTTCCCAGATGAACTCTTGTACCTCTTCGGCGTGGCGCCTCATCATGGCATTCAACCCCTTCTCGGGACTGCGGATGACCGTGCCGAAGCGCTTCTTGCGCGTCTTGGACTCGTACCCCGCGTCGAGCCAGCACAGGTGGTTACTAGCAACAAATACCCGCGAGTTATGCTTGTACCACGTGGAGAGGTGCTCATCGACGTCGGATTTGATCGGGCGCAGGGGACCGTTGACGAAGTTGATGACACCGGAGAACTTGAATTTGCAGTCTATGTTGGCTCAGCTGTTAGCAACGTATAACGAAAAGGAGAATGGGAAGGGGGGGGGGGGGGAACAAAGGTGGGCAGGAGACTCACTCCTGTTCAGAAGAAGGATTTTGATGCCGATGTACGCAAAGCCGACGCCCATGATGAAGAGGTCCCCGTCATAGAGCTGCAGATAGTTGTCCCAGAGGTAGCAGACGAGCTCTCTGATCTCTGCCTGGAGCCTGGCCTCGTCCGACTGGTGAATATAATGCTGCGAGTTCTGCCAGGAGAAGAAAAACGTCAGTTGCCCAGGTCAGCTTGTGGGTGCGGTGTGGAAGGGAACCCTACAGGTGGAAAGCGAGGAACGTTAATGTCCATGATGCCGAAGTCCTTTGAAACTGCCCATTCCACGAACTTTGGAGTTTGATCCACCTATTCTCGATTTATCAGCATGATGTCTTTAGTCAGATATCCTTTCCATTATCATTAGATTAGCCAGGCAGGAAGATAACTTACCACCCAAGCATTACCACTGGGGATCGTATTGTTCAGGCTGTCCGGCTGTCCCAGCAGCTCAGGTCTGCTGGTTGTCAGTTATGTGCCTGCAGTCTGAGACCCATTCGCGGGGGTTGAAACTAAAACTTACGGATCATGAAGGATGACCAGGATGTTCTTGGCGGACTCTATATTCCGCGAGACCAGCACCTGGTTGTCGTACGTGCGAAACAGTGCCTCGCGCTGGATATACAGCGGGTACATGTCAAATTTCTCGGCAAACTCAACGAGCTGAGACGTGCGCAGAACATCCGTCAGCCTCTTTCCCTCCTCCTTCTCGATCTCGGGGACATCGATGACCCCGGGCCGCATGCACTGCCAGAACGGCGCCTGGTAGGTCCTGACCAGCTCCAGGGTCTTGTGTGCCTCGGCGTTGATCTGGGGCAGGTGCAGGGTTGGCGGCGGCTCGCCCATCAGCGTCTGGGCGACGGCCAGCGCCGAGTTGGAGATGGCGGTCAGGTTGTAGCCACCCTCGAGACACACGGCGACCTTGCCGTTGGCGAGCGACATGAGCATGTGTGTCATGTGTGCGTAGCATTCAGGGGTCACGAAGCAGCCGCCCAGCTCGTCACCGTTGGCCGCGTCGAAGCCTGCCGAGATGATGACGAGGTCTGGGTTGAACTCTTGTGCGATGGGCATGATGATCCGCTGGAAGGCGGCCATGTACTCGCCGTCGCCCATGCCCTGGTCGTGCCAGCCGATGTTGATGTTCTTGCCCTGGGCACCATCTGCGCCGCACTTGTCCAGGCCGCCGTCGGGGATGTTGGGGTCGTCAGGCTGCGCAGGGTAGAAGTGGCCGTTCTGGTAGACGTGGGTCGAGATGTAGAGCACGTTGGGGTTGTCGTAGAAGATGTTCTGGATGCCGTTGCCGTGGTGCACGTCCCAGTCCAGGATCAGAATCCGGCGGCACAGGTCTGGGTACTCGAGCTGGCAGACCTTGGCGGCAACAGGCACGTTGTTGAACATGCAGAAGCCCATGGGGCAGTCATATTCAGCATGGTGGCCTGGAGGACGGATGACGGCAAATGCGTTCTTGACATCGCCCCTGACGACGGCCTTGCAGGTCTCAATAGCACCGCCGGCAGAGATCAGGGCAGCCTCGAAGGTCATGCTGCCTACGTAGATAGACTCCCGACCTGCGTCCATCAACTTGGTAATGGACCGCAGTTCCTCGGTCGACTTCTCCGACAGGCTGCGCACCCAGTCGTAGTGCCGTTCCAGGTGCACCGTGCAGATCTCCTTCTCGGTCGCCTGCCTGCACGGAATCTTCCACATGTACAGCGTGGGGTTCTTGCGTCTGACCTCGATGGCGTCCGCCTCGCTGCCCTGAAAGATCAGGCCTGCTTGCTTGAACTTGTGGTAGATGCGCTCTATACGGCCAGGATCCTCAGGGTGGTGTGGCTTGCCGCCGAAATCAGCATTGGCGTGTAGCTTCATGCGGTCATCGTAGCAGACGCCCGTGGGCAGCTGTGCGCGTCTCACCACCGGCCGTAGCTGCTGGTCCACAGAGTGTTGCGGGGTGTCCAGGTCGTCTGCCTCGTCGGTTTCATCTGAGGGCGAACTGTCGTCAAAAGTTGGCACGGCGCCTAACTGTTCAAAACCGCATGCCGGATCGATGCCTCCTCCGTCTTGCATATCGCCCTCCATGGCGATGTCGTTGTCGGTGTCTTCAACGGCCGCCATGACCCTTGTTGTTGAGTGAGAACTTAAAAGGTAACAGTCAGGATCTGCTCTTTGCCTGTGTGAAAGGTCAGTAGATGCAGTCTGAAGTGTAGGAATCGATTTGCTCTGGTCACAAGACAGGCAGCTGGAGCGTCAATATGATGTCGTTGTCTGAAGTAGAAGTAATTTCCCTTGCTGGCCACGTTCAAACCAGAGTATTGAGGTGCAAAGAAGGGAAGAAGAAGAAATGAGAGTAACGACAAGTTTGGAACTCTGCGCTGAGGTCAAGATAATCAAAAGCACAAAGAAAAGGGTGTTCAGGCTGCAGCCCCTCCTGTGCACCACAGCAACTCGAGTATCATGCACGAAATGGCTGGATGGGCTCATACAGGCGGTGCACCAACTCTGCTCCCCGAAAGGCAAACAATTCGCTCGGGGTCCATGGTTCAAAGAAAACAAAGAAATATACTCACAACAGTTATGATTGAAGCTTGACAAGGCGCAGACCCTGGTGCCTGTGTTGCATCCAGCACACTATCGTGCTGCAGTTGAGGGTCATACAAAGGAGGATGGACGTTTCGATGAGCCGTAGCTTTGCAGGCTGCTGCTGTGTAGGGTCAGGCAGAACAGAATGGACTGATAAGGACTGAAAATAGAGCCGATTTGTCTGACCATGCTCCAGAAGGATGCAGCTTAGACATTCCCTGACATTCCCTGAACAGTGGTGATGGTCGTGGTTGCCAGTAATTGAGGATCCCTGTTTGTTGGTGTTGAAGTTCAGGATTGCAGCGCGTAGTTGGTCGCTGCGGTGCAATGGCCCCCCTGTCTGCCGCGCTAAATGGTTCGTTAACAGCCTCCAAAGGTGATGTTCTTAATGACTAGTCCAATGCATGCATATTCGGTTTTTCCCTCGTTCTTTCTTCATATTAGACAGTCAGATACGAAGTTTTACAAACATAATTTTTATATCTCCAGATATGAAAAGAGAAAGATGTTCATGCGTGTGTGTATGTGTGTAGATATCTGCACGCGTGTATAGTCTGCTGCGTAGTTGTTAGCCACACCCAGCTGCTTAAGGACACCTTCAGCAAGGCTGGCCTCAACGGCTATGCCAGAATCATATTCCTTACTGTAAATCATTGTACAAGCACGAAAAACTGGAGACAAGGATTCAGAGAGAGAGAGAGGGAGCGAGCGTGTAACTACCCACTGTCTATCTGTATGCATATGTCTACGTAACAAGGCTTAATACTTCATGCCACAACTCAGAAAGCAAGACCTAAGGCTCGAGTCGACCCCTTTGCGTCTGCGCATGCCAGCGCGAGGGGAGCCGAGCATGCCTATCCTCAAGAACCCAGCCTGCTGCCTTCTGGCGACGGTCCACTTTATCCATGTTTTCCCTGACGGTCTCATCATCCTCTTCATAGTCCAGGATGCCCCCAGATGACTCATACACCCCGCAGTACACGTTGAACAGCAAGTTCTCCGGCTCGTCGCCGGCGGCCAGGCACCGCTCGCCAACGACAGCCTGTATCGCGTGGCCCAGGCTCTGCCGGTCGAAGAGGATGTTTGGGTATGCCAGGCGCACCTCACGGACGATCCTGTCCCGGGAGTAAGCGAAGCGGTTGATGGCAAATCGCAGGATGTCGTCGGGCGAGAGCTTCAGGAAGGTGTCCACTATTGCTGCGTTGGGGTTTGCGTTGATGATTGCGTAGGGGTACATGTTACAGATTGCAAAGGGGTTAATGTTGGGGTCTGCTGTGTACTGGGGATGATCGCGACAGGAGCCGAAGCTGAGATTCTCTGCTTCGTGAAGGGGCATCTTCCCATCCTAAAAGGGGAGGTCCCGCCGTGTCAGCTGGCCCTTTGTTATTCGACCCAGTCGTCGGATAGATAAATAGGTGAAGAAGAAGACCTACGTTCTCTCTCATCACCTGCTCAATCGAGGGGCAGATATGTACCCGCACCATGGCGTAGACCGTTTCCCACAAGTCATGGAGTCCTACAAGTTCCATATTCGACAACACACGCAACTTTCTGCAGCGAATATCATAGGAACCTTCGATCGGCTGATACCTAGTAAGGCGCTGAGATTCCCAGTGAAAGTGGCTCGCGTACGACATCCACTGGTACAGCGCGCGCCGAAGCCTTTCTGCCTCGCGAGGTCTCAGTGCCCGACAGTCCGCCGGGATCTCGCGAAAACGGTATTGCGGGAAGAATTCCTCCCACTTCTTGACGGTAAAGTACGTTCGGATGAGCTTGCGGAAATGCGTCTGGTCGAGCGTGACAGGCCGCAGCGAGTTGTGAGTCTGTCCATCAGGGTCAGACTCCTCATCCTCGCCGTCTGAGATGAGTCTCCCCTTGAAGTAGATCCTGCGGCGGAGGCAAGGACCACAGCAAACGTTCACATCCTCCAGCGGCTTGGAGACGACGTGCTGCAGCAATGCATCGAGCGGGCTCATCTCCGCCTTCATAATATCCATGACCAAGGTATCCTGATGTTTGAGGAAGATTGATCTGATGGCATTATTGACCCCGGCGAGATTCAGAGCACTTTGGAGATCCAGGAGTCCAAAGATCTTCAACATCATCTCGACAGGCATGCTCATGATGCCGCAGTCTGCACCATCCTCTGGGACCCATGTCTCTACTAATGGCGAAGAGTGTGATGCCATGATGATTGTCCAGTCTTCGAAGCAGGGTATCAGTGAATATCCGGCAATTCGTAAGCTTTTCGGAAGTATCGCAGCGCGCGTTGGATAAAAAACTCACCGAGCTAGGAGGAGAGACTTCACTGCCGTAGCAACGACCCTGTCTCTCAAAATAAATATAGCACAAGGTAATCGAAGCCCCGTTAGGAAATTGGATTCAAGTCCCAAGGAGGCCAACCTCAATCGTGAATCGATTCCAAAATCTTCCCACGATCGAGGTAACAAGCACACCTTGGCCTCACAAGCTGCTGACCCCAGCGTTGGGGCTATCCGGAAGGGAGGCGTGTAACGCCAACATCTTCGGATCGGAAGACGTTGTCAGCAAGGCAAACAAAGGGGGTGACACGCTTGAATATGGTCGTCGACAATTCAAACAGAGGTGTGATGGGTACGTATGAGATGCGAGGTCTTGAGTTGGTGAAGGCTGTACTTTGAGAAGATCGAACGAGGGCAGATGTTGGTGGTTGGGGTTGCACATGCAGGGGGTGAAATTGGGGGTGGTTGTCATCAGCAACCATTGCGCTGCGATGAGAGCGAAATTTCCGTAGCGTCAAGCCCCGGCACATATGGCGGCAATAACCACAGCCTCAACTCTATGTATGTCTCAGAAGAATGTTTTGAATAGATGGGACCGTCCACTCCTCTTTCCGATTGATGCTAGCATTACAGCGGCCATGCATGTGAAACAATAACTATTTTGATGCGTATCTATTAGCTCGGAGGTTTCGTGCTGAACACTGGGTATAGAGAATCCCCCAGTTCCATTCTTGTTTTTCGCAACCATAACGCCATATCCGTGAGGGAGGAGAAAAAAAAAAGAAAGAGAAATAAAGAAACTCTGTCAAGAGAACACAGCCTTTGTCGCCAAAGCGTCGCTCTTCTTCGTGGTTTCCCCGTTCGTCCTCAAGCCAAGCCGATCCTTCCTCGTGACCGCGTCGCCCTTCTGCTCCGCCCTCACGTTGTGCCTGCCGGCCTTTCTTCTCCTCAGGTCGGCACGGACCTGGTTTGGCGAGACGAACTGCTTGTTCTCGTAGATGATCGGACCACCAAACGAACCCTCCTGTATGATGATAGGCGTGCAGACGAATCTGGGCCCAATCTCCACCAGGTTGATATCCGTGTCCTTGCCTCCCCTCCCGGTTTTCTCCTTCTTCTTGCCCTTACCGGTATCCATCTCCTCGTCGCCGTCCTCGTCGGTCTTGGTGGCCGTCTTCTCGACCTCGTTGATCTGGTAGTTACGCACCCAGATCTTGCCGTCCGCTACAGTGAAGCCTATGACGTGGTCGACAAAGGGCTTGGACTTGCGCGCCCCCTGCGGCACGCCGAAGATGTGGAAGAAGAGTTCCTTGATCACCATCAGGTGCGGGTCCTTGTCGAACGCGGCGTCGAAGGAGAGCACAGGGCGGGAGCCCTTAAGGCAGTTGCCCGTGAAGTGTAGCTCCTCCATAGTATGCACTAATAATCACAACCCGTCGAAATTAGCCTCTCGCGCCTCTCGCGGTCTCCTGCGTTGGTCTTGCAGACAGGTTCCTTGAAATATAAGAAAGCGATTCTTACAATTCTGCACGTGCATCTTGACCGTTGGCCCGTTCGGCACCTTGCTCGCCCACATATAAAGATCCTGGCCTTTTCGCGCCTCAAAAAACAGCACATTGTTGCAGTTGTACAGCTCCGCCAGCTCGTTGAGCTGGTACAGCTTCGACTTGGAGTCAAACTTGGCGTCCTTGCGCCCGTGGGGCATCATCGCTGCGAGGTCGTTAAGAAGGTGTCGGTGTCTGAAGAGGCACAACGCAGTGAAATAGTCAGTAAATGTTGTGGCTGTCAGGTGGAACGGGGTTTCTAGCCGCAATGACCGGAAGGAAAGAAAACGGCATACCGGTATGTGACGCCTCTTGACGAGAGGACGAGGACCCTCTGCTTGTTCTTCCTGGGGCCATTCTTGGTCGACTCCTCGTCCTTGGGGCCGTTGATCTTGTTGAGTGACTTGTAAACGGTCGCCATGTTTCTGTGGGTGAATGAAGACGACCAAAAGGAAAGGTTGTGTGCAGTCTCTCCTCGAAGCGCACAGTGTTGTCGCTCTAGAGTTGCGTTGCGAAGGGAAGCGACTACTTCAAAAAATTAACCCCGGCCTCATACGATAAGATAAGCCCAGTCTTAGCGCGGGGACTACCAATCCGGGCATGGGGGGTCTACTGTGATCCATTTACTGCCACCGGCGGGTCCCCTGAGCGGTAAGTGGGCTTTTTGCAGACACGTCTATCCAAACTGTCACTGCATTATAGGTGGGCCAGACTTGAAGTCTGCCCAGGGGGCCAAAAAATGGAGACGCTGTTGTCTGGCGCCCAGAGATCATCCGCCCAACCCCCCCCCCCCCCCCAAAAAATTGGGCGTGAGACTCGGGGTGCCCGTTACAATGGGTCGTATCGCAGACCCATTCTCCCTGAGAGCGACCGTCTCTGTACTGCGCCCGGGAGGGGAGCTGGTTTTGGAGGGGCGGTCAGAGCTCCCGTGACCCCCCTGTCAGCTGCGAAGTGTTTCGTTGCCACTCTCTTTTTGGCTTTTGCTGCTGATGGAAGAAGAGGAGGGGCAGTGATCGCAAGTGAGCCTCGGCGTCGTGTTGGTGGGTTGGGTCAGCCGAGTCCAGAGTAGGCAACAAAGACATTCAGCTCAAAGACAGAGCACATAGGCATAACAAAATTGGTTTTGTTGTTCACAATAGTTCCATTGATGATTTGCGATATGTTCTACGCCGAAGGGAGCCAATATGTTAAACAAGGGATCGCAGTAGTAGTAGTATTACCCTCTCTCCCAATAACAAGAGCACGAAAAGGTACGAACAAAACAGAAGAGCAAGTAGCATGACTCCTTAATAGCTGAGAAAATCAATCGTCAAACCCCGCCCCAAAGAGACCCGTCCGCAGATCCGTAATCCCGTCGCCTATCTCTGTGGCTTGTGGCCGCTCTCTTCTACTGCCCCGACATTTGTTTCCCATCGTATGTGACGCCATGTATCATCATCAGTTTCGTGCACACGCGCGAGTGCTGACCTGCCCATTAACAGCACTTGCCCGCCGCCTTCGAGCCATCCTCTGGCTGCTTGCTCAGAGAAATGTTTGTGCCTGCCCCGATCTGTGCCTGGGCGCCATCGCCGCTGTCGAGGGCCTTGCTCGACACGATTCGGTAGATCTCTGGAGACAAATAGAAATCAACAATCAGCTCTGAACGTTCTGCAGCATCGATTCTGTGGGGATGCAAAGGGATGGGAGGAGGTTCGCCACGTACCGGTCAGAATGTTCTGGAAAGCAAGCTCTACGTTGCTGGCGTCAAGGGCAGACGTCTCGATGAAGGAGAGGTGGTTCTCGCCTGCGCAGAGAGAAAAGGGAGAGGAAAACGGTTAGTACTCAGGGTCGTGTTCGTCATGCCATTTTCCGGTGGACTCACTGGCAAACGACTTGGCCTCTTCTGTCGGCACAGCCCTCAGATGCCGCAAATCACTCTTGTTGCCCACCAGCATGATGACGATGTTGGCATCGGCATGGTCCCGCAACTCCTTAAGCCATCGAGTGACATTCTCGTATGTCTGGTGCTTGCTGATGTCGTAGACCAGAAGGGCACCGACCGCGCCTCTGTAGTAGGCGGAGGTGATGGCGCGGTAGCGCTCCTGACCTGCGGTGTCCCAGATCTGCGCCTTGATGGTCTTGGAATCGACCTGGATGGACCGAGTGGCAAACTCAACGCCGATGGTAGACTTGGAGTCCAGGTTGAACTCGTTCCGGGTGAATCGGCTCAACAGGTTGGACTTTCCGACACCAGAGTCTCCAATCAGCACCACTGTAGGAGATTGTGACGAGGTTAGCTTCTGGGACCGTGGTTGGTAAGGAAGGGAGAGGTCGGGCGATCGCGCGCAGCGGACGCTTCGAGGGGACTCGTACCCTTGAAGAGAAACTGTCAAAGGTGTCAAGGTCAGCGCATTGCAGCCAGAGGAAATTCAGCCTGGAGGGGTTATGGAGTGGTGAGCAGACTAACATCGTACTCGTCGTTGGCCATAATTGTGATAGGTTGTAGTGACGTAGGTAAAAGGAGGAGGGCCTGTCTCTAGCTGACAAAGTCTTGTAGCTCGTCTATGAAAGTTCTAAGGCCTTCAGACTCAGGAGGTTGTATCGACACGATTCGAAATGGTTGCTGGAGGAAAGTGTGTGGATTCGGGGCTGCCAGCTACGTGGTTGTAAGTAGGTCAAGATGGGCTGGAAAAGGAGGTGTGCAATGCAGTGCAGTGCTGTAGTTTGCAGCGGCACCCTGGGAGTTGGGAGGGGACAAAGTTGCAGTAAGTTGATGGATAGCGTTAGTCAGTAGTCGGCACTAAGAATAGCGGGTCAGGTCTCTGTTCAACTCAGGGTCCTCTTCAAGTACGATTGGTGAATGGGGAAAATGGGAAGGCGACTGTTGCCAAACAGAATGACAGATATGCAGTCAAGAGGTGTGAACAGATTCAGAATTGAGGGGAGGGGAGAGATAGAGGAAGAGGAGGATGACTGCACTGAATCATCTAAACACCCCCACCTTCTGGACAGTCAGACTCAGGCCCCAGGACTGCAGTGGGCGGGCTACAGAATCGGATACAGCCCAGCCGAATGTTTCACCATCACGTGCGGAACAGCCTCCTGGCGTAAAGACCAAAGACCAACCAGCCCTATGATGATTGCATGCCTGGGAATGATCTGAACTACTTTGGTAGGCAAATTCTGTATTTGGACTCGGCTGGTTTTGGCTATCAGATGCACTGCACTGCATGCTGTTTTCGATAGTGCGATCATGCTTGGAGTTCCTGGCTACACGGTCTTGAGTTCGTCATCTGAGCAGACCCGAAAGTCTAGTAAATATAGACTTCTCAGCAGGAAACCCCCAAGATGCTTTGTGTGATAAGAGAACCCGATTGCCAAAGATAGTCCTTACCCACCTGCTCAGCTACAACGATATCCTATAACAGTACATAGTAAAGCATGGCTTACCAGGCCCTGGTCTGAGCCACCAAAGCCACATGGAAGGCCTATCTGGGGGTCATATACAGGCTAAAAAATGACATGCTATTTAAAGAAGGATGACATAAGGTTTACATAGGAAGCATCATTATACTTAGTAGTAGACAACAATCTACTCTAAAGCGCAGATACCCGAATTAGGTCAATCATACTGCACTGGCCTGCTAGCACCTACAACGGTCGCTGAACGGCGGCGAATGCATGCTAAAAGATGTGCCAAGTGTCACAGATGCCAGGTGCCAGGTGCCAGGTGCCAGGTGCCACGCGTACCGAGTAATTAGGCAGTGACATTCGACGGAACCCTCGGACGGTTTGCCTTCGCCAGCGCTGCCCGACTCGCTACTACGCATCAACCTCAACTTGAAATTAACAAGTAATGATAACCCCGTTGCGTGTTCGAAGGAATCAGACGTGTCTCCAGACACACTTGTTTTTCGTGCCACCAATGCTCACTTCTTGCATCGGCTAATTTACAGAAAGACTAAAATCTGGGAGAAGCAACTTTGCAGTAGGTACATGGGTCCTAGTTCGTTACGTGTTGATTTGCGCCAGAAACGTAGCCACGGCAGGCCCGCTGTGAATGAACAAACTAAGACCAAGCCGTAAGGTGCCTCGTCATTTCTTTCTCTGCCCCAAATGACGACGGCGCCATCGCGAGATGAAATAATTTTCATCACTCCTTTCGCTGGTAGTAACATCTTTCCCGTGCACAGCTCCAGAACCCTTCCATACATATCTTTGGTCCTTCCGTTCTTCAGGCTCGTTCACGCTGAGTGATACCGGCGGTGAAGTCGTTGAGCCTGGCATGCTTGCGTTCCTGGTCCGTTGTTTGGCAACTCCACCACCAGAACGTCGCAGTTTGCCCCACGTCGAATCTCGCCATCTGCAGGCCGCACCTGGCAGCTTTGTTTAAGGCAAACTATCCGAATGCACGCAGTCCGCAAGTAGCATTCATGCCTATAAAGCTTTCGTACGCAGTCTCAGGTCACCCTCCGTCAAGCTCAATCTGCTCCTCGCCCATTCAACCTCCGTTGCCCGACAATTTGGCTGCTTGACCACTACTATGGCCGAAGACGTGCAGCGGGACAATGATCCAGCCTCACTGGCTCCGAGGGATGGAGACGAATCCGATACCATATCACTCACATCAACTGCCTTCGAGGTAGATTCTGATGCTGAATACGTTGTCGAGGCCATACATAAGGAGAGCTTGAAGATGCTCGGGGGCAAATTATGGCGTTACGTCTTGGTGGAATGGTCGAACTTCCCATTGGATGAATGCAGCTGTAGGTGATAAGCTTATTTCTTATGCGTCCTGTGACTCAACACCAGAGAATCATTCGAGGCTGGTTTGGGCCGCTAGGATGTCTAGGCCATGTCCCTGGCCACAAGAGTCTCCTCCATTCACGTGATTACTCACTTTCAATCTCCGTAGGGGAACCATTCGAAAATCTTTCAAAAGAGTTGAAGGAACAGTGGGAGGCCAAAAAGGTCACCACTGACCCTAACGAGGCCGATGAGTTCGAGAAGAAGTACGAGCAGGCTCGCACAGTCAAGCTGGAGGAGTCACGTCAGCGCCACCGCAGGAGAAACGCCAAGCGAAGAAAGCTTGGGCTCGTCCGCACCGCTTTCTACTTCAGAGGCCAAGATTATCCCGATTCTGATGATGAGCGGCATAGGAGGGAGGGCGCCTCAGCCAGGGTGATTGATACCGCAGAAAATGAGATCGTGGTCGAGCCACTCAGCTCTTCCTCAAGTGATGCTGCTGAATCCGAAGGCGACATCGAAGCCGAGCCGCCCATTTCTTCTGCAAGCGATTCTGCTGAATCCCAGGAAGCAGAAGAGCACAACGAAACCGACATTGAAGCCGCCGACGCCTTGCTTCCTAGCAAGTCTTCATCTCAAGTGAAGGCAAAGAGGAGAACTCGCCCTAATAGGATATTCACCTATGATCCGGACAAGACTGTGTCCGAGGAGAGTGGGTCTCTATCGGTAGCGAGAAAAGAAGTAGCAACGTCTCATACCTCTGAAACCCCGACTCATTCCGGCCGTTCCAAGGCTTCAAAACAAGGCCGAACTGACAAGTTGCCTCGTCAAGGCAATAAAGTGCCTCTATCAACGGGATATACAGGCTTAGCGCAAAAGGCCACCGCTACCGCCACTTCCTTACCCAGTCGTTCTAAAGAGGCTCCTCCCAAGAAAACAGCGACAAGAAGCACTGCTGTTGATAATCTTACAGTCGGTACTGCGGAGAAGAATAAGGGCCTCAAGGCGAAGAAGAGCGGCAAAGCCGCACTTAACGTCTTTACGGGGGGGAGCAGAGCGAGGCAGAGACGAAGCATAGGAGACGACGAGATCGATAGCAGCAAGGGACAGAAGTTCTATACGAATCACGCATTGGTCCGCAAGGCCGAGCACAGGTCCAGAGCCAGAAATGATGGCGCACCCGATATTCGCATGATCCCCGACATGCTCTTTGTGCCAGGTTCCAACACCAGCAAACAGACCAAGTCCACTCAGCAGGCAGAGGCTCCAAGAAAAGATGACGAAAATACAAGGGCCCCCGTGGTCACGGAAGAACGCCCTGTTAGATCTGCCACAATGCCTAACCCTGTGTCGTCGAAGAGGTCCATTTTCAGCTCAGGTACCAACCCCCCCAAGAAGAAAGCCAAGTCGGTGCGCTTTACTGGAGTAATCGATGAGCCGTCTATGAGCAAATCGAGGTCAGAGCGCTTCCCAAAAGGGGACGAGCGGTTTGTGTGGGAAGCAGACATGCAAAGCATCACTGGGGATGATACTCTGTTCGTGGATGAACCGATGGAGATCGACAACAGTGCACCCTTCATGGGTAACCCACCAATGTCAGACACAAGTGTGCCGGCTGCAGGGTTCAATGGCCCTTCTCTACCGGCCTACAAAGACCTGTGCTCCGTGAGCAAAAAGATCATGCTCTCAACCGCCTCCACCCAAATACTCGACGTCACTTTCGACGCTGTTCCCAGACATGATTCTCAGGCTGCATACCAGCAGTCGCTGAACGGATTCTCAGATTCTGAGCACCTATGTATCGGTCATACAGTCCGGGCCGACGATTTCAACTCTCAAATCCCGTCACTTGCATACCTGGGCTTTCAACCTCTCTTTTCAGGTTCAATTAGGTCTGATGAGACAGATCGCGAGCTGGAGACCATTGCTATGCACCTCAGGCTCAGATCTTCCGGCTTATTCCTGGCGCATGAACACTTTAACCTCCTAGTGTTCCCAACTAAATGCGAGGGATTCGACCTGAATGCTCTGGGAGTCAAGTCTGTCAGCCCAGATAGTGTTGCGCTCAGATACCTGGTTTTCCGGTCGACATACCCCATCTATCGACTTGTTCGGCCTAGCTCAGATGTACAAGAGCCCCTACACATGGATGTGGGCATCGGTGCGGACATGTTCGAGAAAATACTTAACTTGCGGTACAACCACCTGGTAGCGGGGTCTGCGCAACACAAGAACAAGTTCTTCTTCTTGGCTTTCCCAGAGCGATCCCTGGCATGGCTCGCGTCAATCTGCTCCTGGTTAACAATGCGCGACCCTGGCTGCAAGATCTACACCAACTTCGAAACAGGCGGCTGGTCTGCTTTCGTGCGGCAGACAAAGGAGGGGTGCGGCATCGTTATCCTGCATGAGGCCGTAATCCCTCTCGTGCGTCGATTCCCATCGATGGCTCAATTGCTGCAGGGATACAACATTAACTTTTGGCACTTCTCGGAGTCCCTAGACCTGCAGCAAGTTCAGCCATCGATAGACTCAAAGGTCGTTCCTGTGGTACCGACGATGTTCTCACGTCTCTTCCCTTTCGGGAAGGCCTTCCTGATAACACCAAGCTTTATTGTCTCTCAACCTCAAGAGGCTTTGAGGTTCCTGACGTGGTTCTTCGAAACCCAGGCCAGCCATTCGTCCACTAAATTAGTGACTGCCTACAACATCGGCGACTACCTCCGTGATCTATTTGATGAAAAGTGTGCTCATCTGGAACACATGCTGAAGCGATGGAACACCATGTCTGCACGAGATGTGGCAACCCAGAAGAGCGCTGCTGCCCTCACTGACCAAGATTTGAAGGCCAGACGGAAGATGTGGCTTTACATTGACAGACAATTGTTGCAACACTCAGAGGTTGGCGGTCCTTACTCAGGAGACTGCGCGGTGCTCTACGCAGACAGCTCGATCGACCCACACGACGAGCAAAGCCTCGTCAACTGGTTTGGGTGGTGGTCTATGGCATGCAGTGACCAATACCGGAAATTTTACGTCATTGGCTCAAAGTTATCGATGGATGCGGCCAGGGCTCGTCGAAGATTCAAAGTTCCTAAGTACGGTCGATCAGTCGTCAATGATCCTGAGGAAGCCATGAGAGCCCTCTTGAAGAGTCAGGGCGAGGAGGTCACGATGACACATCCTGAGTCTCATGACGACACGCAGACGAAGCGCGACAAGAGACTTAGGGGTAATGAGAACAACCTTGTGCCCTTCCTGGAATCCCTGGACAGAACACCCAAATTTATGGTTTACCGACGCCCGGTATCTTGGGCTGACACGAAGATGGCAGATCATTTTGGCGACCATCACATGAAATGTGCGACAGTTGATCAGTGGTGGAACTTCACCTGGGGCTGGCTCAAGGATCCCTTAAAGTCATTCAACACATATATCGGGCTCTTCTACACCATAGAGGAGGACTGGATCCCAAGTCACTTTCGCCCTGGCTTGTGGCCGAGGCGACATCCGTGGCTTGCAATCTATCGCCCGGTGAATCCTCATGATAAGAGCATGGGCTTTAGCCATGGTCGAACCGAATTAATCATATGGGACAGTCGTGCTGGCCACGAGCTCGAAGGAAAGTCCTCGCTAGGGCTGGCAGACCTGACCTGGATGCAACGAGACCTCGTCCGCTACATTCAGCTGCATGCTCACGAAAAGAATCCCAACGCGTCCCTCGAGAGAGTCTGGCTGGGTGGTTTCCAGAGGCACCTGAGCCAGTGCCACTCGGCGCTACCAGCAGATGCCACGGCAGAGTTCCTGCGGATGATATGTGAAGATCTGGTGCGGCGCGTCCCAGGCCACGAAAGGCACATGTATGGCGCCGATTATCGCCAGGTCGCTCTGCACCCGACAGGAGGAGAAGCTGTTACCTCGAACACCCAGGAGGATGACCAACGCCAGCGCGAGGGTGATGAGGAGAGGGATGATGGTCCCGACACCCGTATCATCTTTCATCCACCCCGCGTGTCGGCAGCACTCCAACCCAGGTTCACTTCCAGGTGCACGAATCAACTATTTGAGGCCGTACGCGTACACAAGCTCCGGAACCCGGATGCGCAGGAACTGATCTATACTTACACCCCGACAATGGAATGGTATCAGCACCAGGTTGCTGAGGGTCGCCACTTCGAGCACATTGAGATCGACAGCTGGGACAAGATCTTCCATAGACTGGGTATTGATCGCGCAGAGGCACCACCAAAGTCGGCGGATTCGGATCGAAGCATGTCGTCGCCAATCAAATGATAAACGCTGGGCAGCCACAAGGCTATCCCGAATTACGTTCAGCTTGGACAAATGCCACCATCACCACGGTGGGCTAGCAGTTGTACGATCTCTTGATTACGAGATTAGGCGCTGAATCTCCGATTTAAGAAGTGTATGTGAGGCGTCCTTCATGACCCAGGGCTAGACAGGTCCTCTACTACGTATGTAAGTGCGACAGAGGATGAGCAAGACTTAGGGACGGGGAATGAAGATTTGTGACAAGACTCATCTCTTGACTATGTGTATGCTGACTACCCTTCGAATCGACAAGCAGGCGGGCCTAGAGGCGGTGGCAGTTCACTACAATGTACATCTAAGCGGTGAAGGGCGTCGAAGTAGGGAAGCGACGGTCACGCTGTACATATTGCAATGGTAGGACGAGGTGCAATGAGTCTTGCCATGGTATCAGGGACGAAACCCAGATGTTGGAGTCAGACTGTGATAAACTTGGACGTCAAGAGCTATTGGACCCTCCGTGGCAAAGGCGACTTGTTCATGATAAACATGCAATCTATACACTATGATGACTGTTGCAGTCAATGTGCACCATAGAGCATAGCTGAAAGGGGTATCGTGTTCTCTGTATTGATAGCCTATTCGTCGAATGTATCTTGTACAGGGTCAATACAACTCGTCTCGCTTCTCCCAAGGGCTCTCCCATATCTGTTTGTCGGTGGCCCTGCCTCATGTAAACGCTGAAAGCAGTAAAATGAAGGGCTCCTCAAGGAGCTGGAGCCGCCATTGAATATCCCCGTCCTCCCTTCGCCCCGAGCCCCATCCTGAGGCAGATTTCGTCCTCAGGTCTTGGAGCCTTTCACCTTGTCGAGGCCGGAAAACTTCTTGTGCTTAACAAGACTCCCTTGACACTCCTGATGTTCGTCTTCACCCGTTTGATCTCATCATCCGGCTCGCTCCGCGCCGCGCCGTATAAATAACTGCTCCCGACCCCGAAGGATGCGGGTGGGTAGGTCAGGGCGTGCAGGTCCGAGCCGAACTGATCTAGCACGCTCTTTGTCTCGACCATTTCCTCAGCCTGCTGTATGACATCTGTGGCCAGGCCGCGCACGGAGACGCTCAGCCGCGCGAGCCGGTCGGCCTGGTACTGCGTCTGTTCGGCGTGCGTGGAGGTGTGGGTGAGGCGGTCGGGCGACGAGGGGGATATGGAGGGCAGTGGTGATGTCTGGACGCCTATATCGCGGTGAAAGAGTTCGTATGGGTCGTCATAGCTGCTGCTGCTGCTGGCATCGTCGTCGGCCTTGTCGACGCCGGGACCGGCAGGCTTTCCGACGGAGTGGTAAGCGGCGGGGATCTCGGACACGGTCTGCTCGAGCTTCTCGACGAGGCGAGTCAGGTTCTTGTTGGCGTTCTGATGGAAGTCCATCCGCGCCTCGAGCAGGGTCTCGACCATGGGGCTGACGAGGTGTCTTGTGGCGCCGTAGACGAGCGTCGAGACGCCGGCTACTAGGCCGAGGGAGTTGAGAAGGCCGGAGGCGGTGATCAGTGGTGGTGGCTTGAGGGGTTTGGTGAGGAACTCGGGGTAGGTGACTATTGGTGGGTGGTCTGTCTTGATCTCTGGGGTGGATTGTTGTGTTGCTCCGATGCTGCTGGGGGGAGCAGTGCTTGTTGTCTCTCGTGGCGGTGCCTCGGTGGTGGTGGTGGTAGTTGTCATAGTCGTCGAGGTTTGTGGTAATGCTTCGCTGGCAGTGTCGAGGAGTCTGTGAATATCTGCTTCTTCCAGGCCTTTGGATCTCAAGAATTCAATCTTCTTTTCCCTGCTTGCATCCCTTACTGTCTCATCTTGTAGAAACCTCTTTGCCTGCTCCAGAGTGCCTGTGCTGGGAGACACCTGGGAGTCCACCACGCCTTCGGTTTGCTGAGTAGCTGCTTGCTGCCATGATGGGATCAGGGTAGCTTGCTTGTTATCCTCATCTGAGCCTCCCATCTTTTCTGATTTTATAAACACAGCCCACAAAACTAGTAAAACAAAAGTACGAATGATACAACAGTGGGATTTGAGGAGGAGAGAGGAAGGAGTCAAGATGATGAGGACGAAGTGGAAGGTGTGGTGGTCGGCCGGCAAGCTTGTGAACCTCGGCTGAAGAGTGCCGGTGCACGGACCATATACAAAGGTACATCTTCATAGCACATCATTATTCTCAAGCCATGACTCTTTCAACCCTTGTAGGAAGGAAATTTAACGAGGGAGCAAGAAGCAGAACCCTCTTGCACGCCAGCACGAAAGAGAAAACGGCTCTTGTCTCATCCAACTCTCAAGGAGCTTCTCTCCCCCAACGAACCATCCTCATCAATTCCAATCCCAGGTTGGCGTAAGGCTCCGCGGATCCGGATTCCCTCGTGGCGACGAACAGCAAAAGGGACCCCACTGTTCCATCACTGTAGAAGGGCCTGGCCTGGCCTGGCCACTCACTGCACGACAAGCGACCGAGCAACCTGCAGACGGCAGAGGGTCGCAGGACAATATCGAACCCTCTCAGCTCTCGGCTGCAACGTTGACACGAGCACGAGCACACCCACAGACACGATTGACTGATTGCCCTCCAGACACCTCAAACGCAGCAGCGTCGTATCCCGTACCTTGCGTGTATCCCTCGAGGTAACTTAATTGAACAGGTATGTTACTCTCTGGTTTGGAAGGGATGGGGGCGCTTTGTTGGACCGCGTCCCTAATACGCTGTGTTCTGCTCGAGCCTGGCTCGCCTCATCCTCATGCGGGTTCCTTGCAAATATTGGCTACATAACGGTAGCAGAAAAACTAATCAAGAGTGCATACAGTACGTACAAGGGCCGTTGGACGAGGGGAAGGGTCTGCCTGCCTGCTACATTCAGTCATCCAACAGGCATCTTTGGATTCAGCGATCTGGTCTCACATTGGCATCTCCAAGAGACAAGACGGACCGAACAGTCAGCCACCCACCCACGAATCAGGGGCCAACAGCACCTCTTCTCCAGACAGACACGCGCCATTCCCGACGTTGTACATGTCCATCCAGTGATTCGTCGGTAAGTCGATGGTATATTTCCCTTTTTGGTTTGTAATATGCAGTCCGTCCCTTTTCCCTTTCCTCCCCCCTCCTTCCAGCTGGTTGTCTGTCCTGTCGCCCCCTTGCGCACACCCTCGCAGCACTAAGCCACTCTGCACAACTTGCAAAGTCGCATCCGAGCCATCATCTATTTGTCTGCCCCTTTCACTTCCGTCCAAGCAGCCACCGTTGAACAATTGAGATCCCGGCATGACCTCGTCATCGTATGGTTGGTGTGTCTCGTCGCTTCGCCCTTTCATCCATGGCCAGCAGTCCCTCTCTCGTCTTGGTTCGATGAAGCATCAGCTTTCCAAAAACGGGACCCGAGGATTACCAATGTTGTAGGGCTGAGCTTTGACGCCATCTGACTGCGCTGCCAAACATTGGCTACAAGTCTTCCTGAACAGGTGGCACGACTGGCGCAAATCGCGACCGGTCAGATACACGGGTCACCAGGGTGCGCTCTCCTGCATTTGGTGGCCATCCAAGCTGCTTTTGTTGATGTATGATCCGGTCATTGTTCGTGGCAGCAAGGGACGGTGACGTGAGGAATCGAAAAGCTGGCTCGCCTTGACAAACTCAACCCCCCATCTTTTCAACCAACAAAAGACAAGAGACGCACACACACAAAGATCGACCAGAAAAAGATATCTCCGAGCTGTCAGAGAAAGGCTAGTTCAGCCGGCCCGTCACCAACCCAAAAGAACACATCATTCTCTCCGGCCATAAATCTGCATCTTGCATTTTGGACCTGGACCTGAACCCTGCGTCCAACCCCAAGCCGACTTGCCCGCCCTCTCTCTCCCTGCACCAACGTGCGAATGACATCGCCGGCGACCGAGTATCCCAGCTAGCCTGTGTGCCGTTTTTGGTCGCAGCATCCGGAGCCCTCCCTTGACTTGTGGCCCCTCCATTCCCGGCCTTGCCTGCAGGAACAAGCCGGTTAACCCACGCCGGTGTCACCTCGCACGCACCCCATCATCTCACCTATCCGCATTACCTGCCACCCTGTCAGAAAGCCTTCCCCCAACTGGAGGAGCTTCCTTTGTTCGACCTCAACCGTCGCGAGCCGGCTGGAGCTGGCAGTATCGAGCAGCGTGGCTGATCGTTTTCTTGCGCCCCCACCGATGACATTGTGTGACCCATCCAACCTGACGCCGTCATCTCTGTCCCAAACGAGGACCCATCATACCTCAATCGTCTCTTGATTTCATCTTTCTCCTTCTCCTTCTTCTTCATCATCATCATCATCATCATCATCAGAGACATAATCCCTTTTTCGCCTATCGCGTTCTCCGACACGCTGTCTGAGAATTCATCCTCACGGACCCAACACACTTCATATATCATGTCTTCTTCGAGACCGCGCCGCTCTGCGGCCCAAAAGGCGTCTGTCGCAATTACTGACATGGCAGACAGAGACAACAACACTATGTCATCCTCGCGCTCTCGTCGCTCGGGTGATCCCAAGGGTCTGGCATCCGTCTCTCGCGGCGGCATAGACGACAAGGATCACACCTATCTCAATATCAAGGTGCCGGCTAATAAGCTCCGCCAGGCGACCGGCAGCAAGAATGGCTCCAGCATCTCCGTCAGCAGTGATTCTGCCCCTAAGCGCTCCACCCGAGGCAATAAGAAGAGCTACGTGGTCGACGACTCGGACAGCGAAGACGATGACGATGAGAGCAAGGACGAGATCCAGGTATGTCGTGGACCCCGACGCGCCTAATATGTACCCATCAAAACAGGCCGTATGCAAGTGCCGAATAGCCTCTGACAATACACGTTCAGGTCGGAGCTCCTGCTGGTGATGTGGACGCCGAGGATGATGACGAGACAGGACTAAGCCCAGAGGAGGATGAGGAGGAGGACGACGACGACGACGAGGACGCTGAGGCCGATGAAATGGATGTCGATGCTGAAGGCGAAGAGGACGAGGACGAGGATGCTGAGGGCGAAGAGGACTACGAGGGCCAGCCCACGCCCGCTATCAAGATCTCCAAGCCCGTCAAGGCTTCGCCATCCACCAAGAAGACCAACAAGCAGGTCACCCCCAAGAAAGCCGCCGGTCAGTCTGCTGCCATGGACGCGGAGAACTCGGACGACGATGAGCTCAGTGACCTTGACAGCGATGACGAGGCCATGGATCTCGGAGACGAGGACGCAGAGGGTGAGGATGAAGAAGACGAAGACATGGACGCCGAGGGCGAAGAAGTTGAGGAGGACCAAGACGCCGAGGGAGAGCCCGAGGCTGATGTGACAGCTGGTGCCGCGCCTGCTGATGTGGACAGCGATGACAGCCAGGGCGAGGCGCCCGACCTTTCTCGCATGACCCAGCGCCAGAGGGCCCGTTTCGAGGGCCTCGATGAGAGCCACTATCAGGCCCTGTCAAACGGTATGTGTTGAGTTGATTTCTCTCTGTGGTAGTTGTGGTAGTGGTGCCCCAAGATACAATGTGAGATGATGCAAGGAGTGCTGTGCTGATCCTAGTGTCGACACACACAGAGGTCCAAGCCAAGAAGCATTTCACTGTGGAGGAGAAGGCCATGCGTCGTGCTGAGATGGCCCGCAGACGACGCAACCTCAGTGAGAAACGCAATGAGGAGGTCAAGGTAAGCTGGACTCGATTCCTGTCTCGATTGCTCTCCCTTCTTCCCTCTCCCCTTCCTTCTGTCTCTCTTTCTCTCCCTCTTGACCTCTTTTCACCTTTGCATCACCACTCAACAACAAAAACACAAATGCTATCCAACATCAAATTGCACAAAGCCTTGCTCCACTCCAATATCCAAAAATACAGCAGACATGCCCCACACCCTCGAGCACACCACTGCTGAGGAGGCCCTTGAGGACTCTGAGGACGACCCTGGGCTCTCCTATCAGCCCAACTCACTGGTGGCCGAATTTGTCAAGAACACCACAGCTATCCCTGACAACCAATTCACTGATGATGATTCCTCCTCTGATTCTTCTGACATGTCTGACCCTTCTTCCTCCAAACAGCAAGAGACCATCAACAAGTTGCTCAAGAAGCAAGCCGGCAAGACCAACCGCAAGGGTCTCTCTGCCATTGGCGAAGAGCAGCTCGAGGATGAGCTGGCTCACCCCAACCCCTCCATGATCCGCTGGCGAAGCACCCTCCAGGGCAACTCCGTCTCTGTACCCAAGGAGGTCATCGCCAGCCCTTTCGGCACCCTATTCGCCAACCCTGCCCCTCTCCCGCCTGGATTCCGTCACGGCCCACGCCCGCTGATCGAGGTGGTCGAGGAGGTCTCCTAGGACGAGCACTCCCAAGACAACGGAGGCGGCAGCAAAGAGCAGCAGGTGAAGAACTCGAGCGGCAAGGGCGAGGACGAGGACGAGGCTCAAGTTGAGGCTCAGAAGCACGGCGCAGGCCCGAAGAACAATCAGGTTGTCGAGCAGGGCACTAGCTACAACACCAACATCCGCAAGCGCGCTGTGAAGAAGAGCCTCCAGAAAAAGCTCGATGGAGACTCGCACGAGGGCAGCACTAACTAGGGTGGATGGACCCAATTCCGACGCGTGCTGCCCCATTTCGAAGACGTCCTCTTCACCAAGTCGACATCTAGTACGAAATTTGCGACGACACACCCACATGAGGACACAAAGACATGGAATGCAGCAATGCGCGGAGAAGCAAGGGATTATGGACAACATTCTTATTTGCTATTTAGCGGCACGGTTGTCAAGGGGTGAGGCAACTTGTCATCTGGGTTTCTTCGCTATGGTTTGCTCGGAGTTTGGAAGGGTAAATCTGGGGGGGCGTCTAGAGCGCTTTGGTTTCTCTACAATGATGGGTTCTTCCCAGGCTATTTACGATGTCACTGAGCCGTAGCGCATGAATCAAATGCCAATGGCAGATTGATATTACAAAACGTGCGTT